ACGGTAGGCTACAGCATTAACGCGACCCCTGCAAATGTGTAGGGCGGTCCGGTGATGAAATGTGAAGCCTCCCCACACCATTACACTTGTAACATAATACATAAACTCATTTTATTAGAAATATACTTTAATGCTGGATAACATATTTACAGGTACAGATAATGCTGGATAACATATTTACAGGTACATATGGTGAAATCTATCTGGCTCTTGTCCCTAGGTCTGCGAAGACCTTATTTCCGGGGTCCAAGGGCAGACCCCTTGCCTCATGGTCTGAGGGCAAGTTCTCTACGTCTCTCTCTGCCCTCGTCTTATCTTGTTTTCCAAACTAGGCTTATTTATATCGGCTATGGTATGCCATAGTTAATACCATTAGTAATCAGAACAATGAGACTTAATTATTAAGATTCACACATCCTATCTCTAGACAATATGTGTTAATGCTTGTTACCTAAATCTTATATCATAATATACTTGTCGGCTAAACATTGTTTGAACAACCCATCACATCTTACATAATACTATGTCATCAATCCCCACACATACAAATTAAATCTAACATGTACATGTACAACAAATAGTGCAAGTGCTTACATTGAATATGTAAAATAAACCATTATCAAAATACCCAACAGTATTTTGTAACATTTCCTCCTTCAACCACAAGTTTCAAATAGTGAAATATATGAAACATTTATGAAACGATTTGAAACAAAATATTAAAATAACCATATAACATAATGAAGTAATAAGACTTAAAAAAACATATATAACCTAATAATTATTGTCAGTTCATTTTTAGTTCATTCAGAAAACTTCCACAGGAGACATCAAAATAACAGCCACAGATAGTTCGCAAAATTGTTAAAAATTAAACCTAAATGACACGCATATAACACCACAGGAACAATATTCGCACACAAAATTTTCTATAAACTTCACACGCGTAAATAGAAACACAATTAAAATATCCTAAACTTCGATCGCGTAAAAACACATGATCGGCATTAATCAAACACATTAATAATAAAAATATATTCTGGAACACACGACTCCAAATTAATACATCTGTTCGTAATATTATCCACCATGAAAACTGGCCAAATACTTCACGAAATGTACCATTATCCGCCATGAAAATATATTTTATCGCCGATAACGTCTTCAAATTACCATTATATTTCTTCTTATGGTACATGGGTAAATATCCCAAGACAAACATACGTCAGTTTGCAAATATTCAATTTTACCAATAAAATACATCCGTCATCCACCATTTGGATAAAACTAAACATCGATGCAAAAATATATACTGTCGTCCACCATTTGGCTAACAGCAATCATCGATGAAAATTATTTTTTTAATCTAAATGGTTGTCCACCATTTTGGACGTTCTTCATACGTCGATAAAAATAATTAATATCAGTGTCCACCCTTTGGATACTCTTCAAACATTGTATTTTGTTGTTCTCCATTTTCGTCGTTGTGGGGTTAAACATGCTATCTTCTGCATTATGTTCCTTGATTTTAAACATTTTTTTTTTTTTTTACTCTTAACTGACAATTTTCGACGCGAATTTTAATTAAATGATTATTGCCAAACTCAAAATAAGTGAAGATTCTATAATGTGCTTTACGTAATATAAGCCAAAACGTATCTTATCGTTTAACGTTATTAAATCAATATTTCCTGAATCATATTTGTCTAAATATTAAATAAAAATTCATCTATATATCCGTATTTTGGCTAAATCTGCCTTAATCTCTGTATGTCGAGAAAATACTATTTTATTAGCTAATTCCGCTAATCTAAACCCACTAATCGGGTATAACAAACAAGGCGGTTTTACGCCGTTATAATATCTAGACAAATATTTCGAAGCTAAATTGTTCAGGAAATATAACTAAAAACAATTAACCGATCAGATCGAAGATTTCCTTTATAAGAGAAAAAAAAAAAATTGTGCACATTTTGAGAATATAATTTTATGTTCCATCATGACTAAATCGCCAAAATATAGTCATTACTATATTTATCAGAAGATAAAGACAAATCTTTTCTCTTTGTAATTTTAAATTGCCAGTTTTGTAAAATAAAAATATAGCAATCAAAGACATACCCAGATCCATTATTACTGTTGGCGATCTCGTCTTTTCTTCCTCAGAGCTTGATCGTCGAGGACTGTAAAATATAATCGTCTAGTTTCTAGTTTACTTTTTAAGTTTCTTCTTCCGTTCATCGTCTAGTTTCTAGTTTACTTTTTAAGTTTCTTCTTCCGTTCATCGTCTAGTTTCTAGTTTACTTTTTAAGTTTCTTCTTCCGTTCATCGTCTAGTTGCAGGACTTTGCGTTGATCTTTGACCCATCTAAGGTTCGACTGGTCACGAACACCACTTATGAGTGTGTGATAGAATACATAAACTCATTTTATTAAAAAGATATTTTAATACTGGATAACATATTTACAGGTACAGATAATGCTGGATAACATATTTACAGGTACATATGGTGAAATCTATCTGGCTCTTGTCCCTAGGTCTGCGAAGACCTTATTTCCGGGGTCCAAGGGCAGACCCCTTGCCTCATGGTCTGAGGGCAAGTTCTCTACGTCTCTCTCTGCCCTCGTCTTATCTTGTTTTCCAAACTAGGCTTATTTATATCGGCTATGGTATGCCATAGTTAATACCATTAGTAATCAGAACAATGAGACTTAATTATTAAGATTCACACATCCTATCTCTAGACAATATGTGTTAATGCTTGTTACCTAAATCTTATATCATAATATACTTGTCGGCTAAACATTGTTTGAACAACCCATCACATCTTACATAATACTATGTCATCAATCCCCACACATACAAATTAAATCTAACATGTACATGTACAACAAATAGTGCAAGTGCTTACATTGAATATGTAAAATAAACCATTATCAAAATACCCAACAGTATTTTGTAACACACTTCCCCCACCCCATCGATTCGTTTCGAAGACGCAGCAGTCTGCAAGACGTTCACAAAGACGTCTCCACGCACGTTGACGGCCATCAGCGTGATAAAGATAAAAGCGACTCTCATCACTGAAGAGCACACTTTGCCAGTCTACTCTTCTCCATGTCTGGTGTCCTTGAGACCTTGAGCCCATATCAAACGCCGCTGACGGTGTTGGCACTTACTGGTCCTTGTCTTCCGACGACTGCTGTACCTGTTCGAGTCGCTGGGCGGAATCTGTCACGCAGATGAGTGACCCGGATGTAGCGGTCTTGAGCCTGGGTTGTAACGCGTTGTGGACCAGGACGTTGACGGTCACGTGTTGATCCAGTAACTCGAACACGTTCCACCAACCTTACAATACTGGATTGATGACAATTGAAGTGTCTGGCAATAGCACGTGTAGACATGCCAGCCCTGGACGTTCCCATGGCTTCATTCCGTTGATTTTCAGTAAGTCTCGGCATCTGTAGCTCGAATCCTTCACACGTCCAACAACAAATTACGACAGATTGACGTTTCACAGTTCATGTACTGCACATTAAGTTGCACATTTTGTATGCTTTTAAAGGGCTCACACACAATGCTGCGCGTGAATATTGGGGTTTTCGTGTGCATCTCCTGCAATCTTTTTTTTTTTTTGCACACGGGCCGATATTTTTTGCGTTTGGGAGCATTGTGTGAAACAATAGTTCATAGTATTGCATAATATTATACATACAAAACCACCTAGTAATAAAATATTTGGGAAAAAATGTCTTATAAATAAGCTACAATATCCGATTTGCAATTTGATGACTCGTTGATCACGAAACGTCTGAAAAGGTACATTTGGTGCGAAACGACGCAGAAATATCCTGTTACAAAACTTACATCCCACTTCTACTCGTTGCCATTGGCAACCTTTGATAAAACTGTCCTGCTTATTTGCAATACATGCATAAAAGTATCAGAAATGTACAGAAAGATTACTGTCCACTTCTGATACACGGATACTTTTTTACCGTTGTAAATCCCCATCAACCAATAAGTAGCGGACGATTTGTCCGACCCAGATCGCAATTGATAAGGATAGCTCTAAACATTGTACATGAAACAAGTAGTCAAAATCTTAGTAACAAAACAAAATTGGGGGAACTACATGGCAGTTCAAAAACATATACAATGACATTAAATTAACATAACAACATATTACAAAAATCAATTATTATACATATCAATTGGCATCCATTTCATAATTTGGTTTGATTTATATTAATATGCAAAATATATAAATTAGAATATTGAAAAATTATTTTAATTAATTGTGATGATAGAAGACGCAGTTCTCTTGCTGGACACTTCACAGGCATTGAAAATAAGCAGGATGAAAAAAAAACGCCTAGAAAATCATAAACTTTATTACAAATAAATTTCAACGGAAGAACCATCCGCCGATGCATACTTTCACCAGGAATGACCCACGTTTCGCATTTCCTTTACACTACATTTAATAATATCGCAGTCCTCTACGCCATAGACAAGTTGTTTTGACGATGTGGTCTAAACAAACACGTGATTGTTTTACGTTCAGAGTATCATTGCAAGACGCACGTGTAAATACTACTCAGGTCGTCTCTCCACTGCGAAATCATTCTACCATGAAATGTAACGTGAGGCTCAGAAAGGGATAAATAATGAAAGAGCAGAAAGTATTTGTCACTTTTCGGTTGAAACGACTCGATAATAAATACTATTTTTCACATTTTGCTTCACAATACTCGATAGAAATGTGATGTAAGTAACTTATTAGCACCTTTCCTCGGTGTATCGGTGAATATCAGGACAGTTTTGGTCGGGAGCCGCCTCGGCTCTGCCTCGGCTGGGCCCCTCGACCAAAACTGTCCTGATATTCACCGATACACCTCGGAAAGTGTGCTACTAACATAGAGTTAACTCTGTGGCTAATAACTACTACATACATCAATATAAATATGACGACCGATAGGTGGAGCTGGCCATCCTAGTCCGCGTGTGCTGAGATCACTGGTGCTGACAGCTGACGTTAAGTTTTCAACATGGCGACTGTGTTTACCTGTCAATCTGGACCAAATCACATATCTTCAAAAGTTAATAACATTAGACATGCTGAAATTGTTATTCCTAAATATATATTTCTTGGATTTATATTACTTGGGTTTGTTGTTTTGATATCAAACATTCCTAGGGCTATCCAGTTATTTTTTCCTGTGAAGTATAATCTTGGATTATTCGGGAAACTGGGTGCGGAACATTTCTCTTTAGATGTTAGAGAAACTGGTATTGTTCCACGTATTCGTCACAATATACCCGTAAATCCAGGTTTGTATACGTGTCAAGTTAACTGATGTTAATTAAAGGAGTAGTTACGTAAGTCTCGCATCGTTACTATCTGTCCTTATTACATGTACCGGTAGGCGCAATGTAATGAAAATAACGCTTTAAGTTTAAAATACAACACCACGACCTTCTGGGCGTTATATATATATATATTGCACTTTCGCACCTCTACCACCTATATACCCATAAATATGATAAATCCAGTTTTGTATATGTTCGGCTCAATCTTCACCTGCCGCACAGATTGCAATCTGTGCTGTCATCCTGCACTCTGCGCTTATCAAGCTGGTGCGCAGATAACTTTGCGCTGATTACCCCTCGATGTTTTTAGAGATGTTAGGACAAGTGTGTCTACTGTGACCACCCATCCTGCATTTCGCAATTGCTCACATGCAAGATTTCTAATATAGGAAGTGGATAAACGACTGGATTCGGTTCCTTACGAAAATTTACTACGAAACCTGATACCGGTATCGTCTCTGATTTGCCCATTTCATCACGTGGTTATTCTATCGCGATAGGTTCGGTTCTAACCCTAACCCTCGCTTTCTTGCATTTTCTAATGTCCGCGTATTTCTTCACCAATATATCACTTTATTCTTAAATTCAAATTGTTTCATCGCCTCTAAAAGTGAATTTACTGTTGTAAATTTAGAACCAACAAGGATGCCTGTAGAGGCCGCCATATTGGAAAAGACCGCTAATAACCACACGTGATAAAATTGGCCAATCAGAGACAATATCCGGTTTCGTAGTAAATTTTTGTCAGGAACCGAATCCGGTCGTTTATCCACTTCCTCTAATATTATGCATGAATCTAGTCTCGCGATGATAGTCTATTTGAGTATTAAGACTACATTAGTCTCGGTAGGCCTACCCTACATTAACTTTTTTTCAAAGATTCGTATCAGTATTTTTAGACCTAAACTTAATCAACAATTTATAATTCTGTTTCTCAAACATTCTGCCCATGCAACACGTAAGTTTTACATGTATAAAGTACCGTAAAGGAAAATTCCTGCTTAAATATTTATGTGTAATACAAACTCATGACTTACATGTACAGTAGTTTACAGAAACAGACTTGATTTACAAATTAAATTGCTTCTGATTTCTTAAACGTGGGCGAGAACTGGATGAAAGCATGGACCTTAAAATATAAGGTCCATGATAAAGGTGATTAATTCTTCAATTAATGTGTCGTCCGCTACCAGCAATTTTAATCAAATTATACTTCCCTTTGTTCTTTCCATGCCAGTTTGCTATGCTTACGCTGAGCGCATATTTTCACTGATAAAATATTGTTGGAGAGATGACAGAAACCAGGCATCAGTAAAAATTATTAGATGTGTGAAATTGAAATTAAACTTTAAATATTCGTGTCAGGCGTTCCACAAGATATATTAAGAAATCGCAGATTATTACTATAGAAGCCATGAAATCGAACAAGAACTACCCTTGTAAACTCATTAAACTATCTTGAGATGTTATGCATTCAGGAGAAAATCACAAGTTATCACTACAAAATCAGAGTATTTCAGTAGCATATTTCTTGTCTAAAATTTTCGGGGGAGGCCCCCCCTCTATCGTGGTCTCACACTTATGGCATTCTGGGTGAGCAGCTCTGCTGCCCACGGAGTCGCAGAAAATAAGAGGGTTTTTGAGCAACATATATTTTTTCTGAAGTGTCCCGCAATATGAACAAGCAAAGGTGGTTACCCTAAGTGTGTCAGACATAATTATATCATATCGACTTTGTAGTAAAATACTTTTCAAAATCACTGCACAATTAGTGTGTCTGCTTAGAAAATAAGATTTTTAATTCTAGTCAGCAGTGTCTCGTAATTGGTGCTGACCATGTGACAATGTCAAAAATATTTGCTGTAATTGCCATAAAATTCAGTGTTATTTTTGTACAGTTGAAATAAATTATAATAAATACCTGTCAACAAACAGTTGACAGGATTTTTTTAATATTTTATCAATGTGCGATCACTGCGATGTAATCTAAAGTTTCTGAATTCAGGTTCAGTGGTCAACATGGGTGAACAGATTATCATCACTTTAATCCATTAAATAGCCCGACCAAAGTCCACTTTGCATGCGCAGATTAGTCAATGGAAATGAGACAGAGATTCGGGCATGCACGGGGGTAATCTGTCCGCGGAGGGTAATCGGCGCTCAACATATAGATACATGTCAAGGAGTAGTTACTTTAGCCTCTTAACCTTACTTTCTGTCCTTATTGTATACTAACGTCCAAAAGAAAGTATACATTGTGCATTTTGTGCTGCATCAACCAAAGTCGTTTTTCCATGGTATACGGTATTAGGGTAGAATGTCAATTACAAATGTTGAGTTTGGACGCAAGAGACAAACTCAGTAATGCTTTATCAAATGTTTTTAATCTAAACAAAACTTAGTCATACTTTTAGTGTGTATACTTTCTTTTGGACGTCAGTATATATGCACATGTAATATGAAAATAACACTTTTTTAAGGTAGCAAAGCAAAAGCTTTTTTATACGCCCACATTTTCATATGGACTTATATTGTCGTTGCCCCTGTTGACTCTCTATATGTCACAATTCTTATCCGATTTTGACGAAACTTGAAATTTAGGTTTATCTCCAAAAGATCTCACTTACTTTCAATATTGGCATGTATCAGATCGAAACTTCATGGATTATGGTCCCTGATCATATGAAAAATCACGTTTTTAGAGGTCTCAATTTTCAACTGATTTGGATGAAACTTGAAATGCATGTTTACAACTCAAAGATTTTGGTTCCTTTCGATATTCCCACATATTGGATTGTAGCTTCCTGAATTATGGCCCTTGATTGTACGAAAAATCACTTCTTTTTTGGGGGCTACATAATTTATTTGTTTTGATAAAGGGTCTGCAGCATGCAGCAGCATTAAAGATAAGCAATTTGATTGGTCAAGATTTTGGAACATAACAACTCTGCTTTTAATTGAGGTAGAATGTTTAAACTTGATGTAGACGTTCATTAGGTGAATGTCTTGACTGAGTTCAATGATTAACATTTTGAGCTAAAGCTAAGCAGAGCTAATCAATTTCATTGGTCAATGCTTTAGGACAAGATAACTTTGATTCTATCTGATAGAGAGTGATGAAACTTAGTGTATAGTTGATAATCAGTTTGATTGCTTGATACTTTTGAAAAAAAATAAATGTGCGATAAATTAAAATGTGTCATCTATTTAGTTTGGGATTTCGGCGGGGGACATCGGCCTCATTGTTGGCTTGTTTTTTTGATGAAATTTCCTAAAACTAAAAGTTGTAAATATCTTACAGATTTATTAATTGTGTTTGTTTTATTTCAGACATTAAGAAAGAAGCTGTTGCTGCTTTACACATTGCTCTGGATTTGAAAGAACAGAAGAAAACTGACAAAGCTTTAAGAGTACTTCAACATGCTATAAAACTTGACCCTTACCATGCTGATATATTAATAGCTTATGGTGAAATAGTTGAAGAATTTGAATCTGATATTGTAACTGCAGATCTAATGTATAACCGTGCTCTTGTAGTGAGCCCTCAACATAAACAAGCCTTAGAAAATACACTTCGAACTAAGCCAATTGTTGAGGAAATAGACCAAAAACGTTTTAATAGAATTGATAAAAAAAGAGACAGACTGTATAAAGTGCCTTCCAATCATCCAGGGTTGAGACGAGCAAAACAAGAGGCTTACTTCTCTCATATATATCATACAAATGCTATTGAAGGCAACACATTAACACTTTCACAAACCCGTGCAATTGTGGAAACAAGGATCGCTGTTGGCGGAAAAAGTTTGGCTGAACAAAATGAGGTTTTGGGTTTAGATGCTGCTCTCAGTTATATTAACAGCACGTTGCTTGGTATTGGGCAGTTAACTTTGGATGATTTGTTAGAAATCCATCGTCGTGTTTTAGGGTTTGTTGATCCAACAGAAGCTGGCCGCTTTCGTAAAACTCAGGTTTTTGTGGGTGATTTTGAACCACCACCTCCTGAAGATTTACAGTACCTGATGGAGCAATTTATCGAATGGTTGAATTCAGAAGAAACGGTAACTTTACATCCAATAGAATTAGCGGCATTAGCCCACTATAAACTTGTCATCATACATCCTTTTTATGATGGAAATGGTCGGACCTCGCGGTTGTTAATGAATCTTATTCTCATGCAAGCTGGATTTCCACCAGTGTCTATTGAAGTGGAAGACAGATATAGATATTATGAATCTTTAGAGACAGCTAATAATGGAGATGTGCGACCCTTTATTAGATTTATAGCCGAGTGTACTGAAAGAACAGTTGATGAATTCTTGATATCGACTTTGGAAGGTTCTTCATTACAAGTGTTAAACAGAACTAATCGAGATCGTGTTATACTGTTAGAGAAAGATGAAGATTTATAACTAATACTTAGGCCACACTAATTTAATTTTCAGTTCTTTGGGGTCTTGATAAATAAATAGCTGCTTGAATCACATGAAAGATGTTCAATTTAAAATTTTAAAACTTTAAAATTTGGAACTAAAAACCTTTGATCAGCTCAACCAAGAATTTTTGGTTTTTAAATTAGTCTTTTTGCGGAAGAAATAAGAAACAAACTTTAACAGGTATTCCTGAAGAACAAAAAATCAAATTGGTGTAGCCTTATTGTGGTGTTAATATTGATGTAAATTAAATTATTTTAATAACTATGTTACGTACATGTACCTCAAAGAAGCAGACCCAAAGCTCTAAAGCAGTGGACACATTAGCCGAATCGTTCGGCCGAATCAATCGGCGCCGAATGGGTGGACACACTTGCTGAATGCTTCGCCCAATTCAACCTGCCGATTGCATCACCTTTAACGTCACATGATTAAACATGGCGGCGTCTATGTCTTCAATCTATCACGTGACTTCTCGATATGAGTGGTGATTGATTGGCTAATGAATACTATATTCGACCGAATGCTTCGGCGAAGCGGACAAACCAGGCGAATATATCAAACCTGTTTGATTCAGGCAAATCATTCGGCCGAATGACAGTGGACACACTAGGCGAATTTCGACGCAGATTGATTCAGCCGAACGATTCGGCCGAATCATTCGGCTAGTGTGTCCACCGCTTTAGAAAATCATGTCATAGATTGATTTGAACAAATTTGCGACCAGTAAAAGTACTTTCAATTGTTTGATCTTACTTAAAGTTAAACTACACATTTAACCCCTACACTTTGTACCTTTTAAAGATATCTTTTCAAAACTGAAAAGAGTAGATGGGGACAGAAAAGAGGAGTTGATTTTGATTTGTTACATGTGTAGCAAGTCCAAACCATACCAATTGACATGCTGGTTCCTGTCACATGTAAGCTTATTTTACAGTCTTCATTAGCCCAGGTGGAGCAGAATAGTAGGACAATAAACCCCATTTCATTTCATTTCAAGCTTACTTTCACGTTAAAACAGATCTTTCGTTTTGTTTTTTAAAAAAAATCACTAACATAATGCTATTCAATAAAGATTAGCAAGGTGTCATTTATTTGTGGGACAGCGCTAACTGAATTCTATTATCAGTATTTAACTGTCTTCATTTTCATGGCCAATAAATGTTCAACTATGTAATATGTAACTGTCATCATTAAGTAGATGTTTGACCTCAGAACTATTCATTTAGTTGGAATGTTGTTTGAATGATTTGATTGTGTTTATAAAAGCACCTCATATCCATCCAACTTTTTCATAAGATGTTTTGCCACTATTTTCAATGATCAGAGCATTTTGCTCCAAAATATCTTCATCTTTGATTCACTTATCATTTTATGGAGAAAATACTCTGAATTTTTATTTTATCACCTTAACTTCAGTCATGTTATACTAGTTATAGCGTTTGATATATTACCGGTAACATATATTCAAGATAAACTGATTGTCCATTATTATAAATATACTGAGATGCAATGATTTGACCATAAGTGCTGATGAGACATAATACAACTGTGATTTTCAACATTCCCATTCTGTTGAATACAATTGTTTTATTTGGAGAGAATTGATCTGTGGTGCTTTTACATGATCATGAAAACATCAGTCTCGCATGTTATTGTTGTAATCTGATATTCTTTCATTCAGAATTTCAAGATTAAAGTGTATATCAAATAAGATTTATAATTATCATTTATAAAAGTCGTACATTTCAATTACATCGCAGTGTGATATGTCAAGTTTGGTGCTGGCTTCCTTTAGCTGATGCAAGTGCAATTACTGGTAGTAATCATGTTGCCATTTTTTTAAAAAAAAAACAATATTCATAATGTCTTTCAAATAGATTGTTGCGGAAAATGGATGTGGAATAACTAATCTTGACATTGTCTTTTCTCAGTACCACAATTATGGACGGATTACTCAAAAAGTCAGATGGTTCATTATTGTTCAATAAATATTAATATGGAAGCGTTGTCTTTTTTAATTGAAATTTAATATAAATGATAATTAAGTCAAAAGTAAAGAAGTTTTACTTTTAAAATCTGTCAGTCAACAAATTTTCTAAATGCTATTCTTTATACTTGTAAAACCGTCAGTCTGAGTAGTGGGCTGCTTCTGAATGCTAGTCTGTAAGTCTTAATAAGGAACAAAGGATGTCTGACTTTTCTGTAACAGCATGTTATGAAAATATTTTAACTTTTTACTTTATGGTTATTTTCCCCATATAGTTAGAGGCGGGGACCAGTGTCCGCCCTTAAAACTGAATCGGTTTTTTTAACAAAATGGAACAGAACTTATTGCTATCCAAATTTTACAAAGAGCCCCAGTGTAAATTTGCCTTTGTGAATGTACCGAATAGTCGTTCTAATTATAATTTCAAATTTACAGCCTTTTTTAAGAGATTATATGGAGTCTTTAAACAGTTTTAAAGATCCATCAAAAACGGGTTAATTAGACTATATATTATGTCACATGCATCAGTGTCAAAAAATTTAATTCACAGAACGGAATGAGAGAGAAGAAAAAATTACATGTATAATAAATTGCTTTTATTAATCACTAAAGCCTATACATCACATTGGTTGACAAGATGTTGTCTGTGAGGTTTAGGAAGATAAATTGTTTGGTTTTTTTAAAATAAAAATCCTGGATTATCTTGACAAATCAACTGTTTTTGTCAATTAAACATAAACTGTTAAAGAAATGAAATGATCACTACATTTATACTTTTTATATGTCCACATGGACATCCACATGGAAATGTGGACATAATAATATATTGTCCTCTCTCTGTCTGTCAGTCCATCCGTCGTCCACAATTTCTTGTGAACACCAAAAGTTATCATCTGATTGTTTTAAAATTTTCACATTAGTGAGATGCAGAAGCCTATTTAATTTCAATAATTTCTGTTAATTACTTCTAGAGTTATGGCCCTTGTTTAACTTTGTTGCACCTTGTGAATGCTCTAACATCAAAAGTTATCTGCCGACCTGTATGAAATTTATATGCATCATTTAAATTAGTAAAAAGAAGAATCCTATTGAATTTCAACCAATTTATGTTTAGAGTTATGGCCCTTGTTTCACTTTGTCAAACCTTATGAACCTCTTAACGACTAAAGTTATGATCCGATCTTTGTGAAATTTATATGCATTATTTAAATAAGTGAAACGAAGAAGCCTATTGAATTTCAGCAATTTCCATTTATTACGTCTACAGTTATGGCCCTTATTTCACTTTGTTGAACCATGTGAATGCTCTAATGCCAAAAGTAATCATCAAATCTGTATGAAATTTATAGGCATCATTTAGATTAGTGAAACCACTGAGCCTATTTAATTTCAGTAATTTACAATAATTACTTCTAGAGTTATGGCCCTTGTTTAGCTTTATTCAACCTTGTTAAAGCACGCTTGATGAAAATTATCATCCGATATGTATGAAATTTATATGCATCATTTAAATTTGTGAAATGGATGTCTATTGAATTTCAACAATTTTTGTCAATTACTTCTAGAGTTATGGCCCTTGTTTTACTTTGTGAACGTTATGAACGTTCGAATGACAAAAGTTATCTGATCTGTATGAAATTTATATGCATTATTTAAATTAGTAAAATGAAAAAGCCTGTCAAATTTCAAACTTTCTGTAAACTACTTCCAGAGTTAAGGGCTATGTTTCAGTTTGTAGAACCTTATGAATCCTCAATCGACAAAAATTATAATCTGATCTGTATGAAATTGTCTTGTAAATGCCCCCAATTATCTACAAATAGTAAATATGCGACAACCCTTGTCGACCACTCGGACGATTTAGCTGCTGTGGTCGTATGTTTCGTTTTCCTGGCAACCTATCTTTGCATATTTATACTCTATTTTCTTAAAGTGTTTCTAACCTGTGCATGTAACATTTAGAGATGTAAAAAAGCTGTTTGTAGTAGAAGATGAATAATAGTATTATAAAGAGGTTTCTTCATAGCTCACTATGTAGATTATTGAAAGATGCAAAAGCAGAAGGCAGTAGAACTTTGAAGCACTTGTAGCTTACATTATGAAAAAAAGTACTCTTCATTAATCTCATTAGAAATTCATACTGCATTTAAATTGAAATCTCATTCTGTGGGTAAATGGTTCAGTTTGATCGCATGTTGTACTTTTATTTTAATAATGTTATGCATCATGTAATTTATATCATTGAAATCCCCCTCCCCCAGCTTTATCTCATTTTATTGTTGTTATTTATTATGTTATTTTGTTGAATATTGTTCTGTGATATGAATTGATGTTATTTCTGGAGATAATTGTTTCATATTTTTGTTGGATCATGAAAATTGGTTATACGGTAGGTGTCTAAAGCTAGTATCTCGTTAGACTGTGAGGGCTCGCGACTAGTTGGAGAATCAAAATTACGCTATTAGCGACAATGTTCACTTAATTGGAATAACCCTTAATCTGAATTGGTAAAAGACACATTTTGGGCCAAAATTCATCTGTAGTTTGTCTACATTTGTGCAGCAGAATTGTGAAAATTTGGCACACAACTTGAGAATTTGGGACCATATAAAAAAAAATTTATATCGCAATTTAGACACAAAGTATCTGAATTATGTTGCTATTTATTCTTAATTGATTCACAAATTTGAGGCGGCCGAGGACACCTGTCTCGCGTCCAGAATGTAAGATTCTTAGTCACAATTTAGTTTCATAGGTCGTCAACCCCTCCCAAAGTTTAGCAATTCAAGAGAGAGATGTACTGCAACTCACAAGAGAAAATTGAGATATTTTGGAAACTCTCCCACGATTGATGTTCACAGTCCAGTGAGATACTACCTTATTTATCTTGTTAAGCTACAATCTGTAATACAACAGTAACTAGCCTCTGGCTGTTATGAAGGCATCTTTTGATGCCTAAGTGATTTTGATTGTCTTATTTTATAAAAAAACAGGAATGTATGTCTAACTAATATTTTTAAAATAAAGATGTAATGGGAAACTAAAAAAAGAAAATGTTCCCGTTACTTAAGTATCCACTTTCTAGTACCTAAAATGGTCTGTAGAACATGAAATTATTATGTCTTTAGTCCTGGGAATAAATGAGACCTGGAGTCTTTGATAATTTTGAGATCAGTGTTACAATAATAATCAAAATACATACAATGTAAAACAATAGTTCTAAAACATTAAAATGTCAACATGTTCATAGTTTAAAAGCATGTTTAAAAAGTTCAGTTTTAAGATTCTTTTTAAAAACAGCAACATTAGTAGAGTTATTTTTGCAAGACTAGGTAATTCATTCAACATGTTAGCAGAGGCATAAGCAAAGGCCCATTCACCAGTTTTGGTTTTTACTGTAGGAACATGGACTAAGTTTTTATCAGCAGATCGCAGGTTCCTACATGGTTTATAGTGTTAAAAGTTTATTAAGATACTGTGTGGAGCAGCCATTATTTAGACAATTAAAAGTTAACAATTTCATGTTTTATAAATTACCACACTAGATTGTTATTGTACTCAAAATAAATCCTATTTTTAATAGAAAATTTAATGTGTTTGTTTATTATGATATATAATAATATAATATTATGTTGCTGTTGGTCCATCTACCAGTCTGTCTAGGTTTAATTTTGCCGTTGGCAGGGGTATACATATCGATTTTGTTAGATGAGGTGTTTGTCAAAAATAAGATAGACTGATCGATACACAGCCCCCTAATATGAATGGCAAAGCCACGAGCCGAGCACCTCGGTGCAAGCTCTTTTGGGGTCTGGGGGCATCCTCCCCCTGAGAAATTTTTGAATCTAGAGTCCCTGAAATGATGTTTCCTGGATGGTCAGAAAACACTTATAACATGAGTAAATTGAGTACTATGCATGGGAATTCATGGCCAATAAGGCAAGTTAAAGTTATGTCCCCTCAATGAGGCTCAAGTCCTAAGCTCTTTCAGTTTGCAAGTTTCAATAAATATTTCAAGTTGCGTGCCAGGCATTTGAATTTGATGCAGTTTTATTATATATATAGCCGGACTAGAGTCCATGGCACAGAACTCAAGTCCCCACCTTTGGTATTTAGTTTGTATTTGGTAGTTTTGGGTAAATCGTACTACGGAAAAAATAATTGAGATGATTAATCACCCATTCAATTTTTCAACAGAGACTTGTGACATGTTGAGCTCTTTGTTGTCATATAGATTAAGAACATCGGAGTCTTCCAAAAATGGGAGAGTATTACTAGTCTGACACCTGCAGATCGAACAGAGTTATCCCAATTCCCAGTGTGCTTAGTAAACATGTCAGCCTCCATGTGTTAAAAGTGAAATTTTTAGAAACGATCACCCAAGTATATGAATTATAATGGCACTGTTTGATATTAGGAGGTAATTCTCAAATTCTTAATGTGTATACTGATATCCGAATTATATGAATTATAATGGCACTGTTTGATAATATGTAACAGGCATTGCCTGAGTAGAGCGAAGCTGATTATTCAATTGTCAAATATAAAACATTCATAATTAATTTTCTCACTCAAGTGATACAAAAAATGTTCAATAATTTAGATTTTCCAAATTGATTTTCATTTAGATCTAAATTGTATACATTAATTTTGTTTTTTAAAAAAAAGAACAAAAAAGTGTGTGAATTATTTTCATTGACGTCAAAAATATGTGACGTCATTGATGAGACGCGTCATAGAAATAGTTCTATGAGACGCGTAATCTCGCTTGGGCGAGATTTGGTAAGTTGACATGTGCATTGCCTGTTTTGCCCAGTGTATCCGGTTCCGGTCTGAATTTTTTTTTAATCAACAGTCTGTGGGTGACAATTTCAGTTACGCTCCTGTGTTACTGGAAAAGAGCTTTGCTCAAGCCCTGCGCTTCGCGGGATGCTTTAGAGCTTCGCTCTATATTAGGTAATTCTCAAATTCTTAATGTACTGATATCAGAAAGGTCCATACATATCGGACCTAGTTTGTTCACCCTTTTGAAATAAAGATATTATTATTATTATTATTATCAATATCAATAAAATTATTGCATGTCCCAAGAAAACAAAATTATTCCGACAATTTTTCAGCACCACTGTTGTGTGGTGGGATAGGACATACATATATGGACCTTATCATTATGCACAATACTGCCAATACTGGATCTTTGTACAAGTTAGGTTTATAAATTACATGTCAAACGTACAAATTGAAGCTGTAAAATTAAAAACGGTGGATTGTGGCTAAAACTATTTCGTGCCTTAAGGCTTATTTGTACGATCTGAGAAATGTCTTGGCCGAGAAAGTTCATCCAGATTTTCCGGCGTGGTTACCTCTTGTCAGTGATGCAGGACGGAGGGCCTGACAAGGACAGCTGTCTAGTCGTTCGAAGACGAATGGGACGAAAAACCGAGGTCCCATTTACATATTGGCGTGCACGTTAAAGATCCCCTGGCAGTTGGAATTCGATATAAGAGTAGGCCGTAGCACTGCTGCCCCGGCAAAATTTCCCTCATAGAACACTGTATGGCGTATGCCCGTCTTCATAACATTAGCCCAGTTTAGGAGCAGAACAGTAGAACGTTAAATCCCATTTCATTTCATTTCTGAGAAATATCTTTCTCTAGGGTTAGGGTTCGGGTTAGGTTTATAAATTACATGTCAAACGTACAAATTGAAGCTGTAACAACGGTGGATTGTGGTGTGGCTAAAACTGTTCTGAAGGGTTAGGGTTAGAATTGTGGGTATGAACACGGAAAGATATTTGTCAGATCATACAAAGATGTAGTATCGTGCGGACCTTAACTCTTATAGTTATAATACTTATTTATATAAGGTCCATGGATAGGATTATAATATCATTATGGTCATAGATGGGCCATGTCATGGGCATGGTCTAGAAAGTCGAATAGCCGCAATATTGGTAGCGGTGGTACATGTCTTATCCCACACTGATCAACAGTGAATATCCACTAGGCTGCTGCAATCACTGATACACATGTAGTAGGGATGACATCAGGGCGGCTTAATGAGCCCCCAGTATTAACTTATTTCCTTCCGAAAATTAAATTCTAGAACATTTTTTATAAGCCGTAGAAAAATAAATAAAGGTGTTTGAAGTATATGTACAAAAGTAGGTAAAAAATATGTCCTATTTAGTGTAAATGGATATGTAAAATGAGTAAAAGGCACCATTCTGCCCGGACCAGTAAACAATGCATGCGCCATTGAGACAATGATTGACGCCCCGTGATGTGACGTCATGTGTTGAAAGTAGTCATCTTTTACAGAGTTATTAGAATACTTTCGTAATCCTGTGCGAAAACAGTTTGATCTTGTACACCACTACATTTTCAATACATATCATCACAGTTTGCATGGAAAAAGTATTTATGTTACAAATAGTGAAGAGTGGAACACTGAAATCATAATCTTATCTTACCAAACATGTTTTTCTATATTTTTGAGGTGACGTGAAATCAAGTGCGTTTTCTAATTCTGGTTCGGTGGCCAGTTCAAAAACGACAGAAATATTGCATAGCCATTGGATTTTATTAAATTTATGAATTTATGTGGTAAAATTTCACCTTTAATTTAATGAGAAATGTTTTTTTATACATGTGCATGTATGTTAAGCTACAAAATGTATGAGCAGCACAATTTGGGGTCAGTGTAATTGGAAATTAAGGGAGTTATAGGCCGAATGACAACAAAACATGCTCAAAGGAAGTCCTTAGAACAATCCACTAAGTGAAGTCTTACCGCATAATTCATTGATTTTGAAAAATCCAACTACCTCTTGAGATTTTAAGTGGGTGACTGTTTAGTGCTGTATACTGTACTACAAGATTTGTGATCTACTTAGATTTGTTTTCATTTAGATTTAAAGGTGATGACATCGATGAGATACCAGAAGATCAACCTAATATCATTCTTCAAAAATTGAAAGAAAATGTCCAGAAACGAAAGAGTGAAAAATTGAATAAACCCATAGTAAAGGATGGCTTGGCTATTGATGTACAAGGTAAAGTGTTAAAAAAGGTGAAAAGAAAAAAAGATTTGGATCACACTCAAGAAACCCATGTTAAGTCTAAAAAACATAAAAAGTCTAGAGAAATAGTTGAAAAGGAAAGCAAATCACCAATGCCTGAAGCAGATGATTCGGTAAATTCGTCAAAATCTGTGATAAAAAACAAAAATGTAAACATTTCTAAAGATAAATCGAAAAAAAGTGAGTGTGTGAAACTATGTGCCGTGGCCGATCATTTTAGTGCTACTAATGATGAATGTTCAATAAAAGAAGTCAATAATGATGAACCATCAGAATACGAACGTGAAAATGTCAGTAAAACTGGTATAAAAGAAGGACCACACACTGTTGGAAACTTTACAGTATTAGGTGATTATAAAGTTAAGAAACAAGTCAAGGTAAGATGTATTTTTTATCAGAATGCTGCAATAATCAGTGGTGGACCTACATATTGGGTCCATGAAGTTTGAAATGTTATTGGGGCCTTTCACACCATAATCTATCCAAGGTACATGTAACTCCTGTTATCTTCTTCAGTGGGATTGTTCCATCACCACAAATTTACTTTTTTTTAACTGTTTGCCATATTCTTAACATATGGAAGAAAATAGCAAAATTACTACAAAAACCAATTCTTGGCATATACACTCAGTTATAGTACAATAGCTACTACACATCCCTATTGTATGAAGTAACGATCTCGTCAATAAACATTTTCAACTGTATGGCCTAAAGTTGTATTTGGGACCTCTTCCGGGATTAGGGACCCTGAACCTTAAGCTTCATTAGTAGATCTGCCCCTGAACAATATTAATATATATATTTTTGGATAAACCAACAATTCAAACATGGCAGAAGTTTTTATTTGATGTTTTGACTGGTGTTTGTATTAAGTGATTGTATTGTTATGTTGTAGGTGAAACATATTTTACCAGGTTGGTTAGAAGAACCTGGTATTATTAGCAATAGTTTAACACAGACACCAGTGGAACAGTTTATAGGATTATTAGACGAAACACTCATCAATAAATTACAAGAAAATAATATTACACATTTCTTCCCAGGTATTACATATTATATTGTAAATAGATCCAACAGCCTATAAATCACATGTTTCACCTCACAAATCCTTGAAACTGTCTTAAGACCATATATATCAAAAAAAATATTCTGGTTCTGAGATAATCCTTACCTTGAATCTGATGCAAGATTTTATTTTGTGTTTTATTTTATCAAAGGATCACTACTGGGTTAAATTAATGACTTCTCATAAACATCTTATTTCAAGGCACTGTAATTTATCTCATGTTATTTATAGGAATGTATGGTTATCCATATATGATTTTTGATTGTCAATAGCTAATATTTATCAAGGTTTCATAATACTTGATAAATCAAACTATGGCACATATCTGAGCTAAAAAAAAATTTGTACAGTAATTAATCATACTGTTTTGGGGTTTTTTTTTTGACATACATGTAAGTCATACAGCCCGTTTTAATTGAGCAGGATTGTCTTAGAACCAGAATGGTTTTTTTATTTGGCCTAATTTCTAGCTAATTTCTATATACATGTATGTCTCCAGAAATTTTACAAAAGTTCATATCCTTGTCACTTAAATCTGTCTGATTTCAACCTTCCTTTTGGGACACAAACTTGATGTAGGTGTTTATTAGGTCGATGCCTTGATGGAGTTCAAAGATGAGCATTTTCTGCTTAAGGTAAGCAGAAATAAGCACTTTGATTGGTTAATGCTTTGGGACCCAATAACTTTAGTTCTGATTAAGTGAGAGTGGTGAAAATTGATGTATAGTTTCATTACATCAATACCTTGAATAAGTTCGATAATGAACATTTTCTGCTCAGGGTAAGCAGAGCGATAAACAATTTGATTGGTCGAGACTTTGGAAGACAATAACTTTCCTTCTAATTGAGCAACAATGTTCACACTTGGTGTAGGTTTTTATTAGGTGAATGCCTTAATGGAGATCGATGATGAACATTGTCTGCTTACGGTAAGCAGAGATAAGCAATTTGATTGGTTGATGCTTTTGGGCACGATAACTTTGAATATAATTAAGTGAGAGCAATTAAGTATAGATTCATTATATCATTACCTTGACTAAGTTTGGTGGGAATTTTCTGCTTAGGCTAAGGAGCAATAAGCAATTTGATTGGTCAAGACTTTGGAACATAGCAACTCTGCTTTTAATTGAGGTAGAATGTTTAAACTTGATGATTAGGTGAATGTCTTGACTGAGTTCAATGATTAACATTTCCTGCTAAAGCTAAGCAGAGGTAAGCAATTTTTTTTACTTTGATTCTATCTGAAAGAGAGTGATAAACTTAGTGTATGGTTGATAATCAATTTGATTCCTCGATATTTTTGAAGGCTACTTTTATATGTGGTCAGTTAGCTTTAAATGGTAGTTTGTCGTCTGCATGTAATAACTTGAATTTAATTTCATATAGATATAATATCAATAAGTACGACATAGGTAAATTGTGTGTCCATACTATACTACAGAAACTAACATCAATCGATAATGTTGATGATGTTACTATGCAAACTGTAAGTGCAATAAATGATATGATTTTATTAAGGGATCAAACGTTTTGTAAAACGGATAAAAACAATTTAAATGAAATTATTCATCACTTGTCCACATATTAGACATTTAACTATGAGAATGTATATTTTTTGTATATTTATTACATTTCTCATAGTTTTGTAAGTATTTGTGTATTGTGTACTCAATTTAGTACGAAATAAATATATTACTATTATTATTTATTAAAGTTTTTTTTGTTAAGTTTTGAGAATATATTTGTAATGATACTTCAGGTCATGTTGCTGAGTTTTATCTACTATAATTCCTCTTATACCTCGAGAAGCCACTGTGGTCAGTGTGTAAGCTGCTGGCTCACTTACCAGGGGAACCAGAGTTCAATCCCAGTCATGGTGTTGTCAGTGGTGCAGAAAAGAAGGACATTAAACCCTATTTCATTTATTAATTTACTCTTATACTGAGCCCCTTGTCAGTGATGCAGGCAGGAGGGCCTAACAAGGACAGCTGTCTAGTCATTCTGATGGGACGAAAAACCGAGGTCCCGTGTACACATTGGCTTGCACGTAAAAGATCCCTTGACAGAATTCGATATAATTTCCCTCGTAGCACACTGGATGGCGTATGCCCGTCTTCATTAGCCCAGTTAGGAGCAGAACAGTAGGATGTTAAACCCCATTTCATTTCATTTCATTTCATTTCTTATACTGAGAGTAATTTTTAAAGGATCGGGTTTAAAAATGTTAACCGATTAGGGTACTTGTTTCTTCAAGTATGACAAAATATTTTGGCTCTTTTAAAAAACGATTATAAATATTATGTTTTTCAGTTCAGACTCAGATATTACCATTGTTATTAAACCAAATTACAGATAATAATTGTTATGGAAAAGATGGCTACCAGCCCTCAGATATTTGTGTTTCGGCACCAACAGGAAGTGGAAAGACCTTGGCATTTGCTCTACCAGTTATTCAGGTTTCTAGTTATTCATTTTTATACGCCCACATTTTCATGTAGACGTATATTGTCGTCGCCCTTGTCCATCTGGACGTCCGTCCACAATTTGTTTGTGGACACTCTACAGGTCACAATTTTGATCTGATTTTGATGAAACTTGAAATGCTTGTTTATAACCCAAAGATCTTGGTTCCTTTCGATGTTCTCACATATTGGATTGTAACTTCCTGAATTATGGCTCTTGATTGTATGAAAAATCACGTTTTGAACTTGTGGTTCCTATGGAGGTCACAATTTTTATCTGATTTAAAAGAAAACGTGTGAATATATCACAGTTATACACTAATGATGGTTGAGTTCGAATTTTGTGAAAATAGGACAAAAACGGGCGGACATAATGGCCGCCCCTTGTACGCAAATTGTGTAAAAAATATGGTATATCAAAGTTGTTGAACCTCTAGAGGCCACAGTTTTTATCCGATATGGATGAAACTTTAAATATATGTTTTTATCATAAAGATCTTGGTTCCTTTTGATAATCACACATATCCGAACGTAACTTCCTGGATTATGGCACCTGATTGGTCACCTGCAGAGGTAACAATTTTTTTTCCGATCTTAAAAACTGTTTAGATATATCACCATTCCACGATAATGGAGGTTGAATTGGAATTTCGGGAAAATCGAAATTAAAGTGCACGACAATATGGCCGCTCTTTGTACACAAATTGTGTATAAGTATGTCTCTATAGGTCACAATTTTTATCCAATTTTGATGAAACTTAAAACATATCCTTGATATTTGCGCATTTCAGACCATAACTTTCCGGATTATGGCCCCTGATTGTACAAAAAATTTGTTTTTGTTTTAGCTTGCTCTCTATCCATCTCTTGTAAAATGTGGGTGTATCCACATTGAAGTGTGGTGATAAAATTGATGTTTGCCATGGAAAGGGAGTCGTGGTGGCTCAGTGAGTAAGACGTTGGCTCGCCAGCCTGGAGTTAGCTGAGAAAGTTCATTTGGAATTTCCGGCCAGGTTACCACTTGTCAGTTGTGTAGGACGAAGGGCTGGTAAGGGACAGTGTATTGTTGTTAGGATGGGACAAAAAAACAAGGTCTCGTGTACTCATTCGTGTGCACAACATAAAAGTGCCCTTGAAAGTTGGAATTCAAAATAAGAATGGGCTGTAGCACCACCGTCTGGGAAAAATTTCTTTCATAGCACTGCATGGCATATGTCCATCTTCATTAGCCCAGTCGGAGCAGAAAAGTAGGATGGTTAACCCCATTTCATTTCTGTCATGAAAAAGCTTATTGAGTTGGAAGGATTATCAATAAATAATGTCTGAGTTAGGCTCTTGAATACTTAGGAGTAGGACAAATGTTGTGGATGCTCTTGTATTTATTTTTCTGAGACCAAGACCAATTTCCAATAACTTGAATACCTAAAGTTATCATCTGATTAATGGTACATGTCAACATGATGAAAATTTCATTTAATAGACTGAAGAAATACCAATATCACACAAAGGGGGTTTTTTCATGCAACCAACTGCTAACATGATGGAAAATTATATTTAATAGACCGAGAAGAAAGAACACAAGGATTGATATGGATATCATTCTTTGGTGAAAACTATTGGCTTTTAATATAAATTTTCACTGACCATTACATGATTTTGTTCATATTTTTACAGACATTATTGAATAGAGTAGTATGTAGAGTAAGAGCATTAATAGTTTTACCTGTTCGTGACCTGGCGTTACAAGTATATAAAGTATTTCAGACATATTGTAAAGGTACTGGACTAAGAGTAAGTGGCTTTAATTTATTACTGATTGCTTATTGATTTCATAAGTTTATCTCAAGATTATGATAAAACATTGTTACATCTATGTCTCTGTGTTTATCGGTTTCCCTGATCAATTACCTAGGGCATTTGATGATTTGGAAGAGTTTTAAAGAAAGATGTATATCTACAGCATACATCTACATCAACTATAATTCCCAACTTATTCCTTATTTATTTGCATTAAGTCACATTTGAAAAATGTGCCATTATCTTTTTTCCTGAAAGAGTCTATGCAAAACTTTAACTCAGTACTTTTTTTGCAACAAATTTGAGAGAAATCGGAAACTTGGACAATTGCCAAAAGAAACGGCCTGTGGAAAGAATAATTATTTTTTTTGTCTTGTTTTAGGTTATCTTGTTAGCTGGTCAGACTTCCTTAGCTGAAGAACAAGAATCTCTAGTTATAGAAAGGTACATTAACAAGTGCTGAATGCTAGTTTTTATCTTAATTTACAATATATATATCTTGAACTTTCATTTCTTTGTCATTACCTTTACCCTGATAACAGTGCATAAGTAATTTTTATCTTAATTATCTGTGAATGAACACCACTTTGAATCCCAGAGACCATAACTCAGTAGATTCCAAGATTCATGAAGATGGATTCAGACCTAATAATTTGTCCCAAACAGCAAATTCAAAATTTGATAAGTCGGAATATGGAATTCTTACCATCAAGCACATTTTAAGCAAAGAGTACCGATATACCACAGGATTACGTTATTCAGATTACAATGGGTATGATTTCAGGTTAAATGGTTGCTGTAGTTTAGCCGATATTGTTGTAGCAACTCCTGGTCGTCTCGTTGATCATATCAACAAAACAACTGGTTTTGACTTGAGTCATTTACGATTTCTGGTGAGTTTAATTTTTCTCTGTATTTTGTGACTCGCATCATTTAGCTCGCTACGTTGCCAGGCAGTGAAACATGCTCAACATGTGCAATAAGTAATCAGTATTGTTCTAAATTAAACTTGTTTCCTCATTTCTTATGAATAATTCCAGCCATTTTCTTAAGTATTTTATTTGGATGTAGGTAATCGATGAAGCTGATAGAATGATGGAAGATATTAAACAAGACTGGTTAACACAAGTTGAAAACTCAGTTTTAAAACTTCATGGTTCTGGTTGGAATCTGGTAGACAGACGACCCCCTATACCATTAACAGTTCACAAGTACGTCAAAATAATTAACTATTGTCTTGTATTTACATATTTTTATTTATTAGGAGCATAATTGAACTATTACATTAGTTGTCCCCCCACCTTTAAAGGAATCCAGGGGACTATCTAAATGGGTCTGTCTGTTTGTCACACTTTTTGGGACACAATAACTCTCTTTCTAATTGAGCTAGAATGTTCAAACTTGGTGTAGGTGTATAATGGGTTTATTGGTAGTGATTCATTATATCAATACATTCAGAGCTAAGTAGCGATAAGCAATTTGATTTGTCAAGACTTAGAAACATATCAAATCTGCTTTTAATTGCGGTTTAAAGTTTAAACTTGGTGTAGTTGTTCATTAGGTGAATGGTTTCACCGAGTTCAGCGATAAAACGGGCATTATGCAAGAGCTACATCTTCCTATTGCAGGCCTTTCTTAAGGTCTTAAATGTTATAGAAATTTTTAATTAGATATTAATTAACTTACCAACACCATAATAACTCTCGATGCCATCAGATGGCTTCGATATAAAGTAGATTTAAATATGTTTTGCGGTTGATGGTTACCCTAAAAATGGATAATCGTGACTTTGTTTATTATCGTAACAATGGTAGCAATGAAAATCGAGGTTAGACTCAGAGTGAAGTAATTTCATTATATATTTTTAAACTATTATAGAGATAACTCTCAGCTCTTTATCTAATCTTCCCTAATGCCCCTTTAACATTTTCCGCTAAGTAATTTCATTGGTTGACACTTTGGGACAAGATAACTTTGATTCTAACTGTCGCAGGTTTGCCCCTGGTGTTAGCAGAGAAAGTGCATCAGAAATTTCCGACGTGGTTTCCCCTTGTCAGTGGTGCAGGAAGGAGGGTCTGACAAGGACCGCTGTCAAGTCGTTTAGAGGTCCCCTTGGTTGTTGGAATTCAATCTAAGAGTGGGCTCTAGCGCCACTGTCCAGGCGAAATGTTCCTCATAGAAAACAGCATGGCATATGCCTGTCTTCATTAGCCCAGCCAGAGCGGAACAGTAGGACGTTTCACCCTATTTCATATCATTCTAACAGATGGAGAGTGATGAAACTTGGTGTATAGTTTCACTACCAGGTACTTCAAAACCTTAAACATTTTCTGCTTAGAAAAAGTATAGATAATCATTTTGATTACTCGATACTTATCAAAAAGATAAATTTACAATCAATCTATTTATTTTGGGATTGCGGCGAGGGACATCACCCTCACTGTTGGCTTGTTATCTAGCGTTGAACGAAGTTAGGGAAGGATATTGAAATAGGTTCCGTCCCAATTTCATTTCCAGAGCATATGTCATAAACCATTCAAGATATCTTCATGAAACTTTGTACAAACATTAACCTATTATAGTAGTTGTGCCTTTTACTAATTTTGAATTTCTTCGATTTATATTTTTTTGTGTTTCCATGGAGACAAACTTGATTTAGTTATTGGTATACAATTTTGTTTCCGGAGCAAATCTCATAAACTGTTGAAGTTATCTTCACTTTGTATAAACATCAACCTATTATAGTAGTTGTGCCTTTTGCTAATTTGGAATTTATCTGATTTAATCATTTTTGTGTTTCCATGGAAACAAATTTGACTTAGTTTTTCGTGTACAATTTTGTTTCTGGGGCACATCTCATAAACCATTCAAGATATCTTCATGCATCTTTGTACAAACATCAACCTGTGATATTTGTTGTGGTTTTTGCTAATTAGAAATTTCTCGGATTTAATAATTTTTGTGTCTCCATTGAAACAAATTTCTCTGTTGGATGATTTTTGAAATTTTACTACACATTTGACTTAGGTTTTGGTATATAATTATAATTCTAGAGAATATCTCAGAAACTGTTCAAGATACTTTTATAACACTTCTACATTCATCAACCTATTATTTTATTTTCTGATGAGGGGGTCACGGTGGCTAAGTGGGTAAGACGCTGGCTCGCTAGCCTGAAGGTCGGGTATTCGATCCCTGCATTGACCGAGAAAGTTCATCCAGATTTTCCAGCGTGGTTCTCCCTTGTCAGTGATGCAGGACGTTGGGCCTGACAAGAAAAGCTGTCTAGTCATTCGGATGGTACGAAAAACCGAGGTCCTGTGTACAAATTGACATGTACATAGAAGATCCCTTGGCAGTTGGAATTCGACATTAGAGTAGGCCGTAGTGCTGCTGTCAGGACAAAATTTACCTCATAGCACACTGTATGGTGTATGCCCGTCTTCATTAGCCTAGTTCGGAACAGAACAGTAGAACGTTAAACCCCATTTGATTTCATTTTTATTTTCTAATGACCGTCCTTCTGTCCCGATTTCGTTTCTGGGGCATATTTCATTATCCATTCAAGAAATCTTTTTGAAACTTTGTACAAACATCAACCTATTATAGTATTTGTTTTCTGATGTATAAGCTTATTGTTTAACATACAGTAGCTGATTGAGGTAGGCAAAGGTTGTTGTGCAAACCTTACAGGGAGTAGAGACCGTGCCTTGCCGAGCTACTTTGATCAGAGTATGAATCTTCTGACTAGTCCCATTGATATTCCAAGAAGTTGTTTTTCCTTATGCCTTCCGTGCAAGGGCGCGGGATGATGATGACTAGTCATCTTGTTTAAATTATTATGCTTAGTAAGTGTTCTTTATCCCTGTTTATGTTTTATTTTCCAGCTGTTCTACTATACGAATCGCTGTAAGTATTATTATTTTCATGTAGATATGTCCAAATATACAGTACATATGCTAGTGCAGAAGAATATTATGGGGAATAAAACTTTTAGATTGGAATTTGACTCACTTTCACAAAAATATGATTTCTGGACTGAGATGGTAAAAACAATTGGTTTCCAAATTGGAAATAGCATTAGTAAAATTGTCTGGTGATTGTCTGGTTGGCTAAGCTTCTTTTGTGGCAATAATGACACAGTTGAATTGACTTCAGTACTAGGACCATCATGTTATTATTACTTACACACTTCGATTAATTTGTTCATTAATCCATTGTTTTACTGATTAACCATTGTTATATATTTATTTTGATTATCCAAATCAAATGATACACATTTCTAGTTTTTAAAACTAAAAGAATAACTTTGGTTGTTTTTGACTCAATCGTACAGTAAATGATGTTCTTTCAGTGACCAACGAGTAAACTATACTGCATAATAAACATGCAAATATTAAGCACCATCTACTTTCATTTTGGACTAGTCGCCTTTTACTATTCCATCCCAGAATGGAACCCACATTGTCATCATACAGCAATATTACTTGGATCTGAGTTAACTTACTCAGTCCATTTAAAATCTGTTTACGAGGTGAAAGTAGAGTGAACATGTTGATACACCAAACTTTATATTGTGATATGTTTTGCAGAGACGTCTGTAGTGCAATATATTGATTTTTATAAGCCCACATTGCTTGTGGACACTCAAGAGGCTAAGGTTAATATCTAATCGAAAAATTTATACACAGTGTTTATGGTCATAACACGGAGAAGCCTACAGATTTTCAACAATTTACGATAATTACTGCCAGAGTTATGTCCCTTTACCCCATTGCAAAAATTTGTGGACGCCCTAGAGGCTAAAGTTAATATCCTATGAACTTTAAGTTATCATCCGATTGACTTTAAATTCATAAATAGTGTTTAAGGTTTGGAAAGGATGAACCCTTTTGATCTTCAAGTTTCCAGTAATTACTACCAAAGTCATGGCCCTTGATCGCTTCGAAAAATGTTGTCCATGCTCCCAAGACCATATTTATCATCTGATTGACTTTGGATTTATACACAGTGTAAGGTCATGATTTTTTAACAGTTTCTGATCACTTGAACAGCTACTTCATGATATTAAAAGTTTTGTATACAAAACGTTTGCATGTGACAGAACTAGAAGCCAGACAAATTCTAATGATTTCTGATAATTACTTAATGGGTTGTTACTCTTAATCAGATTTTAGTGTGTTGTAAATGTTGTCATTACCGAAAAAAAAAAAAAAAAAAAAGCAAAAAACATGTAAACTGATTGGACGACTTAACAGATGTGAGTGTATGTTTCGTTGCCTGGCAACCTATCTTTTTGACAGCCCTAATGACACTTATCTATTAGATTTTATTTGGTATATGATACAAAAATATTTATTCTGTATAGTTTCAGAAACTATTATTCTCTGCAACTCTTTCTCAAGATCCAGAAAAACTACAGCAGTTAAATTTATTTCAACCCCAACTTTTTACAACGATTTTGGAATCAAAATCTAAAGACATAGGAACCCCAAATGGCACTGAAAATACAGGTATTTATTATTGTCTGATTGTTTTACCTTACCATTGCCATCAAATTCCTAATCTGTTGGTGGGTCCCAGGTTCAATCCAAGTGTTGGCCGAGAAAATTCCTGTCGTATCCCCTTTTCAGTGATGCAGGACTGACGACCTGGTAAAAAATAAAAGAGTAGGGTATAGCACGTCTGACCGGGCAATTTCCCTCATAGCCCACTGCACAGCATATGCATGTCTGCATTAGTCCGGATGGAGCAGAAAAATAGAACATTAAACCCCATTTCATTTAATTTTTGTCCGTGGGATTCAAAGTATTATGATTTATCATATGAATTGAATGCCATTTTAGCTTAACATAGCTTAGCTTTATGGCAACAAAACTATTTTATGATTTTGTTTCTGACAGAAAGTCAAGAAGAGAGAGGTGATTTTGTTGGCAAATATACAACACCAGCAACTTTACAGGTAAAATCGAGTTTATAATTTTCAGTTATAGTAGATACATGTAAAGTAGTTCTTAGTCAGGAAGGTGGACACATGCCATTAATAAAGTGCATGCAGTTTTGTTCAGGCATAAGATAGATAACACCACCCGAATTATCATTAGAAACTTCAGGTGTAGATAGTCTAAATATTAACAGAATTCTAAATTATATATAATATATGATACTGTACATTAGAACAACCACTGACTACTAATGTACAGTATCATACATTATAGTATAAAATATAACACTGATGAAGAAATTATATTGAAACATGTAGAAGCAAATTGGTGTTATTTTTATAATTTATTCTATAATGTATATACAGTTGACTCTGTCACATCCGACCTCTGAATACTCTGGCACTCTGTGAAATCCGACATCATATTCATGTCCCGATTTATTTCCTTATTATTTCAGCCAAAAAATCCGTACCCTGAATATTCCGAATTACGACATCAATCACATGAATCAACACTGTATAATCCGCCCTTCAATCGCGTAGATCTTTGTTGATTACTTTGATAATTTCATAATCTCTTGTAAGACAATTGTGACAAATACTCAAGAATACCCACAAATTTTCCCACGATTTATTCATAGTCGTAAAAATATTCCCAACACCTGTTGGAAACCTTCGTTGCGCATGCCGATTGAACCTGAATACCTATGTTTGTTACCCTTCCGGTTTTGAGAAAAATGAGTATTCCGACACTCTGCGACATTCCGACATATAGTAACGGCCCCGTACGATGTCGGATTTGACAGAGTCCACTGTATATGATTTGCTCAGAGAAGTCTATGATGGGGAAGTGATCTGTTATCTATCATCTTTTCTCTGTTTCTAGGAACGCCATATTGAATGTCAAGCTTTTCAGAAACCGTTGATGGTCTTACACTGTATACATAATCTTAACTACAGACAGATTCTCTGCTTTACTAACTCAGTGGAGTCCACACATAGGTACGATATGTATTTTGATAAAGAGTTTTAATTGCCCTATGTCAGATGTTCGAATATTGTTTGATACCATACCATGCTAGTTGACTATATGGTAAAGATTTGTAACTTGCAGTCTATTTTAATGTTTGCAATTATTTTATAGATTGTTTTTATTGATAAAGTTATGTGGTGGTATAAAAGTACAGGAGTTTAGTTCAGCTTTAACTGGAACAGTTCGACAAAAAATACTAAATGATTTTGCCAGTGGTGACATTAATATGTAAGTTTTGTTAAAAGTAATTAAAGAGACAGTTGAATTAAAATAATCTTATTTATTTTTTTTATATCTTTCAACTTGTAACTTGAAATGAAATGGGGTTTAGCGTCCTACTTTTCTGAATTGATAACGCATGTAGTCAATAGTTTTTATCCACCACATAGAAATGTGGTTGTATATATCGCGTCGGCAACAATTTCTTGTGAACACTCTGCAGACTACATTTATCATATGGTTGTTTTGAAATTGGTATATGTTGTTTACATTAGTCAGATGAAGAAGAATAATTTAATTTCAATAATTTCCATTAATTTCGTCTGGGGTTATGGCCCTTGTTTCACTTTGTTGCACCTTGTTAACACTCTAAACAACAAAAGTTGTCATCCGATCTGTATGAAATTTATATTCATTATTTAAATTGGTGAAATTAGGAATCTTATTGAATTTCAGCTATTTCCATTTATTACTTCTAGTTATGACCCTTTTTTTACTTTGTTGATACTTGTGAATGACAAAAGTTATCACCCAGTCTGTATAAAATTTATATGCATTATTTAAATTAGTAAAACAAAAAAGTCTGTTGAATTTCAACAATTTATGTAAGTTACTTCCAGAGTTCAGGCCCTTGTTTCAATTTCTAGAACCTTTTGTACAATCTGATTTGCATGAAATTGTCCTGTTAATGCCCCCCATTACCTACAAAAGAATAAATATGTGACAACCTTTGTCGACTGCTTGGATGATTTAGCTGCTGTGGGCGTATGCTATGTTTTGTTGCCTGCCAGCCTATCTTTTTTCACAGGATCAAGAAACAAGCATTTTTCTCAATATGTTCTGTCCTTCACAAGATATAATATTTTTGTAGGATTATTTGTTCTGATGCTATGGCAAGAGGTATGGATATAAATAATGTTGAGTATGTGATATTATATGATAGACCTAGTCATATTCAAACTTATATACATCGTGTTGGTCGTACTGCTCGTGCTGGTAAACCAGGAACAGCTATTACTATACTTGAACAGAGAGAAGTAAGTAAAGTTTTCATAAATTGTTTGATGTAATTTGCTCACCCTTATCATACTCTATTCAGTGACGGATCATGGCGAGGTCAAATGCCTCAGACCCTTTGATGTATAGTTTCACTACCAGATCTTCAAAACCTTGACTCAGTTTGATCGTGAACATTTTATGCTTAGATTAAGTATAGTTAATCAGGTTGATTGCTCAATACCTTTGAAAAAGATAAATGTGCAATTAATCAATATGTGTCATATATTTATTTTGGGATTTTGGCAGGACATCAGCCTTACTGTTGGCTTGTTGGTCTACGGGTACTCTACTCATGTGTGCTTGGCTAATATGCAAAATAATCTGTAAAATAAGTGTATTGTATCAATATGAAGTGTATCTTTTATGACATATCATTAGTATGTACTATGTTCTTTTCTTCATCGCCACATATCTCGATGTGACAAATAGAAGAATCCATTTATATTTTAGAATATGACTTCTGGCCCCGAGTTCACAAAACATTCTCAGACTTAAGTTAAGAATTTACTCAAAATTGTTCGCATTATATTAACTAATATATATAACCCTTTATAAAACTTGTGTTGTTTCAATGTATCAAATACATCAATAAGAAACTATGTGCAAAGTTTTGTGTTTCTGGAACCAAGATATTTCTCATAAGCAGTGATTGAAAGTTGAGTAAATTCTCAACTTAAGTCTGAGAATGCTTTGTGAACTTGGAGCCATGACTAGCCTGGGGTTTTTTGTACATTATCTCAATATACCCACAAGGCTAATTTAAGCAGGGACCGTTCTGTGATAAGAAATCTGGATTTGATATCTCAATGGGGAGAGGCAACGACAGTGATTTTGGACCCAAAACAATAGAAAACTATTGTAAAGAGTAATTTCTCGTTTTTAGGTTTGTACTTACAAGACAATGTTAAAGGAGGCCGGGAAAGAGAAATTTAAAAAGTTAAAAATTAAACCAAACAAGTTAATTTCATTGAAACCAATGTATGATGAAGCCTTAGAAAAACTTCCAGCTATTATTAAGGTAAGATATGTTATGTGAATTGGTGTTAATTAACTATTGAGACCATAATCAAAAGATGGCATCATAATTTCATAACTGTCCAGCAGCATGGGTGGTTGAAGTGAAGTGCTTTCTCCCCATAAGAGTAAACGTAGACCTTTTCTGCAACCAATCAGTGGATTCCAACTTAATTTTATTGGATTTTAGGCATTTTTTCTGTCTTCACTGATATAGTCAATAAATTTGATGGGTGTATTACTTTGTTGGTGTATATTCTCAATCTACCAGCGGTTGCCAGGAAAGATACGCCCACATTTTTCAAGAGACGGATAGAGAATAAGCTCAAATAAAAAGCGATTTTTCATACAATCAGGGGCCATAATTCAGGAAATTATGGCTTGAAATGCGCGAATATCGAATGTACTAAGATATTTGGGATATAAAATAAAAATTGTGACTTCTAGAAGGTCCACAATCTTGGTATTACATACTTTTACACTATTTGCATACACGGAGTGGCCATTTTGTCAGGCAGTTTCATTAAGATATTCACGGAATTCGAACTTAACCGTCGTTAGGGTGTAACAGTGATACATTTAAACGTTTTTTTTTTAAAATGGATCTGTCTGTCCGTCACACCTTTTGGGACACAGTAACTCTCCTTAAAATTGAGCAAGAATGTTGAAACGTGGTGTGGGAGTTTATTAGGTCAGTGCCTTGATGGAATTAGAAAAAGAGTATTTTCTGCTGAGAGTAAGCAGAGATAAGCAATTTGATTGGTTGATGTTTTAAACATTATAACTTTAGTTCTAATTAAGCGAGAGTAATCAAACCTGGTGTATAGTTTCATTACGTTAATACCTTGACTAAGTTCGATAATGGTCGAGACTTTGGAACACAATAACTCTCCTTCTAACTGAGCTAGATGAATGCCTCGATGAGAATTTCCTGCTTAGGATAAGCAATTTGATTGGTGAATGCTTTGGGACACGATAACTTTAGTTCTAATTAAGTGAGAGGGATGAAACTTGGTGTATAGTTTCATTTCATCAGTACCTTGACTAAGTTCAATAATAATCAACATGTTCTGCTGAAGGTAAGCAGAGGAATAAGTAATTTGATTAGTTGAGACTTTTGAACACAATAACTCTCCTAGTTGAGGTAAAATGTTCAAACTTGGTGTAGGCATTGATTAGGTGCATTCATTAGGTGAATGCGTTGATGGAGTTCAAAGATGAGCATTGTCTGCTTACGGTAAGATAAACAATTTGATTGGTTGATGCTTTGGGGCACAATAACTTTGGTTATGATTAAGTGAGAGTGATGAAACTCTGAGTACAGATGCATTATATCATTACCTTGACTAAGTTTGATGAGAATTTTCTGCTTAGGCTAAGGAGTGATAAGCAATTGGGGAGCAGCAGCCTCGCTGTTGGCTTGTTCAAACGTTTTTTTTTAAATCGGATAATAATTGTGACCTCTAGAAGAACCACAAGCTAAAAACATGATTTTATGTACAATCAGGGGCCATAATTCAGGAAGTTACGATCCGATATGTACAAATATCGAAAGGAACCATTTAAAGTTTCATCAAAATCAGATGAAAATTGTGACATCTAGAGTGTCCACAAGCTAAAAATAGTATTTTTCGAACAGTAAGGGGTCATAATCAATGAAGTTATGGTTCAATACATGCCAATATCGATAGGAACCGAGATCTTTGGGAGATAGACCTATATTTCAAGTTTCGTCAAAATCGGATAAAAATAAATCCACACGAAAATGTGAGCATATAAAAAGGTTGGAATCGAAGTCACATAGATAGTACTTATTTAGATCCATTCACAAATAATTTTAACCAATTTTGGTACTCGATGATACCGCATCACAATTTAAACCATGTATTCGCAATAAGTTAGTAGTAGTCAGATTATCAAATTGATAGAACAATTAATAGGCAATTAAGTCCACTTAGGCTGTGTTCCACTGTTTTATCAAATAGACCTTTGCATTTCTTTCAGGCAGAGAAACAAGGAAAGAAGGAAGACCATTAATGTTGACAATGCATTTCATAAAAGACATAAAATTAAATAAGGTTATACCACATGGCTTCTGTAAAGAGACTTCAAACTGTAGGTTACAGACATCTCTTACTTTTGAGCACACATGTGGTATTACGAATATATTGCCAGCACTGTGTATGTTAATTTATGTATTTATTATCTCACATCAAATCAATATGACAATCCATCTTTCTTGTTTATGTAAATAATGTCAATTTTTAATTATGAAAGATAGACTAGTAAACATGGAGATCATAAATAATTCCAGAAGAAATCTGTTTACAATGAAGCATTAAAAATTAAAATAAACATTGTATTTAAATGTTTATGTACATGCTATAAACAATACCATTTATCTCATAGTCTTGATAAATAAAATAAAAATATGCATTTATAGAGATACGAGTTACTCGTACAAAATAAAAGGATTAACATTAGCATCGATCCCAGATTCATCTGTTCAGACTTTTTCTCTATTTCAGCAAATATAGGAGCAGAACAGTAGGACGTTAAACCCCATTTCATTTCATTTCATTTCAGCAAATAGATAATTTTGCGAAAGCATAACAGCACAAACACTTAGACTATATATAAATACTATATAAAAATAATGGAGTAGAATATTGAAGATAAAGAGCTGACCATTCTTGCTATAATAGTTCAAAAATAGATAATTAAAAATGAATATATTGAAAATTTCAGTTAACTACTTTATTCTCAATTGTCAAATAGGCCTACCTTTGTTACGATAATAAACAAAGTCTTGATTATCCACTTTAACGTTAAGTTAAACAATAGGGCAGATGTTGTCTAATTTACCTAATATTTCAATGTGATGATCTAGAAAGTTGATTATGGGCTTGTCATGTGAATAAATGACAAAATAGTATATAAACATTTAAAGACATGCAATAGGCAGATTTAGCTCTTACCTGTAATGCATCTTTAACAAATTGTGGTTTGGCATTGGAAATGTTCATTTTGATGTTTTATATAATTTGAGGTCTGTATGTTGATTTATCAAAAATAAGGTCATAAATGTAGAAAAGTATGAGAATGTACTGAAGAAAACTTATTTTGACCATTTGGGCAAAGCCATATACAACAAGCCATATACAAAAAATTAGTTTAGTAATTAAAAAGAAATTTTAAAAAATGGATTAAAGTTTCAAGAAACATAAAAAAAAACCCAAACTGCTACTGCCTATAGCGGCAGACACACTAACCGAATTAATTTGCTCCAAATTGCGTCCGAATAAGTGGACACACTAGGAAAATTCTTCATCCCGATTCACCAATCGATTGCATCACCTTTCACATCACAAGATTAAACATGACAACGTCCATGTCTTCAAACAATCATATGACTTCTCAACATCAGTGGTGATTGCCTAATGAATTCTATAATCGAGCGATTGCTTCAGCAAAGCGGACACACAAGGCAAATATAAACACAGAGAATAAAAATTTGACCAAATAAATCAAACATGTTTGATTCAGGCGAATAGAAATTGGACACACTAAGCGAATTTCAGCAACGATTGATTTGGCCAAATGATTCGGCTAGTGTGTCCATCTCTTAAGACAACTTCACTCTCAATCTCAACACAACACAATCTGCACTATACATGCCTTTATAAAAACATCTGTAATTTCAGGATAACCAGCCATGCTAACCTTACGCTGTCTATAATTAGCTTCACTTGAAAACAGACATTAAGCTAGTTGACCGACATTTTAATTCCTAAATCAAGAATATGCTTTGACCAAACTAAACACCAATATACATGTAGTTCTCAAATTCAACATAAAATCTAACTAAGAAACCATGGAAGAAAATAGTCATGTAAACCCTTCTATATCAACGAACTAAGGACACGGCAGAATAAGCCCTAATAAAAACAACTACCCCGAGGACACCCTGCTCCTAATCTTCTTATAAGAACACAAATTCTTTACAACCAAACACAATCAACCATCGGGCTGTAGTGAGTTGAAAGCAAAAGTAACTGTTGCTTACATCCAATTTAATAGTCAAACTACACATTTATTCTGGGGCAGATGCTAATTCTGGGTATTTGGCTGCTCTCAAAAAGCTATACAAGGCTCAACAGTGAAGTCAAGATGTATGAAAAGTACCATTTGACAACGAGCAAGGGAATAAAATGATGTAATATACAGCGAGTTGTGTGTACAATAACTCAAAGATTGATACATACATTGGTACTTTCCCCGAGCTTCTATATGAGCTTCTATATGATACGTAAGAGATTTCAAAGTTTACCACACGATACAGGGTCATACGACAAGAAGCTATGGAGAGTGAATTATCAAGCATACATTATGACCCACTATGAAACCTGTCTGCACCACCTTCTCCACTAGAAAACAGATGAATTAAGAAAACCCCTGTTTTGTCTGTGCATACAAGTGACCTAACAATTGCAAGACAACATAACATTCATCCCTGTTGAAGGATACAGAATCGGACAGCTGTACTGATTGTGAGTATTCCAGTGATTTAAGTAAGTATGAGTAAGACATAATGTGAGGTTGAGTAAGACAAATATGTGAGCACCAGTTAGCTTTTGGAAACATCTGCTTTCAAATCATAATTGTCCGATGATTGATAGTGTTTGGCTGTGAATTTGTGTTCTATTAGTTCCTGACCCTCTTGTTAACGCTCATTACTTGCTCTTAATCCTTGATACCAAAGTTTTTACACTTTGGTTTTCTTCCATCGTCTCCTAACTGTAGCTATTATGTCGATTTTGAGAACCATATTGGCATTCCGTTCTATCATAGCACATTTAGCTGTTTAGATATGGATTCTGCGACCCCGAAAACCTACAGTTTAACATATTACACGATCACATTACTAGGATTGAAATGTCTCGCCAAATGTGGATGGCATTTTGAACATACCGGTCACATTGGCATCCCGTTTGGTCGAAACATCTTTTATGTTAATTTCTGAATTAGGAGACCCCAAAAACCAATATTTCAATCTATCTGATAAAAATACAGATCTATATTTCGTTTGTTTTTTTTTATACTTTCTATGGCCTCTACTACACGAAGATCTGACCAGTTGTAGAGGGAGATCGCTTCAGATGCAATCAGCGTGGATGTTTGTAGTGGGTTACCCACAGTTCCGTGCAACTCACGCCAAAGACTCCACGTAACAGACCATTTCATCCCTCACTTCATCCAGAACGTGGGTTATATAACAACTCTTCCAGATCCTAGTGTAGTAAAGACAAGTAAACAAAATTTTGAACTATAAAAAAGGAAACGAAATAGGATCTGTGTTTCAATCAGATTGTATTTCAGGATATAACACAACTATATAGGGGACTATGAGCCCCATTTTGAATTTCATCCGCTGGCAGAATTGGCAGTCACATTTGGGAGGGATACCCATGCACACTGGATTCAGCGGGTCGAATTCTTATAGAAACGACCTTCCGACCTAGGTATGAGAGAATTTGTCTGGATTTTACCCAATTAAATAACCAGAAAATGCCTTATGTGTCCCCAAGGGTGACAGGGCGGCATCATCTAGATTCTGAATCTACACATATCGAAGATATATAATCCATCAAAATATGTACACTATTCGAAGATATATAATCCATCAAAAAACATTAGGTGGAAGATATTTCCAGGCTTGTCGACCTGCTGCCGGACTAGGCTTATTTGTGCATATCAATCCTTAATCTGAGCTAAAAAGTAAAGTTGGCTTTGTGTTAAGATTCCGAGTGATATCAGAAAATGTTATGAAATTAAAAATATTTCTAATGTTGTCCTTTCAAATTCTACTTCCATATTGTGGACTGATGAATTTCACTGTTTCCAAAAATCTGGATTTTTTTCTAGTCTTCGTTGGAAAGTTTCGAACCACTTTTGTAAAGTACTTAGAGGCACATATGTTTCAGTTGGATTTGGTGTCATTTGAGATTGCTGAATAGCAAAGGACGATGCAAAGTTATAAAAGTTTTCTAACATCTTTGGTGCAAACTCTGAGAAAGACTTTACACTTAAAGGAGTGGATATAGATTCTGGTGTTTGCTGGGCAAGCTGTACAATAGGTTCTATAGATATTCCTATTTGCGCCACATGAGTTGGTCCTACTGACAATGAACTAAACGGATGCGCAACATCATTACTTGATTCTGAAAATAAATAATAAACTTTTTAAAAAGAAAGAAAATAAAAACTCGAAAACTCATTAAGGTCAGTAGATATTAACAAATATATTCTCTGACTGGATAATTGGAGCTATATTTACTCACTTCATGCTGCTGGCAACTTGCTCATGCAGGTAAACCATCAAAGTTTCTATGATTATCCAGGCATTGTGAGATTTGCTTGAACTGAACAAATTTTGCTGGGATGGGCTTCAATCAGAATAAAGATGGAAAACATGTTTCGACATACTATTATAGAGACATTAAAAGATTATGTCAGCTTTGTCTCCAGGATAAACTGAATCCTTAATACACAGCTGGAATATCTGGCAATATCCCTTTAAAACAATACAGAAACAATATCGGTTGGTTGTATTAGAGATAAACTACTTTATGCATCCTGACAATCTGATGCATATACAAATTTCAGATTCCTCTCTGAACTTGCCTTTTAATTTGGTTATCTTGAATATGGCACTTGGTTTATTGTTTGTAATGTGTCCCAATAATATCCAAGATGTTCCACTAGGATTTGGCCATGAGAAATAAACTGAAATACAAAATTTGGTAGTCAATAAAAATATAAATCATGCATCTTGAAATCATTAAAATAGCCCAAGTCATAAAACTTGCCCCATTAAATAGACAAATACTGTATAACCAGGCTGTACATCTTCAGCAATGGCTACTCCTTTTCTATTAAATAAAACTTATAATTGGAATAATAACTGATATAATTTCTACATACCAGCTCCGCCTAAATCTGTAGGAAATGGTGTCTGTCCTGTCATAAATACCACAATATGATTGATATTGTCAGCATCTGGTATATTAAACAGAAATTGTGTTTCTCCAACCTGTTGACAATCTGTTTGCACCTTAATAAAGATTTGAAAAATCAGCCTTTGTTTTAAAATTCTGGTTATAAGCTATGAATGTTATTTATATTATAACCAAAGAAACTGAAATAAACACCAACAAAGAAGAATAGTTTTCAGTAAGCCTGTGTATTAAACATGCATTATGCAAGAGCAAAATCTGCTTATTACAAGTCTTTCTTTAGGCCTGAAATGTTATCTAAAATTAACTTATCCAGACCATAATAAACTCTCAATGTCAAGGCTAGCCTTCGATGTTGGCTGGATTAGATTCCTATATGCTGCTAACGGCTGTTGATAATTAAATAAGAAAAAGTGGATAATCGAGACTATGCTGTTTATATTAATGATTTTAGTAATGATGACTGAAACTATGCAAAAATTTCACCCGCTTCTTTCTCAGCTCATAGTGGATCAGTTTGACTGAAATTTTCAGCAAATTACCTTTACACTATCTAGTTTTTAACTATTATAGCGAGAACTGCCATCTCTTTATCTTATCTCCCATAATGTATCTTTAATGAAAAAGCTTGGATCAAAACCCAAACATGCCTGAATGAAGGCTAGCTATCAAAACCAATAGTTTTTTGTCCAAAAATTATTCAATTAATCTGTTGATTTCACACCACCATCTTTATGTCATAGAACCAGCGGCTGCCATGCAAGATAGAGAATAAGCTAAACAAAAATGTGATTTTTGTACAATCAGGGGCCATATTGTTAGGGTCCGATATGCACAAATATATCAAAAGGAACCAAGATCTTTTGGATATAAACATTTTAAGTTTCATCAAGATCGGATAAAAACTTCTAGAGGGTCCACGATCTTGGTATATTACTTTTACACTATTTGCGTATAAATAGCAGCCATTTCGTCAAGCAGTTTTTTTTAATCATATAAAAATTGTGCCGTCCACAAGCTACACCAGCGGCTGCAAGGCAGGATACGCCCACATTTTGCAAGAGATGGATAGAGGACAAGCAAAACAAAAAGCGATTTTTTGTACAATCAAGGGCCATAATCCAAAAAGTTATGATCCGATATGCGCGAAGATCAACAGGAACCAAGATCTTTGGGTTATACAGATATATTTCATGTTTCATCCAAATCGGATCAAAATTGTGGCCTCTAGAGGGTCCACAACCTTGATATATACCATATATTTACACTATTTGCATACGAGCGATGGTCACTTTGTCCAACAGTTTTGGTCTGATTTTCACAAAATTCGAACTCACCTATCATTACTAAATAGGGTGTAACGTAGTTACGTAAATTGTATCAGCGCCGATACAATTTACGTTACTAAAGTAACTAGGTGTAACGGTGATATATTCAAACGTTTTTTTTTTTTTGTTTTTTTTAAATCAGATAAAAATTGTGACTTCTATCGAAGAATAATAACTTTTGTCGTTAGAGCGTTCACACAGTTCAACAAGGGCCATAACTTTACATGTAAATGTAATAAACAGAAATTGCTGAATTTCAATAGGCTTCATCATTACATTAATTTAAATGATGCATATGAATTACATACAGATCGGTTGATCACTTTTGTTGTTACGGCGTTCACAAGGTTCAACAAAGTGAAACAAGGGTCATAACTCTAGACGTAATTAACGGAAATCGCTGAAATTCAATGGGCTTCATTGTTTCACTAATTTAAATGATGCATATCAATTTCATACAGATCGGATGATAACTTTTGTGGATACAGCGTTCACATGGCTATTAAATAAAGGGAAGAACTTCCCACTAAACCAAATCCATGGCCTAAGGCCAATTGGAAAGATTGCAAAATCATATTCTAAAAAACAGGAATCAGCTTCGGCTCTCCTATGTCTTGTCTGCGATATCACTTATGTGGAAGCAGACGTTAAACACCAAGAACGAACGAACGAACATTCACATGGTTCAACAAGGGCCATAACTCTAGACATAATAAACGGAAATTGCTGAAATTCTATTGACTTCATCGTTTCACTAATTTAAATGATGCATATAAATTTCGTACAGATCGTTTCATAACTTTTGTCGTTAGAGCGTTCACGAGGTTCAACAAAGTGAAACAAGAGCCATAACTCTAGACATAATTATCGGAAATTGCTGAAATTCAATAGGCTTCATCGTTTCACTAATTTAAATGATGCATATCAATTTCAGATGATAACTTTTGTCATTAGAGTATTCACAAGGTTCAATAAAGTGAAACAAGGGCCATAACTCCAGAAGAAAAAAACAGAAATTGCTGAAATTCAATAGAACTCTTCATTTTACCAATTTAAACAATGCATATAAATTTGATACAGATCTGATGATAAATATAGTTTGTAGAGTGTTCACAAGAAATTGTGGAGGACAGACGGGCGGAGGCGATGGCAATATACAACCACATTTCCAGGGGTAGTAGGCAGAAAAGATAGATGGAATTTCACTTCATTGTATCTTTGTAAATACTGTAAACCATTTTTGGACAAAACTTGGTGTATACTTTCATAACATCTTTATTCTGAGTTTCTGACTGTTCGATAATGAGCATTTTCTGCCTAGGTTATTCGGGTTCAGCAGAGTGATCAGTAATTTCATTTTTCGATACTATACAAAAAAGGTAAGTGTCATCTTGAGGTACTTCCTCAGCCGCCACCACCAGGATTGAACCCCAGACTTCTTATATGGTTAGTGTGGTTAACTCACTAAAAATGATTTTACACATAAGTTGAGGACATTCTTGCTATAGGCCTACTTTAGGATAGAGTAGTTGGCATATATATGTCTGGTAAAATGTAAGACTTACATTACCCATATTGCATGTGCAGCAAAAATTATCACAGCATATTTCTTGGAAGACACAGCTCCAGAAATGATGTTGACAAATTAAAGGAGCTAAATCACTAATATTTGGGACCTAGAAATTGACACAAATGGGTCGCAATGCATATAATAATGTAATATGAATGTATATAAACTGAATATTGTAATATTCAATCGTTTCTGTTTTTACTGCAATTCCTAATCAGTTATGTTCGGCGAAATATGCCAGAAGTCTGATATGATTTGTGGAATATATCTAACCTCATTCTTCGAGTCCCTTCTTACAAACGGTGCTGAAACGCATTATGGTACACGATTCGTGCACCAACGGTAAAATGTTTATTTTGTCTTCAAGTAGGCCTATCTAAGTCTCTAACTCAATATCATCCAAAGTCTAACACAGTGAAAATATGAATTATTTGTCAATCCAAATCAACATGATGTTGTGTTCTTACCAGGAAACGGTAGGCTTCTGATATCCAATATTAAAGACAAAATAAACATTTTACCATTGGTACACGAATCGTGTACCATAGTATAGTGCGTTTCAGCGTCATTTGTAACATGTGACCAGAAAGAACGAGGCTAGACATATTCCACAACTGATATCAAATGGTGATGCCATATCTTATCTGGAGGGCATGCTATTCGGTTGAGACTCATGCCGTATTTCGCTGGACATAACTTATTTGAAATTAGAGTCCAAACGGAAACAATTGAACGTAAATCAGTTTATATACAATCAGATTACATTATTATATGCGTTGCGACTCATTTGTGTCAATTTCTAGGTCCCAAATATATTAGCGATTTAGCTGCTTTAAATATTGGATATCAGAAGGCTATATCTTTTCCCGGTAAGATCACAACATCAATGTTCAATGTTGATTTAAATTGACAAAGAATTAGTGTTTTCAATGACGAAGACTTTGGATGATATTGATTTTGAGACTTAGCTACACTAAAATCAGTGCATAATATTGGTGGGACTGTTTTGAGCCAAACATCTTTTACTAGTTTTACTTGGGACGAATCATCTTAATGATATACTTTAAAATCAGTGCATTTTATTGGGGGGACTGTTTTGAGCCAAACATCTTTTACGAGTTTTATTTGGGACGAATCATCTTCATGATATTAGAAACAAAGGAAATGTTTAGCCTGGCAAGACCTGAAAATAAGCAAGTGTTTGAATTAACATACCAATCTTCCGGAAACTAGTACCCCAAACATTCCACTGCTGTAAAACGTCTAAATAATGCGAACCAAAATAAAAACAGGGTTAATGTGAGAAGAAGTTCTTTCGTCTGCAATCCGAACTTTCCAGTCTGTGTAGTCTCGTTCAACCAATCCTAGAAATTGAGAAATTCGACATTAAACACGGTCGTTACTCAACAGTACAATTCAAAACACATCCAGAATCAAAGGCCATACTTATTTGACTCAGAGTCCTTTTTTAATTAAAAGATTTTGATATACATGCGTAATGCATAATGAATGTTTTAAAAGGCTGAATATCTTTTTCTTCGAGAGACTGGTTGAATGAGACCCAAGGATAACTCTAGACAATGTTTATTTCACGCCCATTGAACTCAAGTCATCTGACCATTACAGGATTTTTAATCTTTTGACTGGTAAAGGTTTAATTTCCGATGTTTTATCCCATTCTTGGATCAGAAGAACAAGGCCGCGTGTTCTAATATTATTGTTAAAATGTCATCAGAAAAGTTTGAATCATTAGAAGAAGATTTGTCTGGCATTATAGACAGTGCAAAAATAACAGTGAACCGGAAAATCCAAAATTATTCTGGCGAAGAAAGAAAAAGTGCTGTCAGACAAGTTGAACGTAAGCTCGAAGATGCTTATCTTATCATGCAAGAGATGGAGAGTGAAGCCAAGGTGGCTCCAGTTAACTACAGAACCCAAATGCTGAGTAAAATCAGAAATTTTAAGGTTGATATTGAAAGTATTTCCAGGTCCTTAAAACGGGATATGTCAGGTGCAGGAAATACAGATAGTCATGGTTTTGACAGAGAAGATCGCATGGAGGCATCACAAAGAGGCAAGTTGATGCAAGGGCACCAGTCATTGCAGCGCACATCAGATAGTATTGCACGTTCACACCAAATAGCTGCAGAAACAGACCAAATTGGTGTTGAAATTATCAGTGAATTGGGGGAACAAAGAGAAACATTAGTTCGAACAAGAGAAAGACTCACAGAAACAGACAGTAACTTGTCAAGGAGCAGAAAAATTTTAAAAGGAATGGCACGAAAAGTGATGACCAACAAAATGATTTTAATTGTTATAATACTTGTGGAACTTGCAATATTAGCAGGCGTGGTTTACTGGAAGTTTTTTAGTTGATAATGTATCACTATCAGCCATCCGAATAGAGGGAACTTATAAAATAAATAATTTTGAAATAGATAACACTTCTATGTCTAGGAAGTTTATAAAATATTTTACTTCATGTGAATTTATTCTGCAACAGTAGGCTTACATAACAATATATGGTACCGGTAATTCGTGATGTGTACGTTTGCTTTGACCATCGGCATCAGTTCTTTTTTCAGAATTCTTTGTTCTACCTTAAGTTTGCTCAATCTTTTACCCTTCATCTTTTTGCCTTTACGACTAATGATACAATATTTGATCCTTCATGTATGTGTACATAAAAATAACAACTGCAAACTCTTCTGTCATTGTAAATACTAGATAGATGTATGTAAATATTATTTATAAAAAAATAAACCCCATTAACATTTTAGTCAACACTTACCGGGTACTATAAATCTTAATAATTTAAAAGAATTAAAAATAATGTGCTGTTTTTGCATGTGGTCATTTGAAGAGTTTGCATTAATTCCCCAATTCAAATGTGAAGACTGAAAAAACCACAATGTGGCTATTTTCAAATGTGAACTATTGATTAGTAATGCAGTAAGGATTAGTAAATGGTCCAGTTTCATAAGTCAGTTTAAAGGGACCATCACGATTTTAACAGAGTCTCAGAAATAAAAGTCTGTGTACGTATGAAATTTAAGTGCCAAAATATAGAGGAATTGTGTATTTACCTTGTCTGAAAATTACAGCTCAAAGTAGTGAGTCATTTGGACGTGAACATCAAAATTGCTTATCTGGACACATAACCCTTTAAGGATTTCGGTCAATCTTTTCGATGGGTCGCCTGATAATCTAATGCTGTTCGTTTTAGAGGTCTATACAGTGCATAACCCACGTGCTGTACTTCAATAATGAAAGGTAAATTCACCTACACGTTAGTTTTATAAAATAAAAGTCTGATTTTTTCCAGATACCATATAATACTACATACAGTCTCCATATCCAGATGAAAACTGACAGGTTTAAGTTGTTTGAAAACGTATCACTTATGTTAAGTTTGTAGCTCAGCGCTAAAGTGGGGGATTTTAAGGGCTTTCAACACAAAATTAAGCAGTTTTTTGTCCAAAATATAATCAAGATTGGCCCTTTATCCAGTGAAATGAAAATTTATTATCAAATAAACACTATAGTCTACACATCACAGACTGCAATAATCAGTTTCATTCATACTCGAAAACAACAAGTTGGAAAATGTTTTCCTTTGAATTACCGTGTCCCCACAAAGAGGAGGTTTAAGAAATTTGAGTAAAAAATCAAGCAAAGCTGGCTTGAAAAAAGGGATTTTTTCTGAATACTGGTACATAATTTTAACAAAACTTTTATAAGTTTGTGATTTGTAGTTACTGAGTTAGTTACTACCATAAAGAAATATTTTGGTTAGAAAATACATCAATTACTATCCAGTATACACTAAGCCAGAAAGATGAAATACAGCAGTGTATGTTGGTTAAAAGATAAATGATTGGTAGTGTACACCAGGAGCGTCTGAATGGTGGGCCTATGGGTGCAAATGCACCCAGCCCCCAAAAGCACAGGGCAATTACGTTTTTGCTGACTGCCCTTTATAATTTTTTTTCGTACACCAGCAATTATATTGTCTGACCATCCTTCTCGCTTCAACTCTTCACCAATTTTAACAATTGATGTGTTCGAGCATTGGTTGCTTAGGTATGGGGTTAATCCCATCTAGTGCTCGTCTCCGGTTAGTGAGTGGAGACTTGAGTGCCGGTTTGCAGTTTGCTTCTATTCATACAAATCGTGTAGACGAAGTAGATGTATATAAGGTAGTTGCTAGATCCGATGAAATTGTATAAAAACAGGGTTCAAGATTTTTGATCGATATGCTACGTGGAGAGAGAGAAATGGGGTTTAACGATCACTCAAAAACAAACTAGGTCATTTCGGGACTAACACATGGTTCAATTTTATTTCAATAATTCGCTTGTGCGTAGGGGTCTTTAGCAGTGGAAGGAAACTGGAGGACCCGGAGAAAACCCATGAGGTTGGACAGGCAGCAACCAGGGAATCGAAACCACGGCAGTTGACTCAATGACAGACCGTACAATACAGCACACATGATGCTACGTGGAAATAAACCGAATCGGTTATTGATTCTAGTGATCTGAGTTGTATTTTGATCTGATTTCATTGTTTCTGCACCCGATTTTCAAAAATGTTCTCAGGAAAGTACCCCCCTTAACCCCTAGAGGAGAGAACCCCTTGCCCCTCAGATGTTCTGGCGCCCTTGGTGTACGCTGAATGTTATTAAATATACATCAATAAAAAATGATCAGGAAAGATGAAATACAGCAGTACATGGTTAGCAGATCATGGTGGGTAGGACGCTGGCTCGCTAGCCTGGAGGTTGGGTGTTCGATCCCTGCATTGGCCGAGAAAGTTCATCCGGCATGGTTTCCCCCTTGTCAGTGATGCAGGACGGAGGTCATTTGGATGGGACGAAAAACTTGAGGTCCTGTGTACACATTGGCATGCAGTTAAAAGATCCCTTGACAGTTGGAATTCGATATAAGAGTAGGCCGTAGGGACGCTGTCCGGGCAAAATTTCCCTCATAGCACACAGTATGGCGTGTGCCCGTCTTCTTTAGCCCAGTTTGGAGCAGAACAGTAGGACGTTAAACCCCATTTCATTTCCTTTTCAAATACAGACACTAACCCACACATGCATTTCAAGAAACCGTCACAGAAGTCCAATATTGTACAATTGGTACAATGCCAGTACATTATTTGAAATAATGGTATGCCAACATCAAAGGATGGTGTCACCTTTTGCATTTTACACACTTCAGTGAAAAAGATTTAGGGAGAGCCATTTATTAAATATGTAATAGTCTATATCTGGATGGAGCCAATTGCCTATCATCCATCCATAAACTTGTAGCATGTAGAAGACAATATCAGTATATTTAAACCATTCTGTTGTGTTCCTTGTCCAGGACATATTTCATCCAAGATTTAATCAGCGGCTGCCAGGCAGGATATGCCCACATTTTGCAAGAGATGGATAGAGAACAAGCTAAAAACAAAAACAATTTTTTGTACAATCAGGGGCCATAATCCAGAAAGTTGTGGTCTGAAATGTGCAAATATCAAAAGGGACTGAGATTTTTGGAATATAAAGATGTGTTTTAAGTTTCATAAAAATTGTGACCTCTAGATGGTCCATAACCTTTGTATTATACACTTATACACAATTTGCGTACAAAGAATGGCCATTTTATGAGGCAGTTTCATTTCGATTTTCCCGAAATTCCAATTCATTAAGTTGGAATCGTTATATATCTAAACGGTTTTTAAAATCGGAAAAGAAATTGTGACCTCTAGAGAATCCACAAGCTAAAAATGCGATTTTTCGACCAATCAGGGGCCATAATCCAGGAAATTAAGTTCAGATATGTGTGATTATCAAAAGGAACCAAGATCTTTATGATAAAAACATATATTTAAAGCTTCATCCAAATCGGATAAAAACTGTGGCCTTATAGAGGGGCCACAACCGTGATATACCATATTTTTTACACTATTTGCGTACAAGGGGTGGCCATTATGTCTGTCAGTTCTTGTCCGATTTTCATGAAATTAGAAGTCGACAAATATTAGTGTATAATTGTGATATATTCACATGTTTTTTTTTTTAAATCGGATAAAAATTGTGACCTCTAGAGGGACCACAAGCTCAAAACGTGATTTCTCGTACAATCAAGGGCCATAATTCAGAAAGTTACGATCTGATGTGCGCAAATATCTAAAGGAACCAAGATCTTTGGGTTATAAACATACATTTCAAGTTTCATCAAAATCTGATCAAAATTATGACCTCTAGGAGGTCAAAAACATTGATATATACCAGATGTTCACACCATTTGCGTACAAGGAGCAGCCATTTTGTCTGACAGTTCTTCACTAAATTCGAACTCCAGCATCATTAGGGTGAAACGGTAATATACTAAAACGTTTTTTGAAATCGGATAAAAATTGTGACCTCCATAGGAACCACAAGCTAAAAATATGACTTTTCGTATAATCAAGGGCCATAATTCAGAAAGTTACGGTCCGATATGCATGAATATCGAAAGGAACCAAGATCTTTGGGTTATAAACCTGTATTTCAAGTTTCATTGAAATCGGATCAAAAATTGTGTTCTCTAGAGGGTCCACAACTCTGATACACAATATTTTGACACTATTTGCGAGCCGAGATCTGTGGGTTATAAACATACATTTCAATTTTAAACCAAATCGGATAAAAATTGTGATTTCTACAGTGTTCACAAGCTAAAAACGTGACTGTTGGTACAATCAGGGGCCATAATCCATGAAGTTACAGTCTGATACATGCCAATATCGAAAAGAACCGATATCTTAGGGTGATAAACCTGTTTCAAGTTTCATTGAAATCGGATAAAAATTGTGACCTGTAGAGTGTTCACAAACAATTGTGGACAGACGGACGTCCAGGAGCGACAACAATATACGTCCACATGAAAATGTGGGCGTATAGAAAAATTCTTCAAGATCATGCCGCCACCATACACTTTCACTACCAAGTAAGTGATTAGTCTGCATCTTAATTAAGTAACAAGATGTATCTAGGATCTGAACTGTCAAGGAAATATTAAGATTGAATTATTATCCAATATTTGAAGAAAAAGCGACAATTAAAATATTATTTTCATCAACAATGGTTTTATTGTATTTACCTAATTGAAATCTGAGTAGACAAGAAAAAAAACAACAACAGTAAAATAAAGGATCACAATGATTTAGCTACATTATTATGATCAGCAAACTGGTTATAAATGCATATACCACTAATTAGAGACAGAGAGAAAATGTTTGGATTTAAAAGTATTGCACAAGAAGATTAATAAAGCCGCTGATTATCATTTTGCATTTCCCAGACAATATCTAATTGTTCCCAGCTTAATCTATTATTTAACGTTTAACAAAATTTAAATATGAAGGGTAATCAATCTCCCAGCTTAGATTCAATTGGATTTTAAAAAGTCACATTAAAAGAGAGCACTGGTTTGTTTATATTGTCTGCAGAGTGTTTCAAAATTTTCAATTCATCATATCTTCATCAAGACTGAATGGAATTGAACCATTTTTAGATTGATATTCCTTACAGCTATTTGACTTTCACAATATTATAGCTTGCAAGGGATTCAAAATCCCTCAAATGACGATCATTAGCTTTAATCTATTATGCAAAACAGTCCAATATTGTAAAACTCTTTCTTATGGCCTTTCATCAGAATTAAAATTTCAATCGCTTAATTCTCAGTTCATAGTGGATCAATTTGACTGAAATTTTCAGCAAATTGCCTTTACATTATCTAGTTTTTAACTATTATAGTGAGAACTGCCAGCTCTTTATCTAATCTCCCATAATGTATCTTTAAATAAACACATGACAAAAAAGCTAACCACATTATTTCCATCATGGAATATAAAGCCTTTCACATACAAAATGATCGCTAATAAAATGCATGTATCTTATTTGCTACATAAAATGATCTTTTGCATGTCTATTGTATGGGATAAATAAGCTACAAAACCTGAGATTAATTAACTCTCTGGTGTTTATATTATATTATATTACAGAATATCAGTGAAAATAGATGAATTATAGTATGTCAAACTATTGTCTAAAAGGCTTAGCATGGAGATGTTATGAACTGACATAGCATGAAATAGTATAATTTAATTCATGAAATAAAATAAACACCACTTTCTTTCTTACTTTCACTGAACATAATGTGAATAATACATCATTTTTCATTGAACATATCATCACAACACATGATCTGACGTCGGTATGAAATAGCTTTATGTAAAGTCTGCTTTCATCAAAGTGATATCTCCAACAAATTTTTTTTTAATAAGATTAATAAATCAGTCCATAATTTAGGTCAAACTATTTCTGTATTATAACCAGCGCTCACGCTGTCGTTCGCCATTTCCGCCAATTGCGATAAAAATATATTTTTGGCAATAAAATATTGAGTCTGGCGAAATTTTTGGCGATAACTTTTTCCTGTGTGGCGATTCTTTTTTGACCATGGTGATAAATTTTTATTGCCACAAAGCTTTGATTTCCACGCCGTGCATATACAGTTGTTAAAGTCTATTGCACTTTGTAAAGTGGAATTTTGTTAGTTATAATATCATATGTATATTGTATATATTACCGAAAAGATATAATAGATACTTTTTTTTTCTTTTTTTTTTGGCGGAAAAAATATATGGCTAATAAATAAAAATGAGAAATTGGCGGGAAAAAAATGAAACCCAGAGTGAGCACTGATTATAACAGATAGATAACGATGACAACTTCTACAATCAACAGTTGAAAACTTTCTAGACCCTGCCGTTCAAATACCACACAAAATTGAAGATTGCATTCATGACATCACTGATGGAACTAGAACTAGCAACTGTCAAGTGCAAAAGGTAGTAAAACCACTAACAGTTAACTTCAACACCACTAATATTACCATATTAAAGATCTGGTAGTATTGGTAACATCAATAACATATTTTTTAATACCAGTGCATGAACAGGGGCAGCTGAGTACTTGTAACTGTCACAATTACCTATCTTTGTTCAGAATACAGAACATAATGGAGCATCACTTTAATACCTAGCCAGTCTTAATAATTAGTAGAACCATTCCTCATGATTTACATATTACTGTGTGAACCATCGTAAATTTAAAACGGATTTCTTCGATTATGAACAAACTACTTAACTTTGGTTATTATAAACTTACCTGTGTGTTTGAAATCACCTCCCGTTAAATAAAATCCACTGCACAACTAATTATCCCAACGAATAAAAAACACCTCTCTTGAAAAATTGAATTCCCACAAACTTTGACACAGAAAAATACCAATATGGAAGCTGATTACGTCACTCTCCGGGAGATATCATTTTGTATAAGGGGTGACAGTATAGCAAATCGGCACTTTTACGACAATTCAAGTTTGGTTTAAGAAAAAGCTACAAATCTCGGCTCGGCATTGAGTTTGGACATTCACACACCTGTCCGTATTCTTTTATTTTATTGCTGTCTTTTACATTCTAGTAAATTCTCTGCAAATTTTATAACTTTACCTTTTCAAATATTTTGTTTTAATTATTTGATTAGCTACTCGGATGAGATAATTTTCTTTTGAACACATATGCTGCAAAAAAACAATTACATTTGTTTTATGGGCCTTAAAGATAACCCATGACTATCTTTAATATGATAAATTAATAACACATTTTTAGTTTATATTTTCACGAGTATCAGTGATATTTTCATTGTGAATAAAATTAGATAGACTGGCGATCAATGGTTTCAATATGGACCGTGTATATAGATGAACAGGAAACGTCCACGAAACCTTTAGAATGATGTGCCGACACAAAAAAAGACCGGACAATCGTGACTAAAATAAAATTACCTCCCCTCGCGCAATTACCAGTATTAAGTTTAAAAGCAAAGACACATAAATCAATTCATAATATTTTTTTATTAATCTTGCTACTCTTTTTTTCTTTGCAACCCATACATAGATAGACTACTATAAATGTAGTAAATGTATCAACACATCGTCTTTGTTTACTTCGGACGCGCCCATGTGAATTCGAAAAAAACATGTCGAGTTTTCGTTAAAAACAAACCTACTAAAACATTCTTTTAATTTTTACTTCTGCACAATTAATCATCATTCCGGACAGTATTATACCTGAACTTTATTTTCATAATTTAAAAATCCTACGTAGATGCGGGAATTTGGAGTATTTAGCAAAACCAAAATGCTTACAAAAACTACGAAAATATTGAAATCGATCATTCCACAAGTTTCAACTGCTGCATTTGGAAATTTCAAAGTACTAAACTGGAGAAATTCGTCACTACCGGATATGAATACTTATTGGGTTGAAAAATTATACGGTCCATGGTTTCAATATAAATCCGCTTTGTTTTCATTGGAACACTTGGTTATCAAACTATCTGTCAAAATTAAACCACCCCCACAACAGCTGCAATGGGGTCGTCCAACACGTAACGAAAACATTGTTGTCGTCTACTCAGTCGAAAATACAAGTAAAATAGTCAAATTTGTCAAGAGAGAACTTTTTAATATGTTGGGATATTTAGTTGTGCAATGGATTTTATTGGATGGGAGTTGATTTCAAACACACAGGTAAGTTTATAATAACGAAAGTTAAGTAGTTTGTTCATAATCGAAGAAATGCGGTTAAAATTTACGATGGTTCACACAGTAGTATCAATATCACATCTTTATATAACAGTACATCACCCATCATACATGTACATATAGATGATGTACAGATGGATTAAATTAAGAATATATATATGTACAATAATCATATTGTTAAAATTAGTATAATACATAAACAATAGCAATGATCAATTATATCCATTATAATGTCATATACATAGAAATTCTTTATAATTTAAAATCTTAATAACATTTAAACTGAATTTCTGGCTTTTATTAGAAATAATGATTATCACTAAGGAGTATGCCTCTTTAAATTTGATTGAAATGTGGTAGAAATATTGAAACAGTAAAACACATAACTAATTGTAAAAAAAGACAAGAAGATAAACAACAACTGTTCTGACAACATTAATATCCTACAACAGGTAATGATCAAAAAATTAATATAGGTCCCAGATAACATCTTACTTGATATGATGTAAAATTTAAACAATGCGTAGTAGCAAAGATCACATTTACCTTTCCAATTAAAAATTTATCAGTCAGATTTAATTACCTAGAATGCAAAATAAAAAATCCCCGCATCTTTTAGGTACAATAGTGCATTTTCTCTGTTTAAGCTGTTTATGGATCATCTGTTTTAAATGTGGAAATGTCATGGCTAATTACTCTATAATAATGAAATGTGTACTAATGTACAATAGGTTTGATATGTTATATTCCATGACCATCAAATTCAAAACCATGTTTTTATTGTACAATTTAGATAGATATATACTATTAATATTTTATCAATAAATGTCTTAGAAATCAATTATAAACAGAAGTCAGTTCTGTTTCGTTTTATATTTGGTGCTGTAATCAGTAATAAATTATAATCTGATTTTAATTTGATAGCATAGCTATATTTATCTTCTTAAAAACCTACAATAATTTTTCCAAGATATTGTTCTTTTTAAAAAAAATAACTTTTAAACAAAAAAGTTGCAAATTTAAATCTTAAAAGTCTCTGTGCTTCATTTGCATTTTCTGTAAAATATCAAATTTTCCATGGCTTAATTCACACTAAAGTGCCCTTAAATTGCTTGTTTAACATTGAGAAACAGAATTAAAAATTCAACTGTAGATAATCTCGAAGATTGGAGTCAAAGGGATTAAAAACAAAGTCATCAAATTTTTTTAGCAAAGATTACTGGCGACGTTTTTGACCATATCCTATTTATATCATCTGCAGAGGATGTCGCATATCTTTGTAAGTACTGACCAGAACTGAGCCATTGTTGGACCAATTTTCCTTTTAGAGATTCTCATAACATTGTACTTTAAAATAGAGATTTAAAATCCTTGAAATTACTTTCAATAACTTTAATTTAGGTCAGAATACTATATAATAAAGATGTCCAGATTTAAAATAAATGATGTGATTTTAAGTTTAAAGATAAGTTGCCAGGCAGCAAAGCGTGTGCCCACAGTAGTTAAGTCATCCAAGCAGGTAATGGGAGCATGTCCAAGACACTAAAAACTGAGTAACAATCAAATTGATAAAGGGCTAAATCTTTGACAGTAATTATTGGAAATTGCTGAAAATAAATAGGCTTCTTTTTCATCCAGGGCCAGCCCTGGCTGCTCGCCAATGGCAAAAAATTCATTCACATGGGCGAACAGAAATCCCTTTTGGCTAGTAAGGATGCAACGATACATACAAAGGATTTATTATCCTGATTATCGGCAGCCATTGTTTCAAATGAAAATAAAAGAAATGTTATCCAGGCGCATAACTTTAACATAACATAGTTGCCAACTGGATAATCAATTGTCCACAATCGGGCCAGTGGAGTTGGTTTTATGACAATGATGCTCTACTGTCATTTTGCCGAGAATTTGCCCGAAAATAATATGAAACATGTTCCAAATTTTGGCTAATGAAACTTTTCTCCAGAGCAGGCCCTGTTCATCTCATGAACATAAACACTGTAAAAATTAAAAGTAAAGAGTTTTCCCATTAGCTACAAAAGAATAATTAAGTGACAACCTGACAACTCTTGTGGACTGCTTGATTGACATACCTGTCTGGCAACCTATCTTTGAAAATAGCAACCGTAGAACATTCACCAAAAAATTAATTAAAACGTTATTGGATTTCTCAAAAATCCATAGCCTGTCCTGTGTAGAGTATAATATACCTCAAATCATGTACTGGTACATGTATATGTGACCAATAGAGTTAAATTACATCAAATTTACAATATATATATAGAATACTCTTTATTATTTTGTTCTATTTTATGAATTTATCAGCTACTTAAAGGATCAGATTTGACTTCAGCACCTCCATAAGTAGGCTTTACATCTTTATTTAAACTGGAATTTTCGGTGGTATCATCTGTTGCATTGGAAGCAGGCATTGGCATGGGAATAGGTTGGGCAGTACCAGGTTGGGCAGTAACAGGTTGGGAAGTAATAGGTGAACCATCTTCTGGTGTACTGTTTTCCTCCTTCATTTAAAAAAATACAAAAACAATAAACAAAAACGGAGGTCTCAATATTTGTATCACTTAAAATGACTAGACCTGTGTTCATTTGCTTTGTCAAGTGCGTATTTCTTTTTACATTTAAAATTTTATGTTCACAAAAAGAGTCACTACTGAGATATATGTGATTTTACATTCCACAAAACAGCATCTATTCATTTGCAGCACACTCCCCCCCCCCACCCCCATGTTCCGGTGAAGCGTCCATTTTTTCGGGCAATGTATTAGCGTTTTTTCAGGCACAAACATCAGAGAATGACCATATATAATTGTATAATTGTAAAATGAAATCACTCGCGGTTTACGTTTTGAATATTATAATACTTAGTCAAGCTTTGTGGAAAATGCATTTTAGTTACTGATTGCTTCATTCTGAAAAGTCAGGGGAAAAAGAAATTTTTTTCGGCAAATAGCCTCAGCCCCTCCACCCTGGAGATTGGCACCCTACGCCTATGTTTGTGCTACACCCCTTTTCTGGACGATTTTAGGGTTTTATCTAATCTTTTACATCTGGCCCCATCACATTTACTTTGCTTCCACAGTCTATGATTTTACTTGTACCATATCAATTCTCAACTGAATTTCATATCACATAATTGCAATTGTCAATCAGTCCGGACTCAATCTTACTCATTAACGCAAGGTAACTAAAATTACTTTTTTTGTTTAATAGAATTATATTTTACTTACATGCAGGTTTGCGTAATCACCTTCATCTTCCGGTGCCTGAGGCCGAAACTTTCCACAACAGAAGTTACAACATAAACAACAACAGCAACAACAATAACAACCCGTGAGAAAGCAACAAAAGATTGCAAGTGCCTAAAAAAAAATAATTAAATTTCAGTAATACAGATGACAAGAATCAAAGCCTTACGTCAGGCATTGGTAACTTGGCATGAATACCAGATATATCTAGGCCTACTTCAAACAGACTCTTCTTATGTATAGCTGGATTAACATACATGGTACATTTATAATCATCTTTTACGAATATGTTTTCACTTTTCACCATTTTAAATAATTAAAGAGACATTAACTAAAGAGATAAACTAATTTGAAGGTGGGTAAATTAGATTGTACACTAATTTGGGGCTGATCTGCTAATCCTTGACAGAAATATATATTAAGCCTATAGAGGTTTTCAAGGAGTTCGATCAGCAGATGCACTTTAAATATGGTTTGCATCGAGTAGGCCATTAATAGAAATTTAAATATATAGGTGAGTTTAGGCTTTTGAACATCTTACTTAAAATTACATTCATTTTCTGATTGATAATGTCTTTTTACAAATGTGTCTTTAGAAAATGAGTAAAAAAAACCACTAACCTTACACCAGCCACTAGTTAGCACCAAATATGTATTAACATTTTCTTCTCCAAATTGATCAGCAGCATATATCCCTAATGACCCATATCTATCATAAATGCCTCTTTTAGTATTGTCCATTAATATAGATTGAGCTCGGTTTATTTCTTTAAACTGAAATAATATAGTACAATGATAAGATGGTTACATGTTTTAAACAAATAAGAGTTCCTATGATGCATTTCTGGTATTGTAAGAATACAGACATAATCAAGTTGGTACCATTACATCTAATGTAAAGTTTTTAATTGAATTTTTAACACAGATAACAAAAAAATTATCATATTAAAATAGGTTCATTTGTATTTGTCCATCTATCTGTCACACTTTTTGGGACATGGAAACTCATGTTTCTATTTGGGCTTCAATGTTTGAACTTTGTGTAGATGTTTATTAGAATGCCTTGTTTAATATAGTGTTTGTTTATGGTTATTAACAGGCAATATCACCGGTAATAATTAGAATATACAGATCTAGCCGTGTCTGCCCCAAGAAGATTCTCAAACTATTTCATTCTGCATTTATGATTAACAAACCATCTTGTTTGGCAGTCTTGTCTGTGGAAATGAGCTACGCAAGGTTAATGCTTATAGTATATTTTAATTTAGGGGCCTACTGTTATGCAATTGAATATTATGATTTATGCGTAAATTCAAAATTTACCTTTTCAAGTGCCTCCTCATTATCTGGGTTCTTATCTGGATGACATCGCAATGCCAACTGAAATTCATTCAAATATATAGTAAATTACACTATTTATATGTTGTGTTAACAAATATCTATACAAAGTAAATCTTTATACAATCTCAGGCAATGAAATAAGATAGATTTATTGTACTACAGTTATGTAGATACTGACACTATGGATGATTGTTTGAAATATCTATTCTAATCATCAATCAGTCATAATAAACGCTTCCCTAATATACCGAATTACCGATAACACTGTTTGATTTTGTATACCTTAATTTACAAGTCAAAAGAAAAACAAAAAAAGTGAGTTTTAGTTCTGGTAAATTTGAGATATATGAAATTTTGTTTTTTAATTTATAATATTGTTAAATTTGACATGTAAATTAAGAAAGCTAAATGAATAATTTCATTGCCTGTACTCATAGAACTACACTTGTTTGTTATCTCAGTTTTCCATTCATCTAAAAAAATATCTATAAAAACCTGGTAAAACCCACAAGTAAGCTACTGTTGTTTTCAGTCCAAATCTGGAAAATTCTTAAGATACATGTTCAGAATTATTTTCGATCCCAAAGGAAGGGATTAGGATTAAAATACTGTACAATGTACATACCTTTCTATATGCTTTCTTAACATCATCACTAGAGGCTGTTTTTGGCACACCCAATAGTTGATATAAAGAATCACCACTCTTGCTAAAAGATAAAAGAAATGATAAAATCAGTACAGGGCAAACACTAAGCACAGGTCCCACAGTACAGAAGACATCTACCCAAAGCTCTACCCAAGGCCCAACTTCACTGGAGAATGGAAGGTGTTATTTCTCTGAAAACATATTACAGAGAACCTGAGATTGAAAGGGACAGAGCTTTCCACAAGAAATTAATCAGTTTTAAGTTATTCATTGACAACTGATTTCTCGTTTAATTGATCATAGGCTTTAGGCCTAGACACAAAATGCAGTATTTATTTAGTCATGTTGAGTAAAGGATATATGTAACATGTGTTTGATAACACTCTGAAAACACATTCTAAACTTTGACGGTTAATTCTACTGACCTTACCATGTTATGGATGGAAATTAATATTGCTATTAAATTTCTTATACCGGTATTGACAAAAAAATTTCTCACTTTTGGTATCATCTATGATCGAACATAGCGTTCATGAATCATAACAGCAGTAACTGAACTAAAACAATGATGTTTTTCTTTGAAAAAATGAAAGTAATCTATCATTGTTTTGATTTATTCAACAAAAAATGACACAACCTCAAATGACCCAATTATTTCAATTAAATCGGAATGGACAGGAAGACATTTTCATTTCAAGTTGAAACAGTAAGAGGCTCCAACAGCCAATGAAAATATGTGATTTAGACACAATGACATGATGGTGAGTCCCACAAAGTGAAAAAAAAAAAAATATTTACAGACATGCATAAGGGTGGGTACATATAATTGAATTAGCCATATGCCTACTCTACTGGTATCAAATTATCTTATTTTTGAGATGCACTGAAGAACAAAGTGAGTTAGCAAGATGAAATTTTATGGCATCAATCCTAGCTAAAAAAACAAAACATCAGATCAATGTTTCTGGTAACTTTTTAGTACTAAATACTTTACCTTTAAATAGTAAATAGCACACGATACCAACTAGCTACCAACTAATAACGTTGTGATATACTGTTGTGTTTGTTTTTAGCTACGATTGGATGCCTTTTAATAGATCATTTGTCATTGATCTCTTTTTATTATTTGATATTTCAGTTAAGTAATTATCAATAAGGAGCCACGGTGGCTAGGTGGTTAAGACGCTGGCTCGCTAGCCTGGAGGTCGGGTGTTCGATTCCCTGCATTGGCCGAGAAAGTTTATCAGGATTTTCCGATGTGGTTTCCCCTTGTCAGTGGTGCAGAACGGGGGGGGCCTGCCAAGGACACCTGTCTAGTCCTTCGGATGAGATGAAAAACCGAGGTCCCGTGTATACATTGGAATGCAAGTAAAAAATCCCATGGCAGATGGAATTCGATATAAGAGTAGGCGATAGTGCCGCTGCCCGGGCAAAATTTCCCTCATAGCACACTGTATGGCGTATGCCCGTCTTCATTAGTCCAGTATAGAGTAGGACATTAAACCCCATTTCATTTCATTTCAATTATCAACAAACTAATTCTTGCACAAACGTTGGCTACTTTTAGGAATTTTTGGGAAACCCCAGTCAAAGTTGCTCCAATTTGAAATTTTTGAATTTTTAAAATGTTGATTTAGAATTAAAGATTAAGTATCTGAAGCCCTTATATCCAAAGATACCAAATTTAAAATATTTATATTCGTTCAGGGCATGACAAATTACTTCAAGATTATCCATCTTTAATTGTTATTATAAATTTATTCTGATTTTTCTTTAAAGTACATGTTCCAGATTATTTTTTTTATCATGTGAAATAATTTTCAAACAGCAATCTTTGTTCTATTATGAATTGTCTAATCAATGTTATATGATATTTGTCATAATATGTAGTTTGTTTTAAAAAATAAATGAATTTAAACAAATTCTGAAGGATACGAAATGGTTCCAAAAACTGAGAGATAACAGTTTAACAGTTAAACATCTCCATTAGAATCATAGAATGGATTTCAAACATCAGAAGACATGTTTTCATCGCTCATCATTAACTCCCAAATACTTAATCATTTCAAATAAGTTCTCTTATCCAAATTTGAACCATTTGTCACACGTACCAACTCACCCCTAAAAGTATATTTTTAATATGATTTCTCTCATCTTTTCCACAGATATGATGCTTAATTTATGGGGAAACTTGACATCATTATAACAATGTAGTTTAATTTTCATTTGAGAAAGAAAATTTGTTTTGAATAAATCCATTGAAAAATGGATGCAAATTAATGTCCCGTCTGTCACAGTCAATGAGACATAATGGTTAAACATCTCCATTAGAAGCATGAAATGGATTTCAAACATCCAAAGACAAGTTTTCATCACTCATCATTTACTCCCAACTTCTTTATCATTTCAAATAAGTTTGCATTCTCTCTTGTCCAAATATGTCCCGTCTACAATGACTTTGTCACGTCAGTCACGCATAAAAACTCAACCCTAAAATAGAATTTTTGTTTTGAATAAATTCTTTGAAAACTGGATGCAAATTAATGTCCCGTCTGTTTAAGTGATGACATCTAGATTGTTTTACTGAATTAATTTTCATATTTTATATGATACTATATGTTCTCTGCTAGGAAATACCATGTTTAAATTCCCTTCTATCCTTAGTATCATATAGAGAATGGGCTTGACATTTTACATGGTCACCTATTCTGTCCCATCTGTCACGCTGGAATTAGCCTATTATGATTAATTAAACTTACAGAGGCCAATGTAGTGGCACAACTGTCGCCTAACTCCAAATATTCGCGTTTAAATTAATGAAGCGTTGTTTTTGTCTGACGTTCACCGCCATCGAAATCCATTCATAGTTACAGTGCTTTAGATTGCCCTTTTGATTGGCTGTTATAAAAGCATTATATTTAGCCTTCATGATGACAGCGTACCGTTTAAAAAGATATCGGTCTTAGTAACGGCTTAACGCCTCGATTTTAAAAACGACGATTTGTTCCCGTTTCAGGTAGGATTATATGCTTAATTGTAGTTGGGTCTGGCAGAAATATTATAAATAACAATAATCAATCGTTGTTTTTATTAAAAATATTGTCAATTTTGTTTACAAATGCCGGGTGCGAATCGCTCCCGATTGTGCCACGTTGAAGGTAATGGCCTCATGTCTTATCTCGAAACAGGAGGGTTGAGAGATTAAGGTTTGTTATCTAGGTTTGAACATGTTTATCTGATTAAATAATCAATATATTTGTATATTATAATTACATGTAGTTATTTCGAACAATACATGTCTAATGGACAAATCAAGAACACATAATAAGGAATGTAACATTTGTAGTGTAATAATATAATCATACAGGTACAGGTACGTTGTAAAATGGCCAGTAATTAGTAATACTAGTCTAGGGCCTACTAGTACTACAGTACTGCCACTGCTGGGCCTACACGGTATGAAAATAGACAAAAAGCCGGTAGATCAAATACTCCCATGATAGCCATATTTCAATGTACTTACGAAAACGATCTTGGTCTTGAGGCCATTGCTGATTACTGAAACACTTAGTTCCCTCAGAGATTCTCTTTTAACCCAAAATTGCGGTTATTTGACATGTATTGCCATTATTTATATTCAGCTCTCCAACCTCTGAAACTCATTAAAATTTTCCCCGATATTGAAGGAAGGGGAGACCACTCACACCAATCTTGCTTTTTATAGACACAGACCACCATTAGTTCCCCCCCCCCCCCCATTGACTTTAATTTTAATTCTTGTCTCTTTGCCTGGTTCAAAAATTTTCATTTGGCTGATAGATTTTTACTAGAAGCTTCCCACTTTTCTAACAACATTTTTATAATGCAAAATCGAAATATAAATAAATGGCAACCCTTCCAAATTAATAAGTGCTTTTTGTAAAATAGGGTTGCACCTCAGGTCAATGGGCATCAAGAATATTAAAAATATTGGAAATTTTTTCATAAATTTCCTTTTTTTTTACTTCATGAAACAAAGTGATCCATTTTTTACACCCCGTATATCTCAAATACCAATAATTTTATTATGTTTATTGGGAAGTCTGAGATGAAATCATAGAAACAATTGCAAATTGATACGAATGTCACTAATACTGTTAAAGGACTGTGGCTGATAGTCATGATTAACAATCTAGCTAGACCCAGGTTTTATAAACACAATGTCATATACTTGCAATGGGTGTGAATTATTAATTAAAATATGGATTGATAACAATGTATCTAGATAATAATCAACCACTCTAATAAAGTGGCCACAAAGCACTTAATATTTATTAAATTTGAAAGCTTTCAGTGTTTGAAACATTTCAATTCGTGGTGTCATTGTAATGTGCAGTGTAATGGTTTTATGGAAGCAAGTTGATTCAATCCTTTCATCAATTTCCTTATAAAATGATGAAGAAAAAGCAGTTATGAAATTGTTCACAGCATCATACATGAGGTCTGAAAAGAGATTTATTAGTATTGCTCTGTAAGTGCCACATTAATAATCACCACAAATAATCATTCATTAACATCAAAAATTTAAAACATCAAGTTGTGAACAAAACACATTTACAACATATCTGTTTTGAGGGATGGACTCATTGGGAAGAATGTCATACCATTCTATATATAAACAAAAGAATGTTAGAAATCCTTGTAATCTGAACAGTAACTATTTCTTGGCGCAAAATAGCAATCAACCCCAGTTATAATTTAAGTATAAAATCGTAGTTCTGCTATTTTAGGGTCAATATATAGATTAAATTAAATCTCGAAATATCATGTTAAAGAAAAGGGATGGGATGTGGTTGATGAGCCTATCTTAAAGGAAATGAAATGGGGTTTAACGTCCTACTCTTCTGTTCCAAACTTGGCTAATGAAGACGGGCATACGCCATACAAGTGTGCTATGAGGGAAATTTTGCCTGGACAGCGGCACTGCAGCCTACTCTTATATCGAATTCCAACAGTAAGGGATTTTTTACGTGCATGCCAATGTGTACACAGGACCTCGGTTTTTTGTCCCATCCAAACGACTAGACTGGCCCTTCGTCCTGCATCATTGACAAGGATGAAACACGCCGGAAAATCTGGATGAACATTCTCGGCCAATGCAGGGATCGAACACCCAACCTCCAGGCTAGTGAGCCAGCATCTTACCCACTTAGCCACCGTGATCCCCTGTCTTAATTGAATGTTCTCTGTAAACACATATAGACTTTACTTTCTCAAGGAGAAATTTGCAAGAACCAGAACATAGGAAACACAGAGAAAAGACGTCCATCTTACATAAATCTTTTATTACATAGGAAACATGAAGAAAAGACCTCCATCTTACATAAATCTTTTATTAGATACACTAAATGTTCTTTTATACAGTGTGTAAACTTGTGATTATACTGGTATGGAATAGAAGTTTGCTCTCCCAGCTACCATTGTTGGTCTTGCAGAGCTTTGATGCTTAAAACACTGGATATATGCCGGTAAAACAAGCATATTAATTTATACCATGATTTGCTCTTAAACACAAATGACAATAATGGTGGTCTGATCCCTATAAAATCACACAAAAATTATGTCCCTACTTTGCATCTGTCAAGCGAGCCTAAAGTCTATTTGTTACAAAGAACGTTCAAACAATGAAGCACGGTAGTAAGTGATATGATGTTAGTAAGTGATATGATATAAGTAGATTCGTGTATATTTTATAATAATATATCAACATTTATAAAGCCGATAAACACAATGGTGTTAAAGTTTCTAATGCACCGCAGGATCCACGGTTATCATCACTAATTATTCTTCCACAAGGAATTTTGAAACAAATGTTTTGAGCTGGGATTGTAAAGATACAATTCCACAAACCCCGGATCGAGGTCATGCTTGTTGTTAAGTAGTTATTGCAGAGCCCTTCTTAAATGAGCCTAAATGTCTGTATTTTTATAACTATAAAGATTCCAACATTATTGACCCAACTTTTATTGATCAGGTTAATTACCGCTCCATCTCCGATGCCATTACAATTTTTATACGCCCACATTTCAGTGTGGGTGTTTTGTGTCGTCACCCTGTCTGTTGGTCTGTCAACAATTGGCTTGTGAAGTATTGTGGTCATACGAGTTATCCCACTTTGGAAAAAAACCTTGTGAACGTGATATAGGCTAGTTTTTGACGGATTCTTGTCAAATTTGGTGTGAAGCACTGCGGTTATGAGACGATGACAAATACTATCATTATTCAACTTTCTACGAATTTCCGTTCCGCAGTTATCGGAAACCTTGCGAACGCAATAGAGGTTACATTTTTTAAAGAAGATTTTTCAAATTTGGTGGGAATCATTGAGGCCATGAATGTTCCGCGGAGGTCAACCCAATCAATATTAATTTTCTGTGTTCTGTGGCTTTCCGTTCTGTAGTTAAATTCTCTTGACCAAAAGCCTTGTGATCATGATAGAGGCTGTAGTTGGCGGGAAGAATTGGGGTTATGAGAGGATGAATCCTATTTATTTTCAGCGTTCCACAATTTTCCACTCCGTAGTCATCAAATTTGCTCAACATCCATGTTTTCCTTTCAAACTAGGTCATTTCTGGACTAACATATGGGGTCTTTCGCACAGTGGGAGGGAACCAGAGGACTCGGATAAAACCCATGAGGCTAGACAGCCGATCCTACTCCTTGTCACGTACAATCGGGGAATCGAAACAACGCCAGTTGACTCAATGACAGACCTTATGATAAGGGCGCATGCGCTAACCATTCCGTCATCCAACTCCCCCTATCTTCATAGTATCGTATCATACATTGCAAGCTGTAAAATCTGACCATGCCTCAGATTAACTTGGACAAATCTGTTCTGAGCTTTATTTAACGAAGCGGTTTAGCTATTTGTATAATTCTCAGTTGATAAGAGTTGTTATAACAATTTTGTTATAATTCATTTGAGTTGTCACCTGATTTAATTAGATTTACATTGTTTAATAAATATTCTAGAACCAGTAATTGATCTTTTTATGATTGAGCTCCAGTCCATTAAATTTTCATTTACTGGTATGTTTCGTGGTTATGGCACCCCTTTTGCATCAGCATGGACCTTGAATGTCAGTTAATAGGAGAGACAGAGAAAATAGGGTTTAACGTCCACTCCACACAAACCATATAGGGGTCTCCAGGGCCTGACATGCGACCCCACACCTTGTCGTGTGCAAGCGGAGAATCGAAACCACACCACCTGACTCAATGGCGCACCTTATGATGTAACGCACGCGTTAACCATTCATTCAGCCCCCCCCCCCCCCCTTCAGTTATTAGGAATGACTATTTTAAAATATAAACTGTGAATAGACTGTAAAATGCTACCTACCTTTAGGAAATGGGCTATCAAATATGCTTGAAGTATAGATAATTTGTTAAGGGAAATTATCAGAAGCAGTGCCTTATGGGCTGATAATAAAAAAACAGTAAGGATCAATAAATCTTTACCCCCAATTTATTTCTCATATTAACATATATGAATTTATATGGACATTGTGCGGTTTGAGTATCAATATTTACGTTAATCAACTAATTCAAACAGTCAACCACAACAATCCTATTAAATATATCTCCAATGTGACTACAAAATATCAAAAACATATCTTTCAGATATACCTTTTAAGTAACTCATATATTTAATAATTCAACCCAAGCATATATTTAATTATTATTTCCTATTTTGTGTTTTAGGTATATGTGGTTTAATTGTGGTATAAATAGTGAATAGGAAACCAATTATGTGTTTGATAAATATAGACCTAGTATATAGAAAACATTAACAATGATATCAATAAATCGAACAGATTTATTTTGCTTCATTCTATTACAGGGTATATCTGAAACAAGCTAGATTTATCGATTTTTTCCCCATGTTTTCATTTTAAATTGTGTGAACATGATGAGTATGCGTAGTGACAATAATTCATTATATTTATCAAACATTACATGAACAAAATGTACAGTTGGTTCAGTAGCAAGTACAATTCAACAATTATTACCCACTATTCTTTTCATAAAAAAAGAAACTATGCCCACCTGCAGCTTTGTTAAGGAGGCAGTCAAAGAAGCAATAACTACATCACAGGGTTTCATCGACGGGAGTCATTACCTCGGTTTTAAATGAACGGGCAACTCTTGATAGTGTACTTCTTGATGACTAGCCAAACATTAATTTTTTTTTTTTTTAAAACGCGCCCAAAATCCGACTGAAGATTGCTTACAAGGTATCAGTGCCAGGGGCAATGTCTCTTTGTAAAATCAATGAACAAGCCAACACTGAGCCCAAAATAAATAGATGGAACTCATCATTAATTACTTGCAAATTTATCTTTTAATATAGAATCTGTAGCCTTAGCAGATAATGTTCATCATTGAACTCAGCCAAGACAGTCACCTAACCAGAATTCTATCAAAATGAGAAGCACGGTCATTGTTTTCCAAAAGGTATGATGGACAGATGGCCAGACGAACCAATTTTAAGTCCCTTCATTTCTCTGAAAAGCAGAGGATACCAATTTAACAAGATTTCTTTGACATGGACAATATCTTCACATAAAATCAATATACTTCCTCACAAAATGTGGGCATATAATAAAGTTAAAACAAAGCAAAGATATAATACATATGATATGGGACTAATTATGTGCAGGATATTTCATATATTTACAGATTTGTGGTAATGAAAATATATCAACAACAAGTAAAATCACAGATTATAAAAAACGAACATATATTATCTTAATTGAGCAAATAACTGATGGAATGCATATATACTCTCTCAACAACAAGATATTTCATTCAGACATGAAGAATTACAAAAAAAACATGAACAATATGAAAAGAAAAACAGCTTCTAAAAATAATTATCTGCATTACAAATAAATATGTGTACCATGAACCCAACCCCCACTAATGCTACAGGGCTTACAATTAATTGTTTATATGATGACCAATAGATTTTTAAAATGGATAATAACCAAATTCAGTCTTTCTGAATAGATATTGATACTCCAATTTGACACTTAAAAGATTATAATCTTGACATCTAGACATCTCTAATTACATGTAAAGAGAATAACAGTTCCAACAATTACACATATACAATGCTTGGATATTTAAACACTAGCCCCAATAAATGTGGGTGTTTAAACATACAATATGCAAGAGCTAAATCTACCAATTGCAGGTCTTTCTTTAGGCCTGAAATGTTATCTAAACAATTAATTAGATATTAATCAACTTATCCAGACCATAATCAATTCTCGATGGCATCGCTAGCCTGTGATATTTACTGGATTAGGATTAGAACCCAGTCTGCTGCTTCTGAATAAATCAAAAAATGGATAATTGAGACTATGTTATTTATCTTATCGACTTCATAGTAATCAGGATTGAGGCTAGGCCCAAAATTTAATTGCTAAATACTCACTTCAGGGTGGATCAATTTGACAGAAATTTTCAGATATATCCCTTTACATTATCTAGTTTTTAACTACCAGCTCTTTATCTAATCACCCATAATGTATCTTTAAATATATCTGAAAATCCTATTTGAATGACAGATTGATATTATCAGTCAATCACAGTCCATTTTTTGCAGGTCATCAGATAAAGCCTGGTTGAAGGTCTACATAATTTTATATTACAGTGATGTCTGATCACTCCGGATTGCTGTGACGTCCGATATGATTTTCATGTCCCCATTTATTTCCTTATTACTTCAGCCAAAAAATCGCTGGTAAATCCGGATTCTGTATGTTCCGGATTCCAACATCAATCAGCCGTCCCGTCACATAATTTCCATTGAATCGACACCGTATAATCCGTACTTCAAACGATGGGTGTGAAGCATCCAATTATCGGTGAGATTAAAACTCAAGGGGTGTGAAGCCAGAAAAGATCTGCAATAGGCAGATTTAGCTCTTGCATAATGTATATTTAATAATATTACTGCGGTTACTAATCAAAAAGAATCCCAACTTTTAAAAACCATTAATTATTCCCCAAATATTCATATTAGAAATGTCAAGATAACAATGTTAGCTTACAAAATATATAATATAAAATCCATTTTAGCTTATAAAATATATAATACAAAACCATTCTTCATTCTTACCACACTATTACATCTATATACAAATATACATTCTATTCAAATAAATAATATATAAGTTAAAATGACATGTTGGTGCTTCTGTATATTATATGTTTTGTGAACTCTTTAAAAGACTTGAGTTTTGCACAATATTAAGTACTGATGTCAACTTAAAGTCGGAGCTAAACCTCTTTTATTTAGGCTAAAGTTTTGAATTGGGTTGATCTGCTGTTACTACCTTATAGGTATATTATCTATACTAATATTTGTGACTGTCGTTTGTCTGTCTGTTTGTCTGTTCGGGGTTGGCGGCTACACTAGGTCTGCCCCGAGTCTGAAATTTGGGGTATAGGGGTAGCTCGGACCGGGGAGTAACATAGGCCAGGTGGCGTTAGTCTACCACTTCCGGTTTCGGGGTTATGACCCCCGAGCGAAGCGGGGCATTCTTCTAGTAGTATCATAATTTCCTTATCATTCATTAGGCAGAATTCGATTTTTTTGTGGCTTAATTCACTGAATCAGTTATATCTTAACAATGGCTCTTTCTCTACCAGAAAATTAAACAACAGACAAATACTCACTTCACAAAAATCAACAAATGAAATGTAACTATTATAAACTAACTTCATATTTCAACCTAATCAAAGAGGTTTAGTCAAATAAAAAGGAGTATTGTGATATGTTAGTACTATCTAAGAAGAATGAATCGTTATTGCACAAATAGTTAATCTCTCATTTTAAACTGACAGCATTCACACATTCTACACTATACTATAGCCTGTGCTTGATCAGCTAATCTTACGCAGATCACAACCAATATTCAATATCAACCAAGTCTTCTATCAATAGTAATTATATAGGTAAACTAGGCTATAGTGTTTTTGTAATTTATCAGCTCAGTGTACAGTAGAAATGATGGCAACAAATTATATCTTAGCTACCATTTGTCATTGAAAACAAAAGATCTGTCAAGGATTATAACACTAAAAGGCAATATTATACTGAACTTGAAAAAACCTCAAGATTTAACAGAGCCCACAGTTGATGTTAAACATTAATGATATTTTTGGAATGAGTATTATAATCAGCCGAGAAAGAAGATTTACGTGATCTTTTTCTTGAAGGTGGGAAATATTTTTTATACATAGCTTCAACCTGAAATACATAATATTCATATATTTTTAGAATCATTCAATATTTGAAGCCCTTAAAATTTTGTAAATTTGAGTGTAAAGCCTGATTGCCACTGGCATGAATGGATTGAAACGTCACTAGTTTGAGTGAAACCACCACTAACCAGATCAAGCAAAATTTTAATCGTTTGAAATTCAAACTTGGAACCATATAATTGTTAAATTTTCAAATGATTGATTAAAACGAGAACATTGAATCAACTTTCTTGTGGCGGCACGAAAGACATTCATCACCAAACAAACTATCAGTCAGATGAGTGGAGTACTATTAATGGATGCCAGTTGAAATTATCAGGCCCGTAACTAGGGGAGGGCGAAGGTCGCAAAGGTCCCATGCAAAAAGTTTCACACACACACCCCCCCCACGTGAAAATATTGTTGACCTTAACAACAATAGATATACATTGTCCGTCAATTTGACAGCACCCGCCCTGAGAACACTTCCCGCCCACTTGGTTGCTTTGAGCTAGTTAACTTGATTTAATGTACTTATAACCAGTGGTTACTATATACACACTGCAGCAAGTTCACATCAATCTGATTAAAATTATTCGACATATTAATGTTTAAGTATCGGACACTCAAAAAAGCTTTTCAATTTGTCAATTACACCCTTAATTGGCTGGTGATATCACAGGGACTACACATAGTTATATACATTATCTATACAATATATCATTGTCTATACACACCACAAGTTGACAAGTGTTTATTGACATATGACTGGCCTAATCATAATCTCCAAATGATAACGGATAGTCATTTACAAATCGCATTTCAATCTATTTGACTTTTATGATACATTTTGCATGAACACATCTTTTTACTCCTGTACACTTTTACTCAAGAAAATTAAAACCACAATACTCTTCTGATGGAAATGTATCTCAAATCGTTTGGACTGCACACAATGGTAGAGGGACTCTATCAAAAAGTCGTGAGTATAGAGGGCGGTTCATCTTCTCACTTTGTCGAAATTATCAATGCTCTAAATTTATATGATTATTATTTGAAGCCATTTCACCTCTTAAAAGCCCACAGCTATTTCTATTGGTTTCATTGATTTTTGTCGATAACAATTTCACACAAATCTTGTTGTTTTAATCTTAGCTAATCACTGTTGGTTTACTGTCAGCTTATTCCGATTAAAATGATACAAGGATATGGCTACAGCGACTGTCTTTGTTTTGATATTTTAAAACAAATTCTAGATTGGATCTTAAATTAAAATAAATTAAAAAACAAATTATTCAGTTAGTAAATTGTTTTATTTAATTAGGGGATTAAGAAATTAGTCAGTATATAGGTAATTAAGGAATAAACATTCGGTCACTGTGACGTCACTGGCGTCTGAGGGGATTGAAAGTGTTTTCGATAATTGGCAATGTCGTTTTTATGAGAGGTCTCTTTTTGCGACTTTTATTGAAGATAGCTGAATTAATTTTAATCAGATTGGTGTGAACTTGCCGTAAAGAGGATATAGTAACCATTGGCTATACCTACCGAAAAGTTTTCTCGCCCATCTTATGTGCCTTTAAGATAGTAGTCAAAATTATTATAAAATTGGTTTTCAAGGAATAAATTACAGAACAGTATAAAATGTAAAATGTCTTATAGATCACTGAATCATTATTGCTAATAAAGACATTTTTGGCTATAAATGTTAAATTATGTGACGAATGGTTGCAGTGAATAACTGACAGTTATATGGAGTTAAAATTCTCTTTGGGTGGGAGGGGCAGATGGTCATTAAAGCAGGTTTGATTATACAGTGAAGAGGATTATATGAAACTTCTATTTTGTGGCTAATTTACAAGCCATAAAATAATAAAACAATACTAACAAACCTTGTCCCCAAAGAAAGTAGCAATAGTGATTATAACTAATACAACTAAAGCAATATTGGTCCAAAACTTTAACCAATCTCTATACTTCCGCCTGAAGGAAAGACAAAAAAAATATGCATTCATTGATAACAGTTACATATTTAGTTTTGTATTTTGGGGTCAACAAGTTAATCAGGTGGAAGTGGATGTAAAACCCCAGGAACAAACAAACCAATCAATGTTTAAGAATATCTTTACTATTGCAGAGCTAACAACCTCTGTTTAGTTTTAATCAAAGAGAGAGAGGTCAATTTGACTCAATGCTGCTTGACTCGATGACAGACCTTAAGATATACAACACACATTTCAGGATAAGGCCTTTAAAGCTAAGCTAAGTGACCTATAATATTAGGATTTTAGCACAGTAACCTTTAATACTAAGGGAATAAATGAATGAAATGAGGTTTAACATCCTACTTTTCTGCACCATCGAAATGATGGAAATGAAATGGGGTTTAACGTCCTACTGTTCTGCTCCGAACTGGGCTAATGAAGACGGGCATATGCCATACAGTGTGGTATGAGTGAAATTTTGCCTGGACAGCGGCAGTACGGCCTACTCCTATATCGAATTCCAACTGTCAAGGGATCTTTTATGTGCACGCCAATGTGTACACAGGGCCTTGGTTTTTCGTCCCATCCGAATGACTAGACAGCTGTTCTTGTCAGGTCCCACGTCCTACATCACTGACAAGGGGGAAACACGCCGGAAAACCTTGATGAACTTTCTCGGACGTGTACACATTGGCATGCATGTAAAAGATCCCTTGACAGTTGGAATTTGTTTTTTGGCCCGTTCAAATGACTAGACACTTTTCCTCGCCAGGCCCTCAATCCTGCTACACTGTCAAGGGAAAGCTACACAGAGTATTAAAGGAACAAACCAAAATTTTGACTTGATCTGATATGTTAATCTAAATAATACTAGTGCAAATGTTTGGGTATAAATCATTCAAAACAAATTCTATATAATACCCTTAACTCACCATTCTTTCAATTCATTAACATGTAAAAATCTATTTCGATAATCTCTTGGTAATTCAAAATCCGATTGTATGGGAAACATAGATTCATAGAAATCTTGTAGTATAGCCTTTACCTGAATAGAAGCAAAACATACATTTTTTAATAATATAATAATAATCAACTTGTATAGCGCCGAGTGTTCCTGTTATTATGCTGCTCCAGCGCTATAGGCACAAAATAAATATTACTTCACAAACAAAACAAACAAAATTTCCTTATTCAACACATCTTTACCTACTACCAAAGCCTGCTTATACCAATTCTTCATAATTGTTTCATTATCCAAATTTATATATTACATCTGTTCATGATTTGTTGATTATGGCAGTTCTGAGTGCAATATATGACATATAGGCTAACTAACTAATTACCAAAAATGTTGGTCTGTTATGTGAATATAAATAAATGACTAGTGGTATGACCAGTGAGCATACCATGCATCTTATTTAAAGATCAATAATTGAGAATAGGCTAAGATTTGTATTTCAGTAGCAGAAGGGGGATTAGACAATACTATACTTACTGTCTTCGCTTCCTCTTGACCATGTTCTATATCATCATTTATGCATATAAACTTCCTATATGAATATAATATAAAATAAACATACATATTATCAGACCACATATATATCATCAATTAAATATAGTCACACACCAAAATAACATAACCATTCAATTAATATGTAAAATTTAACCAGCAGCATTAATTTATACACATGTATTTTCAGATCATATAAATTATATAAAATTAAAAATAATATTTCAACCAACTGGCTAAGATCTGCAATAAAACAAAACAGAACTGCTTAAAGGGACTATCCCAATTTGAACAGAGTCTCAAAAATAAAAGTCTGTGTACGCATGAAATTTAAGCGTCAAAATACAGCTCTCAGAATAGTGTATTTAATTTGTCTCAAAATTTCAGCTCATAATATTGAGTTGTTTGGACATGAATGTCAAAACCGCTTATCCAGACACGTAACCCTTTCAAGATTTCGGGTCAATTTATACTTGATAACGAAAGGTAAATTTCACCTACACATTATTTTTATAAAATAAACGTCTAGTTTTATCCGGACACTGTATAATACAGCTTGGGACGCCGTTCTCCATTTCCAGATGAAGACTGATGGGTTTAAGTTGTTTGAAAACGTATCACGTATATAGAGTTAGTAGCTCGCCCCTAAGGTAGAAGATTTTAAGGGCTTTAACTTTAACACAAAATTAAGCAGTTTTATTCTCCAAAATATAATTGAGATTGGCCCTTTAAAATGACATACAGTGTACATTATAGTAATGTTAGGAAACACATCATATAATGGTACTCCTGAATTTTGGTTAACTTTTTTATACTAAGTAGAATTATATGTCAGATTACTGTTGCATGACATGCTGATATCAAGTAATGTCGGGATATGAAAATCAAACTTACTTTGGATTTTTTCTGATATCATCTAACTGACCTACTACAGTTGATACATTTGTTTTAATCATTTTAAATGCTACATCATTATCATCTAATATAGTAAACCTAGAAAAAGTTATAATATAATTTATTTACATGATAATTATACATCCAATATATATACAAAATGTACAATATACATACAGTTATGAACTAAAATGAAATGAAATGGGGTATAACGTCCTACTGTTCTGCTCCGAACTGGGCTAATGAAGATTGGCATACCCCATACAGTGTGCTATGAGTGAAGTTTTGCCCAGACAGCACCACTACGGCCTACTCTTATATCGAATTCCAACTGTCAAGGGCTCTTTTATGTGCACGCCAATTTGTACACAGGACCTCGGTTTTTCATCCCATCCGAACGACTAGACAGCTGTCCTTGTCAGGCCGTCCATCCTGCATCACTGACAAGGGGGAATCACGCCGGAAAATCTGGATGAACTTTCTTGGCCAATGCAGGGATCGAACACCCAACCTCCCGAAATGAGCCAGCGTCTTACCCACTTAGCCACCATGCCCCCCCCCACCCCACACTTCCAGGTATGAACCAGTACTGTACAATATATATACAGGTATGAACCAGTACTGTACAATATACATATGGGTGTTAACTGGTAATGCACAATATAAATATAGCTGTGAACCTGTACAATATACATATAGGTTTTAACCAGTACTAGATAATACAAAGGTTCACCCCCATTTTGACTAACCCTCATTTTAACTACAAATTTTAATTACCTCCAAACTACTGACCCCTAACTAACCAGAACTGAACAATATAGTTTGTTTTCTTTAACATAAAAGCAAAAATATAGACTCTGAGTAAATTTTTGTTTTGACAAATATTTGGAGATTACATTGAGTTTAATACTTGCTTAGCTATATGAGATGAATTGTTTCAAATTTTGTACATTCCCTCTTTGAGTTCACTATCATTCAATCAGTTATATTTATCATATTAGAATTGTTTTATAATAAATATCGTGTTTATGTTTAATTTCAAGACTTCGGAAGTAGAAATATTGTGTTTATTTATTCATTAACATTGTTTGATGTGTATATGGCAGGACTTTGTGAGTTATAATTTGTAGTTTCTTAGAGAGGTTATGTCACAAGTCTAACTGGATGGATATTTGTATAGAAAAAATAATGAGCGTGGTGAAGGTATTCATTAAAAGTGTGTAACAGCAACTTAACACTGTAAAATGTACCACAACTGATATATACACTCAAAATGTTTCAAACCACAACCGCCCGACAGAAAATGAAGATCAAATCAAATCTAAAAGTAGCCGCAGAAAACGGGAACGAGAAGAAACACAACCTGCAGAGGCATGCAGGGGGTTCCGAAAGAGGGTATGCAGATCAAATTTAGGGCACTTAAGGAGGTGGAAGGGCAGCGGCAGGAAAGTTTTGGTTCTGTGGCACATGCTAGAAATGACTGGACATATATCTGAGCCATGACATACACTTGGTTGAGGGATTAAGTCCTGAAGATCAGAACATGAACATTGTTAGCAACTATCTGTGTTCAGTGACTAATAGTTTAACAGATTAAAAGCATCTCATTGGTTGGGAGATTACAATCTGTACTAGTATAACAGTTTAAAGTCACCTCAATCTTGTCTGCAATATCACCACGGTGGAAGCGGACCTTAAATAAAGCTATTTCACACATTCAACTCAATCAAGTTTGTAGATCAATCTGTATTCAGTTTAAAGTGCACATAAGATGGACATGAAAACTTTTCGATACGTGTAGCCAATGGTTACTATATTAACTTTACGGCAAGTTCACGCCAATCTGATTGAAATTAATTCAGCTATCTTCACTCAAAGTCGTAAAAATAGACCTCCCGTAAAAACGACTTTGCCAATTATCGAAAACACTCTTAATCCCTTCAGACGCCATTGACGTCACAGTGACCGAATGCATATTCGGAACATTTATTCCTTAATTACCTATATACAGCCGGCGTGTGTTTTCATTAACGTCTGACTGATTCCTTAATCCCTCTAAATAAATAAAACAATTGACTACGGAATAGTTTGTTTTGTAATTCATTTTAATTCAAGATCCAATTTAGAATTTGTTTCATAATGTATGGTCGCTCTCTTTTCTCACGACAACGATTTTAATATCCTCTGCCATCGTGTGCAGTCCAAATGATTCGAGATACATTTTCGTCAGAAGAGTATTGTGGTTCTAATTTCCTCGAGTAGAAGAGTACAGGAATAAAAAGATGCGGTCATGCAAAATGTATCATAAAAGTCAAACATGATTGAAACGCGATTTGTAAATGACAATCCGTTATCATCGTACGGCGCCTTTCTGCATGCAGATTTGACTTCATTACTCTGAAATAGACCGTAAAAATGAAATACGAAAAAATATTTCAATATACGTTAAAATTAACAGTACAAATAAATTTTGTTGGTAACCATCTAAATGGAATAACAGATTGAGAAGGGTCATCTAACTATCTCTGTGTATTGATAATAATATGGGTGTAGTGTCGTTAATATCGGTCATTAATTAATCAATCCGACTAAAGTTATAGAGACATATGATCATAAATTAATTTACACCTCGGTGTTAGCAGTGAGTGTTAGTGGGATTAAGAATGCTGATTAGGTAATTATCTTTTTTTACGCCGGCCAGATCAAAAACATCACTCTAGGTGATTTTTGATGGTGGCTGAGGTTAACAAATCTTTCAGGGATGGATTCTGTCTTAAAGCTGTAAGGCAAGGTTGGGGGAAGGCCCTGAGGCAATCGTTAGAGCTATGGAGGATAATTATGCCAGTTGTCCTTGATGATTTTGCTGATGTGTACTGAAGTAGGATTGTAATCCGTGATAAAGACTGGACGTTTGTTGGTCTCAGGGGTTGTTTTGGTTGTTAGGAGATTGTTCTTATGAATTTGATCAGCTTTGTTTCTATTTGATTTGATTATATCTCTTGGGTAACCCTGTTGGAGATAATAATGTTCCAGTTTGTCTGCATGTTTAGTATAATCTGTGTGGTGTGAGCAGATACATTTGATTCTGAGAAATTGGCTGTAAGGTCCCTTATGTTTGATATGCGGCGGGTGGTATGATGTATAAGAGAGAGAGGGAAATGGGGTTTAACGTCCACTCAACACAAACTAGGTCATTTCGGGACTAACATATGGTTCAATTTTATTTCAATAATTCCCTTGTGTGTAGGAGTTTTAGCAGTGGGAGGAAACCGGAGGACCCAGAGAAAACCCACAAGGTTGGACAGGCGACCCTACTCCTTGTCATGTACAACCGGGGAATCAAAACATTGCCAGTTGACTCAATGTCAGACCGTACGATACAACGCGCACCTGCTAACCATTCAGCCATCCAACCCCCCTCTTGAGATTAGTTAACTTGTTTACGAAAAATTACGTATTCCAGTGCTATTGTGTAGCAATATTGATAATGCCACATGTTGCAAAAATGTTGTGTATATTGGTTACTCTTATCATACACAACAATATTCTAGGGGGCGCTAGTGTCATTAGCTGTGAAGTTAGTTATCCGTTAGTTATTTAGTTATTCATTATTAGGATTTACGTCACAATTCTGCGATCCGTAATGTCGTAAGTGATGGTCTTAAACGGATACATGTGAGAAATATGACCTGGATAATTAGATATTTTTTCTTCATTTCGAAGTTATTGTATTACAACTCAAAATTATCCAGGTCAGTGCGTTTTCTTTTGAGCATGTGATTATATGTGTAAGCTACTGGGATGATTTTTCTACAGTCAATTCAGCTATTTCGATTATTTACTGTAAGTAGCCAAAAGGGAATATTTCATTAATAAATAACTATCCTAAGACTTACTAATATTTCAGTTTTAAGTCCAAAATTTAAACATGCATTATGCAAGAGCAAAATCTGCTTATTACAAGTCTTTCTTTAGGCCAGAAATGTTATCTAAATTATCAATTAGACATTAATTAACTTATCCAGACCATAATAAACTCTCGATGTCAAGGCTAGCCTTCGATGTTGGCTGGATTAGATTCCTATATGCCACTAACGGCCATTGATAATTAAATCAAAAAAAGTGGATAATCGAGACTATGCTGTTTATATTAATGATTTTAGTAATGATGACCGAGACTATGCAAAAATTTCACTTGCTTCTTTTTCGGCTCATAGTGGATCAATTTGACTGAAAGTTTCAGCAAATTACCTTTACACTATCTAGTTTTTAACAAATACAGCGAGAACTGCCATCTCTTTATCTTATCTCCCATAATGTATCTTTAATTTTTTGTGTACACCATGCTGAGAAAGTGGAATAGACACATGAATTCACAATACCCTACCATGAATAAAAGACAAGAAATATGAATTTATTTTGTAAAGTTTTCGTGCGTTATCAAAGATAGGTTGCCAGGCAACAAAACATACGCCCACAGCAGCTATATCGTCCGGGCAGTCAACAAGAGTTGTCGCATATTTTTACTTTTTTCGGTAATGAAACATTTATAATACATTAAAATCTGATTAAGAGTAACAAATCATTAAGTAATTATCAGAAAACCATTAGAATTTGTTAAGTTTTTATAAAGTTCTGCGCCATGCTAACGTTTAGCATACGAAACTTTTAACATCATGGATTTAGCTGTTTAAGTCATATACTTGTTCGTCTCAAGACCTTAAACACTGTGTATAAATTTAAAGTCAATCGGATATTAACTTTAGCCTCTAGAGCTTCCACAAGATTTTTCAAGGTGATCAAGGGCCATAACTCCGGCAAAAATTATCGGAAATCGCTGAAAATCAATAGGATTCTTAGTCTCATGACCGTAAACACTGTGTATAAATTTAAAGTAAATCGGATATTAACTTTGACCTCTAGAGCTTCCACATAATTTTTTGAAGTGATCAAGGGCCATAACTCTGGCAGTAATTATCGAAAATTGTTGAAAATCAATAGGCTTCTTCGTCTCATGACCTTAAACACTGTGTATAAATTTAAAGTCGATCTGATATTAACTTTGACCTTTAGAGCGTCCACAAGATTTTTCAAAGTGACCAAGGGCCAGAACTCTGGATGTAATTATCGAATATCGCTGAAAATGATATTAACTTTAGCCTCTAGAGCGTCCACAAGATTTTTTTAAGTGATCAAGGGCCATAACTCTGGCAGTAATTATCGGAAATCGCTGAAAATCTATAGGCTTCTTCCCTTCATGACCTTAAACATTGTGTATAAATTTAAAGTCAACCGGATATTAACTTTAGCCTCTAGAGCGTCCACAAGATTTTTTGAAGTGATCAAGAGCCATAACTCTGGCAGTAATTATCGGAAATCGCTGAAAATCTATAGGCTTCTTCCCTTCATGACCTTAAACATTGTGTATAAATTTAAAGTCAACCGGATATTAACTTTAGCCTCTAGAGCGTCCACAAGATTTTTTGAAGTGATCAAGGGCCATAACTCTGGCAGTAATTATCGGAAATCGCTGAAAATCAATAGGCTTCTTCGCTTCATGACCTTAAACACTGTGTATAAATTTAAAGTCAACCGGATATTAACTTTAGCCTCTAGAGCGTCCACAAGATTTTTCAAAGTGATCAAGGGCCATAACTCTGGCAGTAATTATCGGAAATCGCTGAAAATCAATAGGCTTCTTCGTCTCATGGCCTTAAACACTGTAGATAAATTTAAAGTCAATCGGATATTAACTTTAGCCTCTAGAGCGTCCACAAGCAATTTTGGACGCCGACCCGCGGGACGGATGGACGGACGGGGGCGACGACAATATACGACGACATTTCAATGTGGGCGTATAAAAATGACCAACGGTGAAAATTTTGAAGTGGAAGCCTTGTATTGATCCATTGTTAATGCCTGAATTTTGTGCCATTGACCCCTGTGACCTCTCAGTGTATTTTAGACTGCAAGAGATTTTCCCGATTCACCAAACACAAATGTTCATATCTTGGCTTCTAATTAAGATATCTTCAATCCGAAAACTATTTTATGTTATTTAAATGTAGCTTTATCAAATAGGCATTAATAAATGAATTTTGCATTAATAGCCCTTTTATAAGCTTCAGTCGAAATGGGATGTCTTTATGGAAGATTTTATTTTAGCTATGGAGAGGATATATATGTAGGGATAACAAAACCATCAGACCGTTAGTCTGTGTTATAAGCCATAGTCGAAATGAGATGTAGTCGAAATGGAAGAATACCAATATAAATATATATGCAGGTGTGAACTGGTAATACCAAGTTTCAAAAGTTTAATGCTTCAATTTGAATCAATTTAGTTAATCATTTGCAGTAAATTCATGAAGGAAAAATTACTTACTTGTACTTGTTCTTTGGTTTAAATTTGTCATTTATAAGATCATTTATTGCCTCACAGTTTAAGAATATTTTTCTTGTAACTTGGGGCTGATAAAAAGAAAGCGATAACATTAATTCAGAAATAAGACCTGGTAGATGATATAATACCAATCTGAGGACAGACAGTTTATTTTAATGTCAACCATTTTAAATATATATATCTTACCATATTTTTATCATAATAAGTCTCTGTAACTGTTTCTATAAGAGTTTCTTCTGGTGCTGTATCAGAACAATTTCTAAAAATATTCTCTAGTCCAGTTAATATCTAAAAATAACAAAAGATAGTTTGTTAGGCAACAAAACATAAGCCAAGGAGTCTACAAAGGTTGTCACATATTCTTACTTTTGTAGATAAGTGAAGCATTTATAAGACCTTAGCCAGTGTTTTAGGCTTAAACACTGACTAAGAGCAACAAGTCATGAGCGTCCACAAACAATTGAAGATGATAGACGGATAAACGGACAAAGGTGCCAACAATATACAACCACATTTCAATGTTTTGGATGTTTTATCATTCCTATGAACATATCTCATTACGGTACAAATTTAGTAGGCACTGTAATATAATTATATACATTAAGTATGATGACTGCGCATTTATTTCAAGACTTATTTTTATAATATTTCTAATTCAACTTATGGCACATATCATTATAAATCAATTACCAAAAAAGATTACCTCTAAATAAAGTGGTAAATCATATAGTCGAGCAGCCAATGTACGTATTTCACGATCTGATAATACTCTATAAAAGAACATATATATATATAAGGGATATTTTAATCATGGTATGAAAACACAATTTCTTTCATTTAAGAACATTGAGTGCTCTAAAATGCACACTTTAAAGCTAGAACTGTAAATTCTGTTCATAAGATGTGACATATTTTGTTATTTGGGGTGATAAACTACATATTGATCACCAATAAAAATACCAATTTTATTTACCAACTATCTTCCAAAATTGGTCCAAAGGCATGATAATAAAGGGTGCTGATGACAACAAAAGTCAACTTCGCATGAATTTTCATAAAATCTGGCATGAACAATGCTAAATGCAAGTCCATGAATCTAATGGTTCACTTTTTGGCTGGTATCCATGGAAACGTCAAAACTGATGAGTTTTCTTGGAAATTCAATAAGTTCATGCTTAAAAGAAATTTTGATAATCCCACCCGTAGCTCAACAGCAGAGGTTATAAGCGAAATTTCAACACCAAAAACCTTAAAAAATATCAACTCAAGTATTTTAAAATCTTTGTTCATTATTTACCTTCAAACAAGATTTTGCGATTTTAGGTAAATTCTTTGAATATGTCCACAACAAGTGTTAAATTACATGTAAAATGTGAATGTAAACGGTTAATATTTACTTTAGGACACTACTCCGCCACGCTCAAAATCATTTCATGCATTCAAAAATGGTAGTCTTCGAACATCAAAAAAAAAGAAATTCAGCCATGTTCCAGTCGTGATATATTGTTAACCTGGATATTCGCGTCGTAGAGGCAATTCCTTCTGGTCATGTGACCTAATTGGGATACTTTTCCAGTGTGAAACTGTTGCGAGAGGCAGCTATGATTGTTTACTGTGGATCACGTGACCAATGTGTACAACATCATAATTTATTTAACAACTGATATAGATTGGGATAAACCTTTTCATTTGCTATAAATATTCTTTTTCTTTCCGCTTGTATCTCCATTATTACACAACAAATGATTGGACTGTTATGTGTCCTCTGGGTTATTTTACACATGGAACAAGTGTGCAATGTCTTAATAAGATTGGTGTAGAAAAGTTAGTGCATATCTTAGACTACTCAATGCCCATAATTCAATCTCATTTAATCCATAAAAAGTTAAAATTGTAGTAATGCTATTTACTCAAGAATAATTTCTTATAGAAGATCATCAAATAAAGGTCTCACCCTGAATGATCGGTATCCATTTTGTCAAATACATCTTCAACTTTTATATCTTCTTTCACACCAATAACATAGTAGAAAAAGGAAAAGGCAAACTGCATATCTCGAGAATGACGGACTTGATGAGAAGATGTTTCATCCCATTCATTAGGAAATCTGCAAGACACAAGATCCAACCATGAAATAACACTTGTATGAAAATGAAGTATTATTACATTTCAATATACATGTATATATATATATATTCTCGCAGACATACATCATTACAGTACATCATGTTATCGCTTTGATTCACAGAAGACACAACAGCATGCTTTACCATGACAACTAAGTCTACGTCTGCATACACATGTAATTCATTACTATTCATATAAAGATATTAGTTATTCATGTTAACAATAATGTGTTAGTAGGGTAGATGTAAGGTAATAATTGTACATACGTAACAATGCACTTACAATGCACTATTACATTTTATATAACACATTCTAACATAAGCAAACAATCACAGCAACAAACAAAATCAGAGAAATGAAAAAAAAATTCTTGAACTTGTAAGAAAGTAAGAAAAGAAAGCGATTTAACATCTTGTATTTTCAGATTAACATGGTAATTACTTTTTTTTTTTTACGGTAATGTGTGCCATCAAAATGAGGTTAAATTTGCTTAGATGTTTATATTTCTGCTCCTCAAATTGCAAGAGATTTTTTTTTAAAAATGCACTACCATCACAAACATGGGATCTGTTTTTTTTTGTACAATCTGGGTGTAGAAATGTAGAACAGGTGGACTAAATTTCACTTGATGTTCAGTAAATTGACCACAATACTCACGTCCACATCACGAACATTTAATTATCTGTTTCTAAATGCAAGAATTAAGCACGGAAATACCGCGAAAAGCCGCCATTTGCACTGTTTACATTTCGCTCTGTCGTAGGCTACAGTTACTCAGACAGTTTGGAAGAAGACAATTTTATATCAATGAATTTCACACCATCTACGCTTGTTTCCATCTGCTTGACACTAGTTTATAGCATTATGGAGTATTATATCTAAATAAATTAAAACGCACCCCCCAAGTCACCTGAAATAATTCTACCGTAACGACACCACAGTAAATATAGTAGTGGTTGGAATGGAAATGCACACGGCTCGTTGCTTGCTGTATTTAATCATTTAAAAAGTTTTAAACAATTTCCATAAATAAAGGCTATCAATAATTTATAAGACAATTTGACAAAATCAAAAAATCAGGTCGGAAAAATATTTTATATATAAATATAATTTGTAGCGTAAATAAAGTCCGGATATGTGAGAATGGAATTCCAGGTGGCGTTATCTGTCCTTCGCACGCTGTAGATGTAAATAGGGTGCCATGCACAGGTGTGATTTGTGTTTTGATTTATTACAGATATTTTAAAATCTGAATTCTACAACTCAACGGTGAAGTATTCGATTTAGTACGGAAGTGTGGTACCACGATACTTTGCGGAATTCACTTGGATACGGATGATAGAATTGTACGAATCTTCGAGTCGCTGAGCCAAAGCAGATTCGCCGACTTTCAAGAACTTTTAGGCAATCCGATGTCGAAGAAATAAAAAGGTTTAATATTACGATATTTATATAGAGCAGTGTACGTCAAAGACCTAACCACATGCATGTGTACCTACATATGGATATGTGTGATGTGATTAGTCTTTGAGTTTGATAATTGAGAGTGACAGGTTATTTACTGCAGGTAGCTTTTTTTTAAACATTTCGAGGCCTGTTTACAGGTATCTTCTATTTATCCTACGTATGCATTTTTAAAAAATAACGGTATTCTGTGTATTTTTAACTCTTTTGCCATACCCATGTAAACTTTTAAAATTCTACTATATATTTACCTATCCTGTAATTCTGTCATTATATTTTTATCTATCATATGTGGCATGTGTGCTGGAACTTTTCTTGAGTCAAAACCAAACTGTTTATTATATATCTTATTTACATGACGTAAAGAATCACCAAATGTATCTAATAATTTTCTACCATGAAATGACTGTATTGTATAATCTTCTTCTTTAATTGTCTTAAAAATAACATATCAAACCTTTACAAATTACAATAAAAATAATGTATTAGCCTAAATATTTAAAAATATTTACATATAAAAATAACATATTAAATAGTTATAAATACCAGCGGTTGCCAGGCAAGATAAAAGAGATGGATAGAGGACAAGCTATAAAAAAAACAACCCAAAAACAGTGATTTTTCGTACAATCAGGGCCATAATCCAAGACTATCGAAAGGGACTGAGATCTTTAAGATATAAAGATATATTCTAAGTTTCATCAAAATCGGATAAAAATTGTGACCTCTATTACATACTTCTAAAATCAGATAAATATTGTGACCTCTAGCGGGCCAACCAGCTAAAAACGTGACTTTTCATACAATCAGGGGCCATAATCCAGGAAGTTAAAGTCCAATATGCACGAATATCGGAATGAACCAAGATCTTTGGATATAAACACAACCTCGATATTACATACTTTAACACTATTTGTGTACAAGAAGCAGCCATTTTGTCTGGCATTTTCGGTACGATTTTCACAAAATTCAAACTCAACCATCATTATGGTGTAACGGTGATATAATTGAATGTTTTTTTAAATCGGATAAAAATTGTGGAATCTAGAGGGCCCATAAGCTTAAAAAACATTATTTTTCATACAATCAGGGGGCCACATAATCCAAGAAGTTATGGTCCAATATGTGTGGATATTGAAAGGAACCAAGACCTTTGGGAAATAAACATACCTTTTAAGTTTTATCAAAATGGGATAAAAATTATGACCTCTAGAGTGTAAATATTTACAAATTACAGTCCTATCATTGAAAAGAATCATCTACAGTGTTTTGTATTGTCATTAGCATCCAAAGTATTGCAAAACGTGAAGAGCCCCGGGGAAGAACGATTTAAGTCACTTTTTCAACGAACCCCACTTAATGGCGCCATCTGGTAGCAAATTGTATAAGCTTTCTGTGGAACAATCAATTTCAGGTAAAAACGATCCGAGTCACATTGAACCAAGGCCCTTCTGAAATGGCCTTCCGGACAAATACATGTCCATCGTACTGTTTATTTGACCTTAATTTGGCTGAAAAGTGGAAGTCAGTTGTTGTACTGGTGATTATGATACGTATTAAACATCATTTTGAAGTTGTAATTAAACCCACTCATTGTTCTGTTCGCATCAAGCATTCTCGTCCAAAAGTCTATTTTGAATTTTATGTGACTTAGATCGTTCTTCCCCTGGACTCTTCATATGTTATAGATATGCTTATTCTACAGATCATATCCAGAATTTAATCCATTTCATAAAAATTTAAACAAATTATGGATAACTGAAATTAAATTTGGACTGATTCAAGATGGCTGCAAGCATTTCATAATGCAAGCCGTTTTTATATTGAAATATCTTCATTAATATTTATCTGAACACAGACATTTATTTATTAATAAATTTACTTACAGATTTAATATTTTTAAAGAGTTTTCTCTTCTCCCATGGAAAACCATGATAATTATCAATTCTCTGACTTCTGTTCAAAAATAATTTATCATCCACAGATTCGTCAGCATCTTTTTTCCACAACAACTTTCTTATAGTAGAACGTATCTTAGCATCTTGTGTATTCTTAATCTTTTTTATATTACTATTTAACCTCTTTGGTAAAGTCTTTCGCTTTAAGTGGTTTACTTGCTTTTTAAACCCCTTCTCTGTAATTTCCCCTAAATACAGAAGAAATCTATTAATGATAATAATAACAATAGTGATGATGATAATGATGATGAATATTTACACTGCTCTCATTCCATCAAAACATTATGTTCATGGTGCAGGTTTGTTTAGCTCCCGAATTTAAGAACAATTTTATAGGTAACTAATAATTATAAGAATCAAAGAGATGAGATTTTAGTTTTGATCTGAAAGTTTACAAACATTGAGATTTAGTGATTTACAGTTAAAGAGTTACATAGTTACATTGTAACTATACCTTTGCTGCACTGAGATGCCTTTATATTATCTTTTTACAAAAAGATAGGTTGCCACAGCAGCTACATCGTCCGAGCAGTCAACAAGGGTTGTGGCATATTTATTCTTTTGTAGGTAATTGGGGCATTTACAAGACAATTTCATACAGATCAGATTATAATTTGTGTCGTTTGAGGGTTCACAAGGTTCTACAAACTGAAACAAGGGCCTTAACTCTGGAAGTAATTTTCCCCAAAATTTTGAAATTTGACACGCTTTTTCGTTTTACTAATTTAAATAATGCATATAAATTTCATACAGATCGCATGATAACTTTTGTCATTCAAACGTTCACAAGGTTCAAAGTAAAACAAGGGCCATAACCCTAGAAGTAATTGACGAAAATTGATGAAATTCAATTGACATCCGTTTCACAAATTTAAATGATGCATATAAATTTCATACATATCTGATAACTTTTATCAATCGAGCATTAACAAGGTTGAACAAAGTGAAACAAGGGCCATAACTCTAGAAGTAATTATTGTAAATTGCTGTAGGCTTCGTGGTTTTATTAATCTAGACATAATAAACGGAAATTGCTGAAATTCAACAATTTACATAATGCATATAAATTTCACAAAGATTGGTATTAGAGCGTTCACATGGTTCAACAAAGTGAAACAAGGGCCAGAACTCTAGACATAATAAACAAAAATTGCTGAATATATCAATTTTAAAACAATAAGATGATAACTTTTGATATTAGAGCATTCACAAGAAATTGTGGAAGGCGGAGGGACAGACGAGCGGACGGGGGCGACGGCAATATACGTCCACATTTCCATGTGGGCGTATAAAAACTTTCAAATGTATGCAAAAGTGCATTTTATCTTGATATAATTAAATAGTGACTGGAAATAGGTATAAAGCATTACATGAAGAACATACCAGTTTGTAGATCTGTTTCTAATTGTAATAACTGAGCTCTAATTTTCGGTGATAAATCTGTATTATTACTGTTAAAACTTGCTTCTACATAAACATCTTTACTTTCTTTTGTGACCTGTATTTGTGGATATCTGCAAAAAGATTCCAGAATTATAATTTACTTCATGGCATTTAAAAATAGGATAAAAGTTATCTCATATTGTAACACTTCATTTAACAAATGTTAATGTCCTCACCATTACCTTCAACTAATTTAAATTCAAGGATTTTCCATAATTATTTCGAATTTAATTGTACCATGGACCTTGTAATAGGATCCATGATGATACATAAGAAAGAATGGGGTGGAATTAAAAAGAAACATTCTAGTACCTCTCATTTTCTGGAATTTCTTCAAAAACTAACACCTCTAAATTGATATCGTCATCTGATGTAGTATTACTTGTATTATTACCTCCCTTGGACAAACTTTCATCAAGAGAAACACTTGTATCTACAGTAACTGTGAAATTTTTCTATAACAAAAATAACAAATAACATATACTATGTATAGAAGTATAAGACAAGCATAAATACTGTTTCTAATCAAAATACATACAATTTATCTATCAATTTTGCCAGACAGCACAGACAATTTTGCTGCTGGAAGCCCCAGTTTATGATGTTTAGACTGGTAATCTGAAAGGATACTGAGATTATTAACTGAAATCCTACTATCAAGCATAACTTTCCTGTATTTTGGACAAAATTGTAAAGTTCTGAATATGTGACCCGTGCTGGCAAACTGAGTCGCAATGAGAAAATTTTGAAAATTGAGTTATTGTTATTCTCCATCTCAATGCCTTCAAAATGATGTATGGTTGGTTGAGCTATGTCCGTTTGAAGCTGTCCAAGCAAGGAAAGTAAGTTTTTAGAAAAAGCAAGTTAAAGATGTCGGTATGTTCCAAAATAAAATCACATAGCAACCATGCCATTTATTTGCTATTTTGTCACAATATTTTATTCTTTAGGTTTTCAGGGGTGCTGAAGTTGAAAATCGTGGTAAAATTTTGATCCGAGATTTGTTTTATATAAAAAAATGTTTATATATTTTTTCTTGACAACTACAAAATTATCTCACGCAATGAACTGTTTTCGTAACAAAACATCAATTAGTAATCTATGTTTTGCATATTATAACTTTTGTGAGAATAACTTCAGTTAATCTCCTCAATTAATTAGCACCTAAGTGCCAGTGGTCAGGTGATTAAGTTTGTTGATTGGGTAATCAAATTTAGTTTCAAAGAAGCCATCACACGACTGAATTAAAATGAGGTTTTGTGTATACAATAGGTCTATTGTTATTTTCAAGTACTGTAACGGTATCAAAATATTAATCCCTGATAGAAAGACAGAAATTTCAATTTCATTTGTAAGAAATGCTTATGTTCACTTTCGTGCATTTTGGCGGCGGTGTAATGACACAAATAATAGCGGACTTGTTGGTTGTTGACATTTTTCCACCCCATGGTGATAATAGAATTTGAAACAATCCAATTTGGTATGCTTGCTTGTATACTTTGCATGCCGTTTGAAGCGACAGTAAATGTGATTCGGCTATCAGTAAAATTCTCCTCATAGAAAAAATTATTGGCCATATGGTTTATTTCCATTTAGGTCTATAAATTATTTGTTTTAAGACGAAACGAGATATCAAATAATCACCGCTTGGATCAATTATTCGGAATAATGATTGGTCAATGGCCCTATCTTTGGTAACTGTCAATCAACTAATCATTAATCTGTGACAATTGATTAGTAATACTCAATGATATGATCCGCTTGATGATTAACTTACAGTAGCGGTATGCTTACACATGGTTTTTGTTAACACTCAACAGCAATCTAGACACGATCAGAATTCAAATTTTTATTTCTGCAGCTTCTCAGAGTGAGTCGCAAGTACCCCCAAAATTTATCACCAAAATCAAATTCCTATCGCCAGCTTGAGCCTCGAGACAAGTCAGCAAACAAATTGTGTGGACTGCATTAGCAACAAGCGGGGTTTTAAAATTCGTTAGTATTCGTTTACAATGAATTCATCAGTAATACTTTGGTCATATTTATAAACTAGAGATTCGCCGCTTTACAACGATGCCAAGTATTATGTAAGATGATTGACGCCGAGCGGAGAAAAATAACTATTTTCGCTGAGAACTTTAAGAGAAAATACAGATTTATAAATTCGGTACTCTTACAAAATGTCCAAATAAAGTGTTTTATTGCTATTTTGATCTTTTTGGTCGATAGATAGTATATTTATAGACTTTATAAAGTCTAGATGTGCAGCTTTTTCCCCAGGATAAAAGGATGAAACAGATGCATTTGTCCAGTCAACCAATATAAATGAATGGTAGCCATTTGTATTAACAGATCAATTATCAAAAATATCTGGACTAAACGATTTAGAATCAGAGAAATTGGTAATATAATCTTACCCATAATTCATGACTTTTATTACCATCATGGCCTTTTAAACTGAAGACTAGCAATGTTTTATTGTGATTATCATTGAGCAGTAATGTTAAAACTTTATATTTATTAGCTATAGCTACTTGTCGTATAATGACACTTGAATTATATACTGCTGATGTAACCATACCATCCATACCAAATACACCAGTTAGATTAAAATATCCTATTCTTTCACCTGTAATACATACATAAATATAAGCAGATGACCAAAGGATACTGTTTCGCCAGTATATGCTGTACATGTCCTACGCAAGTCGGCAAATGTCCAACCTGGAAAATACCCCATTGACATAATACAGGTAAGTTAGTGACTTTTACACCTTTATTTTATTTTTCTCTCCATAGCATTAAGACAATTGTTTGTGGAAAGCCATTGAGCAAAGACAACTTAACACAGAGTACAAATTGACAGGCTACAACAGTCACAGTCCATCAATATATGTTATATAAATGATGATAGTACTGTTTAAAGGAGCTAAGTCTCTAATTCAATATTTTCCATAATATTCAAAATTAAAATCACAAATTAGAATTCCCTATTGGTCCATTTCAATCCATATTGATGTTGTTATGTTGCTGTGAAAATGTGGGATCCTAATATCCAATATTTAAGACACAATGAACGTTTTACAATATGGTAGAGTCATGTACCATATTGTTTCAGGCCCAAATCAATGAACAACGAAAAACATATCTTAAATTACAATGCGATAGTAAATAGTGATGGCTGATTCACAAATGATAAAATAATAATAATAAAAAAACAAAAACGTTTAGAGAGAGAGAGAGAAATGGGGTTTAACGTCCACTCGACACAAACTAGGTCATTTTGGGACAAACATATGGTTTAATTTTATTTACATAATTCGCTTGCGCGTAGGGATCTTTAGCAGTGGAAGGAAACCGGAGGACCCGGAGATAACCCACGAGGTTGGACAGGCAACCCTACTCCTTGCTACGTACAATCGGGGATTCGAAACCACGCCAGTCAACTCAATGACAGACTTTACGATACAGCGCGCGCACGCTAACCATTCAGCCATCCAACCCCCCCAAAAACGTTTAGAACAGAGAGAGAGAGAGAGAAAGAGAAATAGGGTTTAACATCCACTGGACACAAACTAGGCCATTTCTGGACTAACAAACGGTTCAATTTTATTTTTTAAAAAAAATAGAGCCACACACCCTTTAATCAGACAAAATTGTTCGTTACCAGTAGGAATAATGTTACAACTGTTTAGATGACTGATAACAGATTTAAAAAGATAGGTTGCCAGCAGCTAAATCGTCCGAGCAGTCGACAAGGGTTGTCACATATTTATTTTTTTGTAGGTAATTAGGGGAATTTAATAGACAATTTCATACAGATGAGTCATGACCTTATAATTTTCGTCATTTGAGGGTTGACAAGGTTCTAAAAACTAAAACAAGTGCTGTAACTCTGGAAGTAATCTTCAGAAATCGTTGAAATTCGACAGGCTTTTTCTTTTACTAATTAAAATAATGCATATAAATTTCATACAGATCGGATGATAACTTTTGTCGTTCAACAAGGTTCAACAAAGTAAAACACGGGTCATAACTCTAGATGTAATTGACGGGAATTGCTGACATTCAATAGGCTTCTTCATTTCACTAATTTAAATGATGCATATAAATTTCATACAGATTAAATGATAACTTTTGTTGTTCAAGCATTCACAAGATTCAACAAAGTGAAACAAGGGCCATAACTCTAGATGTAATCAACAGAAATTTGCTGAAACTCAATAGGCTTGTTCGTTTTTCTAATTTGAACGATACATATAAATTTCATACAGATCGGATAATAACTTTTGTTGTTAGAGCATTCACAAGGTAGAACAAAGTGAAACAATGGCCATAACTCACGACGTAATTAACGGAAATTGCTGAAATTCAATAGGCTTCTTCATCGCACTAAATTAAATGATGCATATCAATTTCAAACAAATCGGATGTTAACTGTTGTCATTAGAGTGTTCACAAGATTCAACAAAGTGAAACAAGGGCCATAACTATAGATGTAATCAACAGAAATTTGCTGAAACTCAATAGGCTTGTTCGTTTTTCTAATTTGAACGATACATATAAATTTCATACAGATCGGATAATAACTTTTGTTGTTAGAGCATTCACAAGGTAGAACAAAGTGAAACAATGGCCATAACTCACGACGTAATTAACGGAAATTGCTGAAATTCAATAGGCTTCTTCATCGCACTAATTTAAATGATGCATATCAATTTCAAACAGATCGGATGTTAACTGTTGTCATTAGAGTGTTCACAAGATTCAACAAAGTGACACAAGGGCCATAACTCTAGATGTAATTAACGAAAATTGCTGAAATTCAATAGGATTCTTTGTTTTACTAATTTAAATGATACAGTGGACGATGGACGGACGGACGAATGGGGGCGACGGCAATATACGACCACATTTCCATGTGGGCGTATAATGAACTTATCTAATTGACCGTACGGGACATACGTCTTTTTTTAGTAGCTGATGTCATGTCAAAGGATCCATCCAACAGTCATCAAAAAAAGTTTAAAGGCAGTATTCCCACATTGAATACAATCTGTAATCTCATATATATGGTATATATTTCTATTATTATTCACATTTTGATAATTGCATTATTTTATGTATTTCTAAAAAAAGTCAAAAGTGACATAACTACTAGAAGCGAACATATAATAATATAAAATATTTGTAACATCCTGCAAAAATCTATTCATACCATATCCATACATTAAATTGTTAATTCTAAAATAAAGTGCAACACACCAACAGGTAAAAAGTAGAAACTATCATCTGGTGTTAAATCTTGACCATGTAATTTATCATAATCTTTTGTACCACAATCTCCAGCATCATATCCACAAATCTTCACATTACATGCCTACAAAATATACAGCATATATTATAAACTTTTAAAATCATTTGCATAATAACAGTCTCTTGATCTACTTTCTCCTAATGGTGTGCAAGATTTAAATACCCACCCATGTTCTGAGGGTAATTGAAGTTACATACATCTAGTTCAGTTCCAGTTAAACTATTGATCAATCTGATTCAAATACAGATCTAAAATCGTTTCATTTTTTATACTTTCGATGGCTTACACTACATGAATATCTGAACGGTTGTACTGGAAGGTCGCGTCAGGGGGCATACGAGTGGCTTTTGACCCTATGACATCAGACAAGTAACAGACCGTTTCACTGGCGAATCCCTCACTTCAACCAGAACGTTGGTAATATAACAACTCCTCCAATTGATTATTGATCACCATTTACCTGTGCATTGAGCAACTGGATATAGTTTAATAAACGAACTTATCTTCACTTAATTTATTACATCAGTGTCTTCTCCATATAATATATTGTCAAATTTAAAGTTTGAATAAGTAAAATAATACTTACTGTATCACAATATCTATCAGCTATCCATGTGTTAGCACAACCAGTATTACAATATACTATAATAAACAAAAAAAAGGTATTACAAAATACTATAATAAAAAAACAAATGGTATTACAATATGCTATAATAATAAAAACAAACAGTATTACAATATACTATAATAAACAAAACAAACAGTATTGCAATATGTTATAATAGATAAAACAACCAGCATTATAATATACTATAAAGTATTACAATATTCTATAAAGTATTATAATATACCATCAAGTATTACAATATACCATCAAGTATTACAATATACCATCAAATATTACAATACTCCTCAAAAAAAGTAGGGGATATTCAGAAACAATACAATACTGCCGAAATGCACTGCTGTTTTTATTAGAGGTAACCAGTGTATGTTAATAACAGGCCAATTGCCAACACATGAACATAAACAGTTCATATGGGCGGCTTATCTGATGTCCCCATTTCACTCGCAAAGAGATATGTATAAGATATACATATTATATTGCAATATAATATAAAGTGTTACAATATACTATAAAGTAAAAAATATACCATAAAGTATTACAATATACTATACAGTATTGCAATATACCATGAAGTGTTACAATATACTATAAGTAATACCATAAAGTATTACAATATACTATACAGTATTGCAATGTATAATAAAGTATTACAATATACCATAAAGCATTACAATATACCATAAAGTATATTCTAAAAAAATCAATATACCACATAGTATTGCAATCTATAATAAAGTATTAAAATATACCATAAAGCATTACAATATACCATAAAGCATTACAATATACCATAAAGTATATACTAAAAAAATCAACTTACCTAATGACTGAGCATGGCTATCATAATTACCATGGAAACCAGCTCCAAGTTGAACAGCACCAGTTTTACCTAGAAGAGAAGTAAAAACATATATTAAACTGGTTTAACATACAAAGAAAACTGTTCAATCATTAGGCTAAACTAACAAAATAGTGTGCCTTTTATTGGCTATTGTAGATTACCTTCACAATCACCAGCATCCCAATCACATTCTGAATTATTACACGCCTTATCACAGTAACCATCTTTAATCCAATTAGACGGACAGCCATCATTACAATTAGGTACAGGCCATGTTAAATATACCTATAAATAGATTAATCATCATCAGATACAGGCCATATTAAATATGCTCATAAAGAGATTAATCATCATTTGGTACAGGCCATCTGGAAATTACCTATGAACAGATTAATCATCAATAGGTACAGGCCATCTGGAAATTACCTATGAACAGATTAATCATCAATAGGTACAGACCAGGTTAAATATACTTATAATAAATAGATTAATCATGTTAAAGATACCAACAAAGTAGTGTTATACCTAAATTAAATTTGAGGGAAATTATTGTAAGATTTGCTTTACCTTATGACCTGTTGATTGAGAATAAAAATCATCTGGCCACACTTCTTGACCAAACATTACATCATCATTCATATAAATAAACTTATCTGATAAACCATTAATACGATGTAAATGTGCCTCTATAGCAGGAGAACTAAATGTTGGTAAATGGGTTTTATTTGGAAATAATTCCTGTAAGAAAATAATGACATAAATCAAAAAGATTCTTGACAATTACTTCAAGACTTATGGCAAGATGAATCATAGGTTATTATCAATTGGTTCATCTTTCTAATGAATTCTAATATTTATCTGCAGTAAAGTGGTTCAATTTTTACTTTCTAAATTTCTAAAGTGAAAATTTCCTAGTTATGTATACCTGAACTACATACAGTAGGCATTTGAATCTGCATGTTTGACCACTGTTGTGCACTTCGACATTGGGAGATGGTTTACGTTCATTGCAAAATGACAGCTATACAATATATCAAATGTTATTTAAATAGATATCAGTACGTCATAATAAAATCTTAATAAAAACAATTATATTACCTCATGTGTAACAACAGTCAGACGAGGATTATCCATGTTTAACCAATGAGGTATCTGACCATTTGTTACTATAAAGATATGTCGAACCCAAGGAGCATAACGTACAACTGATCTTATTGAATATCTTAATTCCTAAAACAGACGAATACAAAAAAATATGTATTGGACGTTTGTATACTCAATATCAAATGAAAACATGGGATATCAATACTCTAGCACAGTTATTTCAATTCAATTATTTAAACATGTTTGATTATCTATTTTATGTAAAATTAATAACTTTACCTCATTATCTTCAAATCTACTGGAAGCAATATCTTCTCCTCTAGAGTGCTACAATATGAAACCAATATACATATCAAGATCATAAAGTAATAAAGCAATAAGAAAGAATTATTTTGGCTAAATATTTTGGTTTGTTTTGTTTCAAAATATTTAATGTTATTCATTAATTAATCAACTGGAGACCCCTAATGACTGACCAATCCCCATTGTTGTTGTTATGAACTTTTAGCACATGCGTGACAAGAATTGACAACATGGCTATAATGTATAAACTTGAATATTTCGTGTAAAACCAATTATGAGATTTGGTGATTTTTTGTTGTAATGCACAGTAAAACGTCTAGAATAGTAAAACATATTAAAGATACATTATGGGAGATAAGATAAAGAGATGACAGTTCTCGCTATAATAGTTAAAAACTAGATAGTGTAAAGGTAATTTGATGAAAATTTCAGTCAAATTGATCCACTATGAGCCGAGAAAGAAGCGTGTGAAATTTTTGCATAGTCTTGGTCATCATTACTAAAATCATTAATCTAAACAGCATAGTCTCGATTATCCGCTTTTATTGATTTAATTATCAATAGCCGTTAGCGGCATATAGGAATCTAATCCAGCCAACATCGAAGGCTAGCCTTGACATCGAGAGTTTATTATGGTCTGGATAAGTTAATTAATGTCTAATTGATAATTTAGATAACATTTCAGGCCTAAAGAAAGACTTGTAATAAGCGATTTTGCTCTTGCATAATGCATGTTTAATATACATGTATTCCTGCTCATACTTCATCTTCAATCACAGTTTTAATTATTAAGAAGTGATGTGATTTTTGTTTATGAATTACATAGTATTGGATCCTTTAAAAGTTGACCAGCAAAATGTTAGGACTATTTAGATATGGTTATGTTTTGTTTTGGGTGAAGAACTTACATCTCTAAGATCCCAAATAAGATTAGCAGCATTAAAAGTTGGCGTCTTTCCATCTATTGATATATTTCTTACCTAAAACATATCAAACATAAAACAGTCCTTTATTGATCAAAAATTTACATTTATAAAATAATAAAATTGTAACTTACATGAACTAGTGAAACAATATGTACAATATAAAATCAATATTTATGTGTTAAAGTAATTCATAATTTAAATTAAAGTGCACATAAGATGGGCTTGGAAACTTTTGGATATGTGTAGCCAATGGTTACTATATCAACTTTACGGCAAGTTCACACCAATCTGATTGAAATTAATTTTAGTTATCTTCACTCAAAGTCGTAAAAATAGACCTCCCTTAAAAACGACTTTGCCAATTATCGAAAACACTCTTAATCCCCTCAGACGCCAGTGACGTCACAGTGACCGAATGCATATTCAGAATGTTTATTCCTTAATTACCTATATACAACCGGCGTGTGTACTCATTAACGCCTGACTGGTTCCTTAATCCCCCTTAGTTCCTTAATTAAATAAAACAATTGACTACGGAATAATTTGTTTTGTAATTCATTTTAATTTATGATTCAATTTAGAATTTGTTTCTCATGACAGGAATTTTAATACCCTCTAACATTGTGTGCAGTCCAATTGATTAGAGATACATTTTCGTCAAAAGAGTATTGTGGTTCTAATTTCCGCGAGTAAAAAAGTACAGTGTTAAAAAGATGTGGTCATGCAAATTGTATCATAAAAGTCAAACATGATTGAAAAGCGATTTGTAAATGACGATCCGTTATCATCGTACGACGGATTTGACTTTATTACTCTGAAATAGACCGTAAAAATGAAATGTGAAAAAATATCTCAATATACAGTACAAATAAATTTTGAGGGTAACCTTCTAAATGGAATAACAGACAGATTGAGAAGTGTCATCTAACTATCTTTGTGTATTGATAATAATATGACAAGTAGTGTTGTTAATATCTGTCATTAATTAATCAATGCGACTAAACTTATACAGACTTGGGGGTCATTAATTAATTTACATCTCGGTGTTAGCAGTGATTGTTAGTGGGATTAAGAATGCTGATTAGGTAATTATCTTTTTTACGCCGGCCAGATCAAAGACATCACTCTAGGTGGAATGTGTGCGTAGTACCCACAAATGAACTAATGGTAGAATCATACACACACATATTAATTGTATAAAATAATTAAGTTTTACTAAGTTTGTTTAAAATTACTATATACCCAATAATTATTGCTCACCGGTGTTTTTGTAATCAAGTGGCCTCGTATTATTTGTTGATTGGCGTTTAAACAACATTTAAGTGATGGATGGATTAACGTTTTTGATACGATTAGGTTATAATGTCTAACATCGGTTATCTTCTTTATAATAAAAGTATATATTTTACAATTGCATTGACAGTTTAATCACTCACCAAACGGCACCAGGAACTCCACGAATGATCCCGTGCAATTTTCGCGGCGAAGTTTAACCTCATTTACTACACCCGTAGTACATGGAACGGTACATGATAATAAGATACCAAGCGTTGATTGGCAGAGAAATGAGTGCGATCTATTGTACATGTTTTGCATAGTCATTGGAAAATTCCATATTCACTGTAGTTGTTCTTTATGTATAGAAATGGTTATTATTATTATATATAGCGAATAATGAATATATCGACAAATGACTGGGACCATTTGTATTTCTGTACTTAACGGGGTTATCCAAATTACCGGTAAATGCGCTAATTTCTTGAGTCATCTTCATTTGACACGTGACCTATTTAAACAAAGGCAGCTTAAATTGATCTACGACATGATACAGCATTTTAAATTCACTCTAAAATATTCCAATCACAAATGTCTAATCTATACCAATGAAAGACGATAATTCGGTGATTATGATTAGGCCAGTCACGTGGTAATTGGACCGTCAATAGACGCTTGTCCAGTTGCCGTGTGTATTGATAGTGCTATATTGTACAGACAGTGAGATATTGTATAGATAATGTATATCCTATGTGTAGTGCCTGTGACGTCACCAGCCAATCAACCGGATTAAGGTCGTAATTGAAAAATCGAAAAGCGTTTTGGCGTGTCGGATACTTAAACATTAACAGGGGACTTAACTTTAATCAGATTGGTGTGAACTTGCCGTAAAGTTGATATAGTAACCATGGGCTATACATACATGAAATTTAGATTTTTGATCTTACGTGGTCTTTAAACTAAACTAGGCAAAGTGCCAAGTTTGAGAGTTTTTATACTAGATTATCACAAAATTATACATCAATTACAAATAGAATATGTAGAGTGTGTTATGTCAACCCTATAACATGTAATCCTGATCTGTTAAAACAAGGAGTGGATCTTCCACCATGACATCAGTTGTCAATAAACCCAAAAAAGATTTGTGAAATACAGTCTATTTCATAAAGTACAAATTCAAATTCCTTTTACAGATAAACCAATATACGCAGTTTAAAATAAGATGTGTTCCCTTGATTTTAAATAACCAATAACTATCCATCCAATAAATGTCTACAAAAATTTCTACAAAATGGCCCATAGATTTGTGTCTGAATCAGTGGCAGCGTCACTTTTGGAAAATAAAAAAAAAATTATTTGTAATACGTTTCAGTAATCAATACCTTCTATGGTGATTAAATCCCACATCCCCACTCAGTCATAGACTTGCATGTTGTAGAGTCTGAGTGATTTCTTACCAAGCCCATCCTGCTGTAAACCTACTATAAACAATTTAACACGTGAACCACTTGAGAGTGCTTTTTACAATCCTCAAAGTTTTTGGGTATATAGGTTCAAAGCAGCGAGAATATGCATTCACTTGATACACTCACTCCGTTCGTTTGACATTTTCCTCTCTGTTCGGATAAGCTGGTGATTTGGCGACGAACAGTATCTGGTCAGCTCTATTTCCGAAATACTGACCGGCTGCATTTCCGGCAGTCTATTTCACAAAATATAGTGGCGAAAATATTCATTCACTTTGATTCACTCACTCCGTCCGTTTGACACTTTCCTCTCTGGTCGGATAAACTAGTGATTTGGCGACAGGCGGTATCTGGTAAGCTCTATTTATCTCGACGATCAGTGCCTGAAATACTGCCAGACTGCATTTCCGGCAGTCTACTTTCAAATTTTCAGGGGCTTCATTCATTTGACACTTTCGTCTCTGGGGTCGGATAGACACTAGTGATCAGGTGAGAGACGGTATCTGATCAGCTCCATTTATCTCGACAATCGGTGCCTAAATACTGTCAGACAGCATTTCCAACAGTCTATTTTTCAAAATTTACTTTGGCGCTCATGAGTGGGCTTCGTTGAGGTTCAGTCGTTTGACACTTTATCTCAACGATAAGTGCATTTCCGGCAGCCTGTTTTTCTAAAATTTCTGGGGGAGGCCCCCCTACCCGTAGTTGAAGCTTGTGCCTTTGCCCCCTTAACCTTGGACTTTGCCCCTCCAACCATCGGCGGCTAGCGCTGCCACTAGTCTGAATCAATGATGACTTCTGACAGTCGGAAACAAACCCAGGATAATATAATTACCTCTAATAAATTTTCAAACTCTGTTTTATTTGGTACAACAAGAACTGCAACCCCTGCATCAGAATGCAATTTAACCTAAATTTAAAAATAATATATTAAATAATAAGTGGGATATCATTCCTGATATTCATCATCTTTTTTAGGAAGTGAAATTTTTTGTGTCAGGTGAATGCAACTGTAACACGCTGACTGACTGGTTGATTGGAGTTCAGGTGGGCATTTAGTTGGATTTTAGTTGCAAAAATCATATAGATAAGGCTATATTGGCAGCAGCTCCAGTGAATCTAAAAGGTAATTTTTTTTGGCCACATCATTTGTGCCCCCTCTCAACCAAAATCTGGAATCTGGTGGGCCACATATGTTGGGTGACTTCCTAGTTGCTAAACTCACACATCTGAATGGAAGAACAGCATTTGTCGGCATCTAATTTTCAAATTTCAAGGTGAAAACCTTCCACACACCCCTCCCCCATGCACTGCTACTTGGCTTCAGCTCTCGACTGCACAGATATTCGCTGACCACAATCAAAAGATTTCCAGGCATTTCATTTGGCTCATTGGGCTCGTACGGCTTCGCTTGATCGTGCAGTATACATTATACAGAATAATTAGGTCAGCACTTGGCAGTATCTTAAATGTGATATGAAATTAAGGGATATACAATGGTGAAAATTCTACTGCCTCTTTAATTAGACTAGTTGTTAACACCACTTACCTGAGTAATACTATTATGAAATTTATCAGGTAATTTTCCCTTTAATTCTGTATGTGTTAATGTATGAGGAAATCCAGTCATTAGAACTGTATCATGTAATAAAATACTATGGTGTTTTGTCCAGTCACTAGTCTAAATAATAAATTAAACAAAAAACTTCACTAACAATAAATTCAGTAATAAATAATTTGAGGTTACTACGAAGCATATTACCTATGGTAAATTTCTGGAAATGTAAAATAACTATCAGGCATTTGGGTGAGCACAGACACTAAAATATCTGTTACTTTAAATTAATATATTTTCATTGTAATTAAGGTCTTTGTATATCAAACAAATTTGTCAACTGTTTTATCTTTGTCAATTGCAAATCATATGGGATAAACCAAACACAATGATGATAATAGTAAGTGCATGAGGACCACACGACATACACAAACAAAACTCACAAGACAAACCTGTGGACAAGACACACAAAAAAAACTGATATTGTAAATAATATACAACAAATTTCTATATCAGATCAAGTGAATAGATTCTGGGGGGTCAGCCGTAAGAGTCCACTGTGCTGTAGTCCCGAGCCTGTAGTGATACATGTAACTGAGCTTGGGGTACTTTACTGTATTTGAAGTGGCCAATGTACACAAGGCTTTTAAATTTATAAATTATGACTCCTTCAGAAACATTAAATAACTGTAAATTCAGATCAAGTGAATGAATTCGGGGGTCAGTCATTAGCGTGCACTGGGCTGTACAGTCCCAAGTCTGTACTGATACAAGTAACTGAGCTAGGGGTACTTTACTGTGTTTAAGGTCGCGAATGCACACAAGGCTTTTAAATCTTATAAATCATGACATATTAAATAACTGTAAATTCACCACAGATTTTAAGAAACAAATTAAACATATTATATATAGTTGTTACTTACATAAAAGACTCTACATATAGTTATATTTATCTGGTTTATAATAATTGATGCAGATGTAAAATTTTTCACTGAAAAATATTTACATATCAAATTTAACATATCAAATTTTGTCTAAATACATGTTCTTTTTAAAAGTCTAAATATATTATGTAATTATTTTCGTCCCTGGGTTTTAAGTTTAGGGCTCGGCAGTACTGTATGAAAATAGGTTACAAACTCGACTATACAGTGAGTACAAGTACAGTAATATCCTTATTTAACAATCCTAATACCAGTAGTCTCTGGGTCTTCTGTGAAAACCATTGAAATCAATAAAGATTATCTTTATTCTGATACTATCAACTTACATAGTCAAGAAAGTGTAACAGACTGATGGATATGGGTGACGATAATATATGTGTTAAAAAATGCACAAGCTTATAAAACTCATCTTTTCAATGATTTTCTTGTTTTACATGCTTAACACCTCTTTCTTCAGAGCATATAAAAATAACAAGACCTATGTCTAAATACATTTTCGTTTTAAAACATTATTTGTAAATAGTTATAGATACCTGCTTGTTCATCTAATTCAACAACTGTAAAATTTAGTTTTTTTTCTGTAGGTGTGGTTACTACAAACATACGACTGGCTGTTCTAAACAACCTATTCAAAATCCTCAGTTGACCTAATGTTACATGTTTAGGTAAAGGAGGATCAAGAACTATCATATTGGACGGAACACAATTATGGAAGTTACATTTTGTCTCTCTGAAAACAACAAAAAGCTTTATGAGAAATGGCACTCCACATTATTGAAAGAATTGAATGGGATTACACTGCATTGATTTACTAAGGTTATTTTGAGAATAACATATGGTTATGTATAGGACATTAACCTACCCGAGGTTGATATGATAGAGAACAGGCCGGCAAATCCCAAGTGTTCTCTATCATATCAATCCGAGGGAGAGAAGGTTTATTTCCGACATATACAAAGTCATAGTTTTAATCACCCTTAAATTAAATGGACCCTTCCATTAAAAGTCAACAATGATTGGACAATTGCTTGATAGTTTCTGCCAAATAACAAAGATAGGTTGCCAGGCAATGAAACATAGGCCCACAGCGGCTAAATCGTCCGAGCAGTTGACAAGTGTTGTCGCATATTTATTCCTTTGTAGGTAATTGGGGGCCTTTTATAATTTTTGCCGTTTGAGGGTTCAGAAGGTTCTACAAATTGAAACAAGGGTCTCAACTCTGGAAGTAATCTACAGAAATTGTTGAAATTTCACAGGCTTTTTCGTTTCACAAATTTAAATGATGCATATAAATTTCATACATATTGGGTGATAACTTTCATCAATCGAGCATTAACAAGGTTGAACAAAGTGAAACAAGGGCAACAACTCTAGAAGTAATAAACGGAAATTGCTGAAATTCAATAGGATTCTTCTCTTTACTAATTTAAATATTGCAAATAAATTTCACAAAGATTGGATGTTAACTTTTGGCATTAGAGGGTTCACAAGGTTCAACAAAGTGAAAAAAAGGCCATAACTCTAGACGTTATAAACGGAAATTATTGAAATTAAATAGGCATATAAATTTCAGAAAGATCAGTTGATAACTTTTGGCGTTAGAGCGTTCACAAGGTTCAATAAAGTGAAACAAGGGCCATAACTCTAGATGTAATACACAGAAATTGCTGAAATTCAATAGGCTTCTTCGTTTCACCAATTTAAAAAATTTCAGAAAGATAGGATGATAATTTTTGGGGTTAGAGCGTTCACAAGGTTAAACAAAGTGAAACAAAGGCCATAACTCTAAAAGTAATTAACGGAAATTGCTGAAATTCAATAGGCTTCTTCTTTTCCCCAATTTAAATATTGCATATAAATTTCACAAAGATTGGATGTTAACTTTTGGCATTATCACAAGGTTCAACAAAGTGAAACAAGGGCCATAACTCTAGACGTTATAAACGGAAATTATTGAAATTAAATAGGCTTCTTCGTTTCGCTAATTTAAATAATGCATATAAATTTCAGAAAGATAGGATGATAACTTTTGGGGTTAGAGCATTCACAAGGTTAAACAAAGTGACACAAGGGCCATAACTCTAGAAGTAATAAATGGAAATTGCTGAAATTCAATAGGCTTTTTCGTTTCCCTAATTTAAATATTGCATATAAATTTCACAAAGATCGGATATTAACTTTTGGAATTAGAGCGTTCACAAGGTTCAACAAAGTGAAACAAGGGCCATAACTCTAGACGTTATAAACAGAAATTATTGAAATTATATAGGCTTCTTCATCTCACTAAAGTAAACAACATATATCAATTTTAAAACAATTGGATGATAACTTTTGGCGTTTGAGCGTTCACAAGAAATTGTGGAAGACGGACGGACGTACAGACAGACGTACGGACGTATGGATGGGGGCAACGGCAATCTACGTCAACATTTCTATGTGGGCGTATAAAAATGGATTGTGATACGTTATCAGATGAATAATCAATTCTTTTTAAGCAACAGATTGACGGTGGAATAGATGTGAAAGGCTGAAGAAAATTTGGATCAAAAGGCAATCTTTTCCGATAATTCTGACAGTGAACTGTGAAGGTTTTCGGTATGTTCAGAGGATTTGACCGACTGTGTTAAGTGGACTGTACCCAAAAATACTTCACAAAGGAACTCTTGGGCTATAAATACTTTCAAGTCTTAGAGTGTGTGGAGAAATAATCGAAATGTGGATGAAAAGAAAATTCTGAAAGATATCTTAGACATGGATAACCGTTCTAAATATGCCGATAAGTAAGCCATCTATTTTGGTGCTGAATGCTACAAACTGTACCATAAAATTTTTTAATTGTCAAAAGAATAAAAATTATTTCTGTGTTCTTTGTATTATTTCGATCATCAACATCATCGAAATATCAACCTGAGATGACGTCATCAGTGGTTGATATGAACCGAATATATCAACCTATGATGACGTCATAACAGGTTGATATGAAATATAACTGCTATGCACATCAAAGAAAAAACTACTGCGAGTTGTATATATTCATCTTCATTTCTTGCCAGCCTGACAGCTTTTATCCTTGTTAAGTGAAATGAACACACATCTCTAGTCAACCTTACAGACAGGTTTTATTCATGTTAAGTGAGATGAATATCTGGTATTTCTTGACAACCCTGCATATTTTCTTTTTAAAAATCGAGAACAATGATTGAAATATCTAAAAGGATTTTTTATACCCACAACCAAAATCAAACCTGGTATAATCTAGACTTGATTCAAAATCCATTTTTTTGAATGATTGATTTAAAATTTCTCAAATATAAAATAATGGAAGATAGAAAAAAAATATATGTTGTTTAAAATTATGTCTATAAGTTGTTACTGCTAAATCTGTAAGTCTGCTTACAAATAAAAATTAAAAGTTATATATTGATAGTCATTGGAACATCAAGTTGGTAAGGTCTTTCTCCATACGTCAAGGTAAAATCTCAAAATCTCACATTTCATACAAGGCACAATCCCATGGAATATAATTATTGTTTATCACCCAATAATACATTCTACAGTAGATTTCGCTTATGTGATATATTTCATAATCTACTGCGATATCTCCTTAGGAATTTGATTGGTCAGTTGAAAAGGAACTACTTTTTTTTATTTTCAAAGAACAGTTCATTTCTTATTAAAAATACCTTTTTTTTAAATTATAAATGAACTATTGTTATTCAATTGACCTTGATGGAAACACTGGGTCAATATAAAGGACTTTGCAATGGTTGAATTGCTGTCAAAAAATGATGTATCACTACGCCGTAATGTTCAGTAAAAGTGAAATCTACAGTAAAGAATTATATTTATCTATTTGTGCATGTAAAAAGGGATTGGGTGATAAATAAAATCTCCTACTCGTCTTTTTTGATATCAAAAAATATCAACACTCGTTGATAAAGTAAAAAAAACTTGGCAGAGCCTCGTTTTTTGTTACTTTATCAACTTGTGTTGAAATTTTTTGATATAAAAAAAGACTGGTAGGAGATTCTCTATTTATTAGTGAGCTACATTTTGACTAGGATTCTGTAGTCTTTATCGGCATTTTCAGTTCAATTACTAAATGCCACTGAAACACTTTCTCACATTTCACCTATAAAATGATGATTCTTAAAATCGACTAATCATAAATGTGTTTTTGTACCTGGTTGAAGTTATCTCCTCTTGAAGTTCATATCGTAATTGTTGTAGTTGATTTAACAAGGCTGGATCGGATCCGTTTACCCATGTATATACTACATCTATTGGTACTGGAAGACATAACCTACAAATAAAATATACAGATCTACATGTATATACAACAAGTACAATAATTATACACTACATCCACTGGTACTGGAGAACCTACACATACAATATATACTGTATATGTACACACACTTTTTTCAGCATGACATGGAGATGGAAAGGTTCAGATACTTATCAAAAGTTTAACATTTTTTCCAAGAACTGTTCTGGTTATTTTCTGAGAATTTGTCTTTAATACTCATGATACCAATTATGTTTTCCAGAGCAATTTGGTCATGTTTTTATCATAAGATAGGGTGTCAAAATGTCAGATCAAAATGACCACTTTATTACTATGCCTAACACTTTCTGCATGATTGTTTTGATGCAGATCTTTTACTTTTTGTGGTATTTTTACCAAAAGCGTTCCACAAAATATTGGGCAATTGGCTTTCCAAAACCCCTTAAATATTTATGCTGTGTCTACGTTTCACTCTACAAGATTTTAAACAGAGGTAGATTTGGCAACAAAATTCTTTTCCAAATAAAAAAGCAACTAGACTTTAGAGCAACAATTTTTTCTTATCAATACATAATAAAAATTTATATTTAATTATCTACATTTAAAATCAAATATTTCTTATTCATTACACAATATAGTAATCTTCTAACTGTTTTACAAATGTCTGAAAACAATAGATGATATTAAAATAGGGACTAACAAGCCATGAATAAATGTTTCATATCATACACATGTACAATATACCACAATAATAGGTCATATCACTTCCTGTATAACTTTTACTTATGTATAAAATACTAAGTTAATAAGATTATTTGTTTACCATATAATATATATAATATGTACTGGTGCACATATCTCTCTATAAGTACAAATTTAACCTAAATAGTTACATCCCAAGAATTTTTGTATTGTACTCTTTAAAAATACAAATAAACAAGACTATGAAACGCCTTAAACTCCCACAGAAAATACTTTATTACTGCTAACACTTTTGCTACCACAAGATGCATTGCTTACACAATGAGTTTTTAAAAATGAGAGTATACTTCCAAGAGTAAAAGGTTCTGACTACTTAAGATACATCTATATGGCATTAATTATTTGAATGATATATCGCGATTTGACCATCCCAAAAACAAAAATTTTTGATACCACTGTTAATCAATAAGAGTATGCATAGTAATAAACTTAAAACTAAGGCAATGAAAATGTCATTTATATATACTGAAATTCAATTCATGTTGAATTAATTGCTTTAGCAAGCACAAATAGTTTTAAAAAATTATACTTTTTAATGGACTTTGCAATCCCGCCAATGGTGTTGTTCTTGGAAAAATCATGAGAAAACGCCTCAAAATTTGTTTATCCGTGACCTGCAGACCCTCACCCTTTATTCTTAAAAATGCTGTATCCTCCCATGGTAATTATATCAACCAATCAAATTGCTTATCTCTGTTTATTCTAAGCAGAAAGTCATTATCATCAAACTCTGTCAAGATATACATTATACACCTAATCTACAATCACTTTTGAACAGAAACAGAGTTAATGTGCCCCAAAAAGTATAATGGATGGATGGACAGACAGATAGATAGATGGACAAGCCCATTTTAATAGACCCATGCTCTCTTTGAAAGGCATTGGACAAATATGAAAAATTGTCTCCAGTTCCCCTTTAAGAGTTGTAACTATGTAGTGTTTAGATTACAATATGGTAGAGATATAAAATTCCATTCAAAGCAATATCTATTTTGTTATAAGACATGTTTTATCAAGGAATAGTGAATTGTCTTTCATTTCATTTTAATATTTCAAATCCATATCTTCGTGTAAGTTCTATTCTGTATAAATAAATTTACATTCTAAACAGATGACCATAACATATGACATATTTAAAACAGAAACCAATAAATGATTTTACTGATGCTATATGGTAACAGATGTTCAAATATGGATATATACCAGTAATATAAAATTGTATTTACCGGGTTCTAAATGACTTGGAGGCTATATTATCACTGTAGGAATTAAAAACTGTTGCATATTTCTCATGACTCCATTCAACAACAGCCTGTCAATATAAAACATAGAATTTATCTATGAAACAAATGAAATGAAATGAAATGGGGTTTAACGTCCTACTGTTCTGCTCCTAACCTGGGCTAATGAAGACGGATCTTTGAAACAACTTTTAGACAAGATGTTACTCATTCTTGTTTGATCAAGCAATAAAAAATTTACATCCCTTTGATATAGTTTGGGATGTTGTTAACTGGGTCTTATACATTAGTCCAAATTCTTTTCGAGTTGTAATTGGAACTTGTGGTTTTGATTATATTCTTTAATATCAGTCATTCATTCTCAATAAGTGAGACTTCCTCGCTTATGGGCTCACAGGCTTCAAATGATACATTAATTGGATTTTGAGACACATATAGTACCAACTTAATAACTACACCATTACTTTATAGTAATTCTCAGGAATATTATCAAGTCATATTGTATTTGCTTTCACGAAATTTGAACTCAACCAACATTACGGTGTAACGGTAATATATTTGAACGTGTTTTTTTTAAAATCGGATAATAATTGTGACCTCTAGAGGGACCACAAGCTAAAAACGTGTTTTTTGTACAATCAGGGGCCATAAGTCAGGAAGTTATGGTCCGATATGTGCAAATAACAAAAGAAACCAAGATCTTTGGGTTATAAACATGCAATTCAAATTTCATCAAAATCAGATGAAAATTGTGACCTCTAGAATGTCCACAAGCTAAAAACGTGATTTTTCGTACAATCAGGGGCCATAATCCACGAAGTTTCGATCCGATACATGCCAATATCGAAAGCAACCAAGATCTTTTGGAGATAAACCTATATTTCAAGGTTCGTCAAAATCAGATAAGAATTGTGACCTGTAGAGTGTCCACAAACAATTGTGGACAGACGGAAGTCCGGACAGGGGCGTTGACAATATATGTCCACATGAAAATGTGGACGTATAAAAACAGGATTTTTTGAAAAATCAGGGGCCATAATCCAGGAAGTCAAGTTACGATATGGGTGATTATTGAGAGGAACCAAGATCAATGAGGTGTAACAGTGAAATATTTGAACGGTTTTTAAAATTGAATACAAATGGCGACTTCTAGAGGGTCCACAATCTAAAAACGTGATTTTTTGAAAAATCAGGGGCCATAATCCAGGAACTTATGTTCCAATAATATGTGATTATTGAGGGGAACCAAGATCTTTGTGATATTGGTGTAGCGGTGATATAATTGAACGTATTCTTTAAATGGAATAAAAATTGTGGCCTCTAGAGGGTCCACAAGCTAAAAACGAGATTTGGCGTAAAATCAGGGGCTTTATCAAAAAAGTTACGGTCTAATATGCGTGAATATCGAAAGGAATCGAGATCTTTGGGTAATAAACATACATTTTAAGTTTTATCAAAATCGGATAAAAATTGTGACCTCCAGAGTGTCCACAAGCTAAAAAAGCTGGATTTTTGTACAATCAGGACCATAATCCATGAAGTTACGTCCAATATATTTCAATATCGAAAGGAACCGAGATCGTTGGGATATAAACCTATATTTCAAGTTTCGTCAAAATTGGATAAAAATTGTGACCTGTGTAGCGTTCACAAGCAATTTGTGGTTGGACGGTCATGGGCAATGATAATTAATATACATCCACATGAAAATGTGGGCGTATAAAAACAATGAGTTGTCTTGGAAATTCTATTAGTACATACTAAAAAGAGATATTTATAGTCCCTCCTTTAGATTGATAGTAGAGGTTATAATAAGCGACATTTCGACACCAAAAACATTATATAATATCAACTCAAAAGTATTTTAAAATTACTACCTTCAAACAAGATTTTATGTTTTCCGGTAAATTCTTTGAATACTTCAACAACTTTTAAAATACAACAATTCGGATATAAAAAGTAAATATTTACTTCAGTGCACTACTCTCCCGCTCTCAAAATCATTTTATACATTCAAAAATGGTAGTTTTCGACCATCAAAAAATGAAATTCAGCCATGTTTCAGTCGTGATAGATGGTACATGTAGATTGATAATCGCGTCATATATAGATAGACGTCAGTGGTCCAGTGCTGGAGGCGGCTATGATTGTTCACTTTGGATGACATGAACAGTGTGTACGGTGTCATAATTTATTCAAGAACTGATCTAGGTCAGAGAAACGTTCTCATTTGCTATAAATATTTTTTTTTTCTTTCCTCTTGTATCTCCATTCTTACACAACAAACGGTCAGACTGTTATGTGTCCTCTGGGTTATTTTACACATGGAACAAGTGTGCAAAGTCTTAATAGGATTAGGGTTGAAAAGTGCTTATCTTAGACTACTCGATGCCCTTAAATGTTAAATCTTGTATCATATGTGTAGTACAATACAGATAATATAACTATCAGTAATATTTATCCTACTTGTTGTTACATGTCTATAATTATCATTCACATACTGATAATAAATTTGGTACATAAATTCTAAAATTAATCAATGTTGGTATGACATTTCAGTAACTACTAGGCAGTGACATATTTTATTGTTCTGGAAAAAAGAGGCATGTTCAGAAATGTGAGTGGGGGGCAGGGGAGCGATAATGTCAAGTTTGACTTGATGGAATTACCTGAGAATTTATGAAATCAGATTTCCTGAGACAATATATCCCTGCCTTATCCATGTATAGGATGTAGTGGAGTGAGGCCAAATTGATGGCAAAGAAGTTGTAGGAGAAACAAGCCAACAGTGAGGCTGATGTCTCCCGCCAAAATCCCAAAATAAATAGATGACACATTTATTTTTTTTAAAAGTATCAAGCAATCAAACTATACACTAAGTTTCATCACTCTCTATCAGACAGAATCAAGGTTATCTTGTCCCAAAGCATCGACCAATGAAATTGCTTAGCTCTGCTTAGCTTTAGCTCGAAATGTTAATCATTGAACTCAGTCAAAACATTCACCTAATGAACATCAACATTAAGTTTAAACATTCTACCTCAATTAAAAGCAAAGTTGTTATGTTCCAAAGCCTAGAAATTCTCATCATCGAACTTAGTCAAGGTAATGATGTAATGAATCTATACTCGGAGTTTCATCACTCTAACTTAATTATAACTAACCAAAGTTATCGTGCCCCAAAGCATCAACCAATCAGATTGCTTATATCTGCTGACCGTAAGCAGATAATGTTTATCATCGAACTCCATCAAGGCATTGACCTAATTAACGCCTACACCAAATTTGAACATTCTACGTCAATTAGAAGACAAGTTAATGTGTTCCAAAGTCTTGACCAATCAAATTGCTTATCGCTCTGCTTACCCTGAGCAGAAAGTGCTCATTATCGAACTTAGTCAAGGTATTGATGTGATAAAACTATACACCAAGTGTCCTCATTCTCACTTAATTAGAACTAAAGTTATCGTGTTCCAAAGCATCAACCAATCAAATTGCTTATCTCTGCTTACCCTAAGCAGACAGTGCTCATCTTCAAACTCCATCCAGGCACTAACCTAATAAACACCTACACCAAGTGCGAACATTCTAGCTCAATTAAAAGGAGAGTTATGTAATAATAATAACGGAATTTATATTGCGCAACAATTCATCCCATTTGGGGATGCTCTAGGCGCATGAAAGTGTTCACGTGGGTTAAGTATAGTGACTAAACAGCCAGGTTTTCACACTTGATTTGAAGATAGACAATGTTTCACATTTTCGAATGGAAGGTGGTAGCGAATTCCATAGAATTGATGCATTATACCGAAAAGTCCTTGAACCAAATTTCTTCATCTTATAAATCGGTACATCTAACAATAATTTATTCACGGATCTCAGTAACCTTTTTGGCTGGTAGTGTGACAAGAGATTCTGAAGATATCTTGGTGCCGTATTATGTAACGTTTTGTATGTCAGAGTTAAAATTTTAAAGTTAATTCTCTCGCGCACTCGGAGCCAGTGAAGATTATTTAAGATGGGAGTGATGTGTGATTTTGATCTGGCTTTAGTCACAATTCGTGCAGCAAGATTTTGGATCCTTTGCAACTTGGAAATTTGTTCATCAGTTACTCCAGAAAGTATGGCATTGCAGTAGTCAATTCTGGACAGCACGAATGATCGAGCCAGTGCAGCGGCTGCACTTTCGGGTATAAGATGACGGATTGATCCTATTCTTCGAAGATGAAAATGGCAAATTTTGCAGATATTGTTTATGTGAGAGTTAAAACTGAGGTTTGAATCTAAGAACACGCCAAGATTTTTCACAACATTTGATATCGGAATATCTGAATTGCCTATTTTGAGAGATTTCACAATGCAAGTTTTAAGTCTGTGATCAGGTCCAATAAAGAGAAGCTCAGTTTTGTCGTCGTTAAGCTTTAACATGTTGGCAGACATCCAGTTCTTAATACCATTTAGGCAACTTTCCAAATTACCAATTGTGGAGAGCTGGCTGACAGTGTTGAGGTCAAATTTATCGATTAGCTGTGTGTCATCAGCATAACAATGGTGCTGAATGTTATAACTATCGATGAGGTTTCCAAGGGATTTTGTATACAGTGTAAATAAATGGGGTCCTAGCACTGAACCTTGAGGTACCCCACAGGATAGTTGGACTTGCTTTGACGAAGAGTTATTAATGTCAACATACTGATATCGACTGGTTAGATATGAGCCGAACCACTGTAGAGAAGATCCAGCTGTTCCGTAGTGAGTCTTCAGTCGGTCAAGTAGGTTGCTATGGTCGATTGTGTCGAAAGCAGCCGACAAATCTAAAAGGGCTAGCACACTGATACTTCCTGAATCGACGGATGATTTTAAAGCGTCGATGACACAAACGAAAGCTGTTTCAGTGCTATGTGCGGGGCGATAGGCTGACTGAAACTCATCAAAGAGCCCGGACTGGTCTAGGTAGTCAATTAATTGCTGCTTGACAACCTTCTCTAGAATCTTTGAGAGAAATGTTAGATTAGATACAGGGCGGTAGTTTTTCAACAGCTGTGGGTCAAACGATGACTTCTTGATTAAAGGCTTGACGACTGCCGTTTTGAAGCTAAGTGGTACCGTTCCCGATTGAAGACTTTTATTGACGATTTTAGTCAGAACTGGTAAAATAGTATCCAGGATACTCAACAGGAAGTGCGTGGGTATGGCATCTAGTGAGCAAGATGTAGGTTTGGACTGAAGAATTATTTTCTTGAGCTGCTCTGGCTGAACAGATTGGAAATTAATGAACTGTGTTGAGACTATGGGTTGTTCAGTACGGTTAATAGACGAAGAACCAAGACCATCACGAATCTTGGATATTTTGTCTATGAAATAATCGCTGAACTCTTGAGCCACGGTACTGTCTTCTCCATCAGGAAGAATCACCTTGTTTTCTGTACCCAGAACATTATTTAGGGTTGAGAACAACACCTTTGGATTAGAAGCACTGTTGGATATATTTGTGATGTAGTAATGTGATTTGGCATTGGAAACACATTTCTGAAAATCTCTACAAATTTGCATATAAATTTGTTTATGCACAGCCAGTCCAGTTTTGTGCCACTTCCGTTCAGCTTGTTGACGCTTTTGTTTGATGTCTTGTACTGATTCATCGTACCATGGAGTATTCAGTGAACGGCTAATGGTCTTTGTGCAAATCGGGCATGTTTTGCTACAAGATTAGAAATGGTTGTGTTGAATACATCAACCATATCATCAACATCATCAGCTGTTAAGTTATTGAAAACTTGTCCAAATTTATGGATTTATAATTTCTATATTGTATTGCTTTTGTTAGCTTCACAGTTTCTGGAAAGTTAACATCTAAAGATACCAGAGAATGGTCAGAGATCAGGTTGTTGACAACATCAATGTTTTGTACAAGATAAGTATTTCGACATAGAACCCAATCGAGGGTGTGACCAGAGCGGTGTGTCGGCAAAGTAATTAATTGTTTATTAATGTCATAAATGTTCAGACGATCACATACACGTTTAGTGAGAACATTGTTCGGAGAGACAAAATGTACGTTAAAATCCCCGACAATAAGGGTGTTTTCATCCTGGTAAGGATCTTCACATAGCACAGAGAAGTCATCAATAAAGTCTGCATCAGTGCAATGATTTCTACCTGAAATGGGTGGTCTGTAAATGCAAACGAGTTTTAACGTCTGTGATGTTGATTTTATAGTTACTGTCAAGTGTTCAAATGAAGAAAACGTTTTTGCTGATTTTAGAGTTTTAAGTTGCAGCTTGTCATTGAAAACAACAGCTATGACCCCAAATCTACCAGTGAGGAGAGGAGAGTGAAAACAAGTGTGTCCCAAAAAGTGTGACGGACAGACAGACAGACAGACGGACAAACCTATTTTAATAGACCCTACTTTCTTCGAAAGGCGAGGGACAAAAAGAAAATGGTGGTCCCTTACCGTGTGGTAGCAAGGATGTGGAAATCTCACACTACGTGAAAACAGGAAAGCAAATCGAAAATCTAAGACTCAACTACTGTAGGTGTAACCGCAATTGGGCAAGAAATTGATGAAATTGAAATTTTTGTTTACATGATAACACACGGGTGTACGATTTAAAGGGTCATTGACAGTGAAATAGTGTATTGTGAGTAATATAGTTCATTTTGGTCTTTTGTATCCAAGAGCCACTACTTTGTGTTGGAAAATAATATGTTCATAGCCTTGTTGGTGTCGAGACTAGTTTGCAACAAGATGGTGTCACTTTACCTTGCCCATAACCAAAATTCGCAACCTTTTTTGTTTACATGCAAAGAGTTGCATCCCTTAGTTTCATAGTTTTGGCAAGAAAATGGTAAAAAACCTCTTTGTTTGAAAATGCGGTAGAAATCTATTACCGCACAGTAGAGTGGTATATGGGGCCTTTTCGCGTCACTCTGCCGCTTGATGCTGTAGAGTTGACAGGTCTGCTTGTCACTGTGAGAAACCCATTCTACGGTAGGTTCACACAGCCAATACTTATCTATTTAACATGATATCAAGAGTTCAAATCCATGTCGGGGGGTGGGGGTGTGTCTATGTACTGCTTGTTTTATGTTTTGTTGGGTATTATGCTGCATTGTTTTAGTTAAGTGGCTATACTTTGTGGATTTCGCTAGTTTCAAATTTTGGTGTTATGTTGCTTATTCATTCCAATGGTATGAAAATACAATTGGCATGCATGTAAAACAATCAGAATGAGAGTTATTGTGTTCCAAAGTCTCGACCAATCAAACTGCTTATCGCTCTGCTTACAATAAGCAGAAAATGTTCATCAGAACTAAAGTTATAGTGTCCCAAAGAATCAACCAATCAAATTGCTTATCTCTGCTTACCCTAATCAGAAAATTCTCAACTTCGAACTCCATCAAGACATTCGCCTAATAAACACCTATGGCATGCCAAGTGTGAACATTCTAGCTCAATTAGAATGAGAGTTTAATCATGTTCAAAATCTCGACCAATCATATTGCTTATTGCTCTGCTTACCCTGAGCAGAAAATGCTAATTATTGAACTTCAAAAATGAAATGAAATGGGGTTTAACGTCCTACTGTTCTGCTCCTAACCTGGGCTAATGAAGACGGGCATACGCCATACAGTATGCTATGAGTGAAATTTTGCCCGGGCAGCGGAGCTACGGCCTACTCTTATATCGAATTCCAACTGCCAAGGGATCTTTTACGTGCATGGCAATGTGTACACTGGACCTCGGTTTTCTGTCCCATCCGAACGACTAGACAGCTGTCCTTGTCAGGCCCTCCGTCCTGCTTCACTGACAAGGGGAAACCACGCCGGAAAATCGAGATGAACTTTTTCGGCCAATGCATTGATCGAACACCCGACCTCCAGGCTAGCAAGCCAGCGTCTTACCCACTTAGCCATGTGACCCCCATCGAACTTCAAGGTATTGATGTAATGAAACTATACACCAATTATACACTTAATTAGAACTAAAGTTATCATGTCCAAAAGCATCAACCAATCAAATTGCTTATCTTTGTTTACCCTAAGCAGAAAATGCTCATCTTCGAACTCCATCAAGGCATTGAGTTGACCTAATAAACACACCAAGTTTGAACATCTAGCTTAATTAGAATAAGAAAGAGAGTTATTGTGTCCCAAAAAGTGTGACGGACAGACAGACAGACAGACGAACCCATTTTAATAGTCTCCTATAATGCTCAACAAACAGACAGACCGATGAACCCATTTTAATAGTCCCCTATATTCCTATAATGCTCAACAAAAACATATTATGTATTAAAAAAGAAATACAACTTGAACTAGCTTACAGTACATTCTAAACAAATTAATTTTCTTAAAAGAATACCCAGCAAAATAGAATTTTTGTTTTAAACCACAGGAGTCTGAATTGATATCCGTATATCTATACCACCTACTAATATACAATAAAAAAGGATATTATTATCGTTACGCCGTTCCTCCCCCACCTGTAACTCGTGTCAATAAATAATCACTGCAGGCCAACATAGCGCTTTTTCTACTCACCTCGCCAAAATGAAAAGCTGAAACAATGACAATTATAATTCCAGCAAAAACAATAAGTGTTCCATTTTTATGTGATAGGATGTCATAAACCCTTTTTTGTATTAATTTTCTGATTCTTGATACCATTTTCGTAAACAGAACTTCTCCAACACATGTTTCACTTTACGTGATGATGTAGACTACGACTACTTCCGTTTAGAGCCACCTTAAATCGACCCTCCGAAAATTTATCCGGGGTTATAGTTATACCCCTAAACACGTTAACGGGAACGCTAGGAACATTTTAATTTTATTTTTCACGGAAATTCCAGGAGAGTTTCAAAATAGATAAGAACGGGAATTTAAAGATGAAACGTTGGCCAGTTATACTCCTAAAGACGTTAAAGATGGGTTCCCGCGTACAAACTGGGTGATTTAATGGTATATATGGACCAAAAACATATTCAAACTAATTAATTTGTCATAATTATGCTTCAAATCCTTCTCAAACATTGTAATTGCGAAGGAATGCCCTGCTATTAAAACTCGATCAAACCAGGTCATGTTTACGTCACGTCTTGGGAGTCAGAGGAGAATTCATTGCATACATAAGACGATGTTGTCTTTAATCGCTTACTATTTATTACAAATATCGAATCCTAAATAAATTCTCGGATTATCGACTACCCGAGTCTTTTTCCGTCATTTTTATCTCAGAATGTATTGTACGTCTAACTCTTCATAAAATTTATCAACTTGTACATCAAGCGCTCAATGTTCGCTTGTGACCTTTGACATCATGCGTGCAGAAGTTCCTAATCGTCGGGCTGTTGATAAGGGGAACACTTACATTTTTGTCCTGGGCCCTTATTCACGAAAACTTAAACTAAGATAGAATCGAAATTTTAAGAAATACTGCAATTCGATTGGCTGACCAGTAAAACCAATTTGCATATATCCAATTTGCATATTGGCCAGCCAATCGAATTGCAGTATTTCTTAAAATTTCGATTGTATCTTAGTTTAAGTTTTCGTGAATAAGGGCCCTGCATACGCTCCATGAGTGTTTTTCGGGGAATCCAGTATTTTTCTAGTAAGATTGGATATCTCTACTTTCCATATATACCAAAATTGCCATACTTTTATTGAAAATAACCACCCGATAAATACTTTTCTGGGAACCCATCTATAACGGGAAGGCTAGGAACATTTTAATTTTATTTTTCACTGAAATCTCAGGGAAGTTTCAAAATAGAGAAGAGCGGGAATTTAAAGATGAAACGTTGATCATATTTTATGTCTCGAATTTGCATTAACTGTCGACTACCATTACTTTCCGAAGAGGCATACGAAAGTCCCAACACTCTTCTAGGATCAAAAATGACATTTTGGAGCCAAGAAAATTCAAATAAAGACATAGGGTAAAAATCAATAAGATCGGTATTATCATACTGATTCAGGTTGATTTTACGCATTGATTGGATAGGTTCAGAGTGGATCAATTTGACTAAAATTTTCAGCACATTCACTTTACATTATCTGGTTTTATATTATAATGAGAACTGTCGGCTCTTTATCTATCTCCCATAATGTATCTTACTGACCTAATCATTACCTCATTATAATTATCTACATGTAAGCTACAAATCACTGTGCAACTCAAAGCATTTTTAAGAGCTGACCTTTCTCGTCTTGATTTTGACTACGATATCACTCTTGGTGGTAGTGGACGTAAAACTCCAGGAACGAACGAATCTTCTTGAATGTTATAGATTACATACTTGTGACTGGGATATTTTAAAGTGAATTTTAAAATGAAACATCGTCTCTGTGTTGTTGAGAGTTGTGGAAATTCCAGCAAAGAAAAGGTACATAATGTGCCGTCGATTATCTTCCGTCAAAAGTAAAGACATTCTCGACCATGAACCAGGGCCGGCGGAAGCAATTCTTGATTGGGGGGGGGGGGGGCTTCCATCCTAGGTCCTTATAGGCAAGGGGCCAGGGGCCGCAATAACGTGGAGAAAAGAGTACTTGCGGCCAAATTATACCCCATACAACCGCGGCACCCAACATGAATCACCCAGCTATCAATTTAGAATGGAATGAATTCCAAGCCCATTATAATATTGCCGGTGTCAGATTAAATGAGAAAGAGGAGAGTCAGACGGAAGAATAGATACAACTGATTACAACACTAAGTTTGTCCCGGTATACAGACAACTCATCCTAAAGACAACTCATCCCAATATAAGACAACTCCCAATATAAAAGACAACTCATCCCAATATAAAAGACAACTCATCCCAACTTTAAAACAAATATATGTGATAGTTATATTCGTTTTAATACAACTGCTTTCTTTGAAGACTACTCAGCCCAAAACCAATCTGATTTTGATATCTTAATAAAATTGATATTGTTGTTTTAATCAAATTGATATCGTTGTTTTAATCAAATTGCTATTGTAATAAATTGATGATTACTGTTTGTATTAATGTTTTAGTACTTTGTTGTTTTAACAGATTGGTAGTTGTGTTTGTTTTATTATTTCATCATGAAGCACTTCAAAGAAAATCAATTAACAAAACATCGATTAACTAAACTGAGTAGTAGTATTTACCCGTATTACAAGCTAGTTAAATTGTTGAAGCATTTCAAAGACACGACATATTAAAATGCTAATTAAAGTGATTTGAGTAAGTGTTAAAGCTCGGGTTTGGTATAAAAATACTGAAATCAAATAAATTGGAAAAGTCAAGACTCCCTGTACGAAGTTTGAAGATACATTAGTCAAGAGTTTAAGAAAATATTGAAAATTTCATTCAAATTACTTAATTCTCAGCCAATTTATCATTGTTTGTAGTTTTGACAAGATGTGTGCGTGCACAGTGCAGGCGAACCGTTTTAATGTAGTTAAAATCTCGAGTACCCGCTGTCATCGAGAGTCGATTATGGTCTTGTTTTGTTAATAAATGTCTAATAGTTTATATAACATTTCAGGCCTAAAGAAAGACCTACAATAGGCAGATTTAGCTCTTGCATAATGTAGGTTTAATGGAAAACGCCAAACTTCAATATACCCTCCAAAATGTACCCCCCCCCCCCCTCGGAATAATTAAATCAACCTGTCCATAATATCATATTCATTGTATTGTGTGTGAGCCCTTTAAAAGCACGTTTTCAACTTAATGTGTAGTATATGAACTGTGAAACGTCAATCTGTCGTAATTTGTTGTTGGGCGTGTGAAGGAAACGAGCTAGAGATGCCGAGACTTACTGAAAATCAACGGAATGAAGCCATGGGAATGTCCCGGGCTGGCATGTCTACACGTGCTATTGCCAGACACTTCAATAGTCACCAGTCCACTATTGTAAGGTTGGTGGAACGTGTTCGAGTTACTGGATCAACACGTGACCGTCAACGTCCTGGTCCACAACGCGTTACAACCCAGGCTCAAGACCACTACATCCGGGTCACTCATCTGCGTGACAGATTCCGCCCAGCGACTCGAACAGGTGCACCAGTCGTCGGAAGACAAGGACCAGTAAGTGCCAACACCGTAAGACGTCGTCTAAGGGAAGTAGGACTCCGTGCACGACGACCTTATGTTGGAGCTATCCTCAGGGATCCTCAACGTCAGCGGCGATTGATATGGGCTCAAGGACACCAGACATGGAGAAGAGTAGACTGGCAAAGTGTGCTCTTCAGTGATGAGAGTCGCTTTCATCTTTATCACGATGATGGCCGTCAACGTGTGTGGAGACGTCTTGGGGAACGTCTTGCAAACTGCTGCGTCTTCGAAACGAATCGATGGGGTGGGGGAAGTGTAATGGTGTGGGGAGGCTTCACATTTCATCACCGGACCGCCCTACACACTTGCAGGGGTCGCGTTTATGCTGTAGGTTACCGTGATGATGGCCCGTGAAGGACACACGCGCTACTGACATCTGTGTCGTACTTTTGGTTTTGACCCCTCTGACTTTGTACCCTTGATTACAGATTAAACATCCATAAGTGTACAAATGTGTTGTTATTGATGTGTTCCCATTTGAATATTGTTCACAATAAGAAGCAAAATAAATAAGATATGTTTACAGGATCATTTTGTTATACGAAAAACTAAGTGATGCGTTTTCCATGGCGCTCAGTATATAAGGAAGCAGCACAGCACAGCTACCAACCCAGATTAAAATGTTATCTGAGGGGAAATTACGAAGGCATCAGCAAAAGCAGACAAGATCTACACAGTTTAAGTTATTTCAACTGTGGAATTCCTACACAAACCCGACAATTAGCACTAACTTAAAGAGACGTGGCGGAATCTATGGACCGACAAACTGAAGGACTGGATGAGTTGTCTTTGGGAAGAGTTGTTAGGTATTCGTTTGTTCCCTATACCATTCTGGATATGGAGAAATCTTTTGTATTTGATATACAGTTAGCCTTAATTCGTATTTATCACATTGCAAAAATCAAATGAAGGATATCACAAGACTTTGTGTAAACATGTATTTTACATCTGTTCGGCGTACAAAAGATGATATCAGCGTTCTTAATTCGGCAAGCACTGAGTCCTAACATCGCGATGTTAAATTAATTTATGACCCGATATGTGTAAATTTTAGTCGGATTGATTAATGTGAGATATTAACGACACGTGTACCTTTGCAAATACAGAAATATAGTCAAATTCCGATTCTCAACCAATCTGTTATTTAATTCAGTTGGTTACAAACAAAATTAGTTAGCCCCAAGATAGCTTTACTGTTGATTCTAATGTAGTGGGATATTTTTTCCTGTTTCATTTTTTGCGGTCTGTTTCAGGATAATGAAGTCTCATGATGACTGCAGGAAAATGATATACAGTTGGCTAATCTAATCACGGATCGTCATTTACAAATCGGTTAATTGATTCGTGAAAACCCGGGGAATATGGCGCATAGCTAAAGGTAAATTTATTTTATTTGTAGATTGGTAGAGTTTGGATCATCATAAAACATATCACTGACATATATTTCAAAGTAGACAATTAATATTTTTATTGGCTTCATAGATGTTCGTAGCGCCGTCGATAACAATTTCACACCAATCTTGTTGTTTTAATCGGAAGCCAATTATTATTGGTTTGCTGTCGGCTTACTCCAATGTATTCAAATCAAAAGGACACGGGGAATATGACTACAACGACTGTCTTTGTTATGGCATTATAAAACAAATTCTAAATTGGATCATAAATTATAATAAGTTACAAAACAAATTATTCCTTAGTCAGTTGTTTTATTTAAGGTAATTATACACTTCCGCGAAATAAACATTCTTAATATGCATTCGGTCACTGTGACGTCACTGGCGACTGAGGGGATTAAGAGTGTTTTCGATAATTGGCAGAGTCGTTTTTACGGAATGTCTATGCGACTTTGAGTGAAGATAGCTGACGGATGGTGGAAGCCGACGTTAAATAAAGCTATTTAACACACACAAAATAGCTGAATTAATTTTAATTAGATTGGTGTGAACCTGTCGTAAAGTACATATATACTATTCAAAAAAAGTAGGGGATATTTGATTTTGGGGGCATAATACTAAAATATGCAAATGACTACGAAAAAAGTCACAATAGAACCTAACAGAAGAAACATTTCCAGTTACATGTGACGCCCAAACGCACCAATAGCTACCGCATGGAATGCAGGTGATGCTTGGGATCATCATGGGGGTCCAACCCAAGATTTGCACGACTCTGACTTTGAATGTTACAGTCATTGTGGCATTGAATTCCAGGGTGGAAACATCAGTTTAATTGTTTTAGTGACCAGAAAACAAATTTTGATATGCGTCGGCTTACCCAAAATGAAAGGTTACGTGCCCTTGGCATGCTACAGATCGGCACAACACAGGCGGTTGTGGCGCGGACGATGAATGTTTCTCAGTCTGTCATAAGCAGGCTATGGTCCAGATACCGCGATACACAATCTGTACAGGACAGACCACGCTCAGGTCGACCAAGGGCGACAACTCAAGCCCAGGATCGATTTATCCGTACCTTGGCCTTGAGAAATCGTGTCATCACAGCAAATCAGATCAGCGCTCGTCTTCAAACAGACACTGGTGTGAGAGTGAGTGGCCAGATGATTCGGAATCGACTGCATAGGGGTCACCTTCGCGCCCGACGTCCTCGCGTGATCCCTTGTTTGAGAGATCATCACATTCAGGCAAGACGTCGTTGGTGTAGGGATCGTCAACACTGGGATAATCGACGCTGGAGCAATGTGATGTTTTCAGATGAGTCAAGGTTCACTGTTGATTTTTTGACAGACGTAGGAGGGTGTGGCGTCGTCGAAACGAGCGCTTCCAAGACGTTAACGTCATCAGACATGATCGATTTGGGGGTGGTTCTGTTATGGTGTGGGGAGGCATCACTGTTGCTGGAAGAACGGCTTTACATGTTGTTGCAGGCCAGTACTACCGGGACAACATCTTGGCAGTCCATGTTGTGCCGTTCGCACGACGTCATGGCCGCCGTTTCATCTTCCAGGATGACAACGCAAGATGTCACAGGGCCAGGATCGTTACAGGTTACCTCCAACAACAGAACATCACCACATTACCTTGGCCAGCACTGAGTCCCGACCTCTCCCCCATCGAGCATGTCTGGGACATGCTTGGACAGAGGTTACGTCAACGTCAACAACGTCCTGCCAATGTCCAAGAACTTGCTGCTGCGTTGCAACAGGAATGGGACAATCTGGACCAAAATGACCTTAGACGTCTCATTAGGAGTATGCCACGTCGGATCAATGCTTGTTTGGCAAACAGAGGAGGATTTACCCGTTACTGACTTGGTTGTGATGCTGTGGTAACTTTGCTGTTTGACCCCGGGTATCATTTTACCCTTATAATGGTCAGTCTGTGCCTTACTTAGTCTAACGATCATTTGGAATAAATCGATGAATGTGAACTTCATTTCATTTTGTCATTTGTTTCTTCGTCAGTTTCATTAGGTGACTTTAATAACACTTAAAAATCAAATATCCCCTACTTTTTTTGAATAGTATATACGATAAGGTTACCTTACCTCGGGAGTTACTAACTGAAACTCCCCCGATGAATGACACACGCCCAGTTTTATAGTCGAAGCATGCACGTGCGCGATAGTTGATTGGCTCGCCAACGCCAAGCAAGTAGACAAATTGATGAGTTTGGGCGACTGGTTTGAAATTCTTTATGCACTTCGGGCGACACTACCACAAATAAAAGAGTGGGACAGTGCCGCTTTTGGTACTATTTGAGACAGGGAAACTGAGGCCATCTTAGCCGATCGGGTTCAAGCGCAATTATAGGGGCCTATATACCCATGGCGTCTGTTGTGTCTGTGTTCTTATGGGCAATTCAGTTTACTTTGCAGTTTTACTCTGAGTACGATACTCCCAGGTGAGACTCCTGTATACCAGATCCACTCTAAGGTACGACGAAATTTAAAAATTTGCTCGAGCCCAGTTCTGCACCATCCGCGGCATCCGGGCTAATGAAGACGTGTACACACGCTGTGCAATGTGCCTTGGATAAAATTTTGCGTTTCATCGAATTCCACCAGTAATTTTTAGCGTGCAGGCCGCCAACGTGTATACGGGACTTCTTTTCTAACCCATACGAACAGCTAGACGCTGTTCTATGCAACGCTGAAAAATCTCGAAGAACTTTCTCGCCCAAAACCTTTATCGAAGTCGGGACCTCCTTGTAAGTGAGTCTGCACTTTACTCGTCGAGCAACCAGGGGTCCTAGTCCTAGATAGTTATTTTTATGTTACAGTAAAGTAACTGGTTTGAGTATGGCACCGGACTATTTTATAGGGGGTCAAGTTTTGAAGCTGACAACACATGGCACGTGTTGGATATTAATCTCACGGTTATCGAAATTATAAACCGTCGAGTATGGGAATGACACAGTTCAAAGTTTGCGTACTTGGGTACATTTGACGATCTTTCACCTTATATATGACATATCTGTAATGCATCTGACACACTTGTTTGTGTTAGCCATTTGGTCACCAGACAACGACATGGGCTGTCAAGTTGTTGCGGTGTGGTGACCATGATGGACCTAATAATAGGCTAGTAATATAAATAATATTAATACGTCCATGCTATGCCTATGAATATGAACAATTTGTTACATTTTAAGCACCAATACGAGACAGAATATTTACCAAGTAAATTTTATGATTAGATGAAGCGAGATGGAAAATGAAAATAGAGATGGAGAAACGAATGAAATAATTTCACATTCATCAAATCTATGCGGCACTGACACTGTAAGAAGGGTAGATAAAAGTTATATTTCCGAACATGAGGATGATAACGTCAACCACACATTATTATTTGAGGTTTCACCAGGGATGTGTCCAAATGGTGCAGTCAATATCTCAAGTAAAGAAATTTCTTCAGATTTCTTAGAAACAGATCTTAACTGTACCAGCAAAGATTTGAATGAAGTTTTAACCCAGTTAAAACTTGGAAAGTTTCATGTCATCATGCTTCTTTTGACTGGAGGAGGATACTTCGCAGCCTGTTCAGAAATCTTAGTTTTTGTATTTTTAAGTAAACCAGCCAAAAAGGAATGGAATTTACATGAATATGAATACCCATGGTTACCTTTCTTTAGTGGAATTGCTGGGATAGTTGGTGGTTATGTTTTTGGAACCTTGAGTGACCGGTATGGCCGACAAATTCCGTTTATTGTATCAATAGGTATATGTTGTGTGTGTGGACTAGGATCTGCATTTGCACCTTCCTTTGCCTTATTGATAGCCATTAGATCAATGGTGTCATTTGGTGTTGGAGGTCTGGAAGCTGTAGATTTTGTATTACTACTAGGTTAGTTTCACAAATACTAATATTATATTTTTAACATTACGTTAAGGGATGCGTTACATGAGTAATATTGCCTTTTTAACTTTTCTGCCTTCCACACTATTGCACAGAAATATGCCATTCAGATAAGCAGAGGGGTGTTCAGAAAATGAGCAAAGGAGGGTCCAGGATGGAGACAACTTCAAGTTTGATTTGAGGTCTGGGGATTACCCAAGAATTTGATAAAATCAGAAGCTTTGGTACAACATTTCTACTCATATATATTCATGTATAGGATTAGAGTGGGGTGAAGCCAAAACAGCGAGAATGCTTTGCATGTGTGATTGTTCAACATTATTTTGATGGCCCCTCGGACACTTCTCTGGACGCACACTTGATTATTAGATGGGACAATGACTACATCTAAGGTATCACCATACTCCCATTTATTTTGTTTTTTTTCAGAATTTCTTCCACCCCTGCATCGAGGATCAATGATGGTAGCTGTAACGTTTTTTGGTGCGCTTGGTGCTATATTAACAGGTGGACTTGCTTGGTTAATTATACCAACATGGGGTTGGAGATGGTTTGTAGGAGCATCAGCAATACCATCTATTATCATATTCTTTCTACGGCTTTTCATTCGATATGAATCTCCTAGATATCTTTTCTCTAGTGGTAAAAAACAAGAAGGAATGAAAGTTCTAAAGATTATAGCAGCCAAAAATAAAACAAATTTAACCAATGGTAGGTATCATAATACTAGTACAACCATGGACCTTATAATACATGTATTATGTTGAACTAATATGTTGAACATAATTACATGTATAAAATTAAATTAATTAGACCAGAACTGCTTCTCAAGCACAACTCATCTTGTTCTTCATCTCGAGGGCAACACTCTTAGTCTCATCAAACTTGGCATGCTTGTTCCTTAGACAATTGTGTATCGGTTTTGTGGGAATTTTGATATGTCACAATTCCAAGATGGTGGTGATGATGTCAGTTTCTAGTCCATATATTATCAGTAACAGATCATGCCCTGGGCAACAGAGGCAAATGCCTTGGGCCCAGGCCACATAGGGGCCTGGTGATAAAAAAGATAATCAAGACCCATTTCTCAAAGATCGTAAAACATAGTTGCCTTTTTTCACCGAGTTTTGAAATTATTAGGTAGGGGGACCTCAAGGGGCATCGGTTAGAAAAAAATTTGATATCAACGATTCCACATTGAGTGGGTTGGCAGTGGGAAGTTGATAACCCGAAACCCAAAATATTATTTGTACTATAGTCATGGAGTGAAGGCCCCACATTATTAAAATCTTAAAATGCATTCCACATAAAATAGGTCCTCTTTGTTTCGATTATAAGGTGGATTTTAATTTGATTTGCCACTAAAAACGTAGTATTAATTGTCATCGGTGTTGATTCACACATTGTAATTTTAATATATATATATATTATGATATATTTTTCAGTTGAGATTATATGTGAAACTAGTCAAGACAAGGGTCATATTTGTGATCTAATGTCAACAGGATTACGAGGGAGAACTATTACCATGACTTTAGTTTGGTGTCTACAGAGTATGGGATATTGGGGAACAACCATTTATTTACCAGAATATCTTGATTCTTTAGGTGTAGACTCATATTTCAACATGTTCACCATTTTACTTGGTGAATTACCGGGTTTAGTACTAGCTATGGTTCTTATTGAGAAACATATGCTTGGCAGAATTAAATGTCTACGATTTTTCTCTCTAGGAACATCCATAGCACTTCTCTTATTTGCATTCTTACCATTAGACTTTTTAAAAGCTGTTGTTGTTGTTGTATGTTATTTTTTCATGGTGCCAATATACTCAATATTAAATGCATTTACACCGGAAATTTATCCAACAAGAATCAGAAGTACTGCCATGGGTTGGGCAAATATTGCCATTGAAATTCCGGGTCTAATCACCCCTTTTGTAGGTGCAGTATTATTGTCTAGTAAAATTAAGTGGCTATATCCAGTAGTTTGGTCAGTTAATTTCTTCCTCCAATTTCTATGCAGTTTTGGATTTAGAGTAGAGACAGCCGGAAAGAATCTTATCAGTCAATCGGATGCCAGTCAACCCGAAAATCATTCCAAGAAAATTCAAACCAATATCGGGGAGGAACTCCCAGCTAATATGTGATTTATATTTGTTCTAGCCTTTGTTTTTGTATCTTACTAGAATGTTATAATCAAAATCTGTGTGTGGTATTCAGAGTTGTTCAGGTATTTTGTACAAGTCTCATAACTTTTTATGTGAATATAATTCCATAAAGTATTTATAGTATTTTATTTTTTAAATTTTGTATTATTAGAGTCAAATTGTGTTGAATATCAAGTGTTTGTTTGTAATTATATATAATGTATTTTTTTAATTATTTTTATGAATTCTATCTTGTTCAATAGAACAACCTGTAATTAACTTTGACATCAAGGGAGGTAACTCCATTTTTATCTGGCTCAGACTAGCAATTATTTGCCCATTGACTTCAATATTAAATGGCTGTAACATCACAGGCTGTAGCTTTTTGCTCAAAATTCCGTTGGTTCCAATCTTTATAGGCACAATGGGGACCACATTTGGCAATCTCCTCATCATAATTTTGTAGGGGGTTGACCGTTTAGATTTTTTGCTACGGGGATTTGAAGTTGACTGGGGTGAAAATCTCACTTCCGACACAATGATTGCTCTGCTTAAAGACACTTTACACCCCCTATCCCTCCACTCTAATATCATCAGCATTACCCAAAACTGCTATGAAATTGCAAATTTGACCCCTTTTCTCCAATTCTAGACCAAAAAGTCAACCCTAAAATGCAGGAAGAAGGGAGAAAAAAATTAAGGAAAAAGTTGTCTATTTATAACTCGCACTACATTCGTCCATCATGAAATAAGGGGAAATAATTACTAGTCTGAGTCCATCTGGACTGACTAGTAATCCTCTCCTCTTGACATTTTTTTTAACGCTCCAATGATTTTATTTTTGAGCCGAACATGTCACCATCATTGATGAAAATATTGAATTGGGGGGGGGGGGGGGGCATCTTGACTATACACCAAAACATGGCACAGAATGTAAACAGGGGAAAGAGATAAGGGAAGTAATCACTAGTCTGAGACTGTCTGAATAAATAAGGTCTGTGCTGTGGAGAACATGAATAATTGCTATAAATTTGTCCATGAATTCTGTGATAGCTGTGGGTAAGTCACAGAAATATTATCATCACTAAATTTATCCTTTTGTTGTTGCTTTTTCACTAAGAATGATGCTGTGTCATGGTCAAAATAAATATAGCATGCCAATAGTGTCTTTTTTGTTTTTGTTTTTAGATAACTATATTTCGACTGCATGTTTAAATTTGAAAGGATATTATCTAGCAGTGGATGCTGGATGTATTGATCAAATGTCACTTATTACAGCCTCTTGTTAGAGCCTTATATTAATAATATACCAAAACATTGTACGAGTTGTTCGGATGGGATAAAACCCTGTGTAAAAGTTGGCACTTGGCAGACATGTAGAACAACACTCCAGTGACTCCACCCTACCCATAATTGGAATTTGACAAAAGAGTAGACAGTAGTGCGGGGTTGGTGCCCAAAAATAGAATGTTAGACTCCATTTCATTTTATATCATTTCACAAGATTGCATTAAAGGGGAAATAACTCAACGTAAATCCGTGTTGACTCTGAATTTCATTAGGGTTCCTCGTTATCAATTTTATAGGACAAATTCGAAAAAATCTGTTGTGGGTTCACAAGAATTATGAAGAGACATGAAATGTCAGCATGGCTCCCAAAAGACAAATTATGCATAATTTCTTTTATCAACTTTCAAACCTGACAAATACAAACAACGAAAAGAAATGATTTTTGTACATTTATTTTTTTGAAAGATGATATACTGGGTTGATATTTTGTTAATGAATTAATTTTGTTATGAATACAAGGGTAATAAGTACCACATATAAGACATTGTTAGTAATAAAAAATAAAGGCTATAAATTAAAAATGCTGTGAGATCAGTATAATTTGTACACAGGTGAGTTTCGTCAGTGGTCATGCTAAATATTACATCTATTAATATCTGTAAAGACTTGACAGATAGTCATATAATATTAATATATAATAACCTCTAGGTTTATAATATAACTTTTTATCTATACAATATATTTGCAATAAATTTTATTTTGTTCTATTATATTATCAATGAGACAGTGGGTATAATAAACCATGATTTAAAATTAAATACATAAAATAATAATAATATTATATAGACTTCGTCACTCACCTAAAAACAAAATATTATTTGACATGATTGTCATAATAATATGTCCTGTTTGTAATGTGGTTGAGTACAATTCTCCAGTATATTCAATTCAAACACAATACATGACAAAGCTTAATTAAAACCATCACAAATCCTTGATGTTTTCCATAAATTTTTGTAGCTTTGAAAGAGAATTGCCGTCCTTTAGAACAAAATAAATTAAGATTAATATAACAAAATGAAATGAATCGATGTACTTATTACCCCACCCCACTCTCTCTATATATTTATACTACATCTAGAAGTGACACTACTGCAGTTGAATCACACATGGCACATGTTTAACAATGACAACAAAGTCGTATTAATAACAATTATTATTGCTTAATTAACTTAATTACAATCATCAAAGAAAAAAACTTTATAAACCTGCACACTAAGTTTGGAAGACAAGAAAAGTGCATGTTTAATATTCTCTCATGACACACTATAATAAAAGTAACTAACAATTTTAACTTGGAAAATATGGTTGACACACAACTACACAGTATCAACTGAAATAAATGCTTATAAAAAGTAAAACAGAAATATATCAACAATATGTTTATTATCCCACAAAATAGCTCATTAACCACCATCAACGTTTTATATTAATCTATTGACAAGGACAGCAACTTAGGTCACAGACCTATTTTTTTTTTTTTTATTTATTTATTTTTTTTTTTAGTTGAATCCTATCACATATTGTGACCGAGATTGAGAGTTTTAAAAAAATTTGACTTATGTCCATGAAGGTTAATAAGTCATTTATTAAAGATGCAATATATAAGAGCTAAATCTGCCTACATTGCAGCTCTTTTTCTGGCTTCGGATGTTATATAAATTATAGCTTATACATTTATTAACATGACAAACACATAATCAATCTCTAGGTCATATTGAATGGATTATAACACTGGCACCATTTAATAATTTAACGTTCAACTGGATACTTTGTTTATTATAGCAGCAATCATACATGACAGTTGAGACTATCTTGCCAAAACATCTAATACCCATAACTTTGTTCAATTTGACTGAAATTTTCAATATATTCATTTCTCATTATTTTTAAACTACTATGCCAAAAAAACGGTCAGCTCTTTATTTAAATCTTACATAATGCATCTTTAAATTCAGTTTCTAACATTATTTTAGCCTGAAATTGCACCGATGTTGATAGTTGTTTCGTATACATTTATTGAACACATAACTGCAGTATTCCACCCACTTCCATTACTATATACAATGACTGTTATACAAAAAATGAAATATATTTTTTTATGCAACTCTAGTAACAAATTTATATCTTCAATGTCAACAAATACATAAATGAAACAAAACAGTGCATATATAAACAATAATAATAATAATAACATGTACAACTATACATTGCTTCTAACCAGGACAAATATAAGGACAATAAACACCACAATAATTAAAATAGGCTAATCTAAATGATTCACAATCATACATACAAAACATGTTTATAATCTGCTCTAAATTAAATGCACATAGAGCTAATAGATATACAGAAATATATATAATATAATACGAGATAAGTAACAAATTTACATGTGTCCACATGTAACATACATTGGAAAAGGTTGTCCCTGCTATATATATTTCTATGTATTCTCTCGCATACAACAGGAACCCACACACAAATATTTTTGTTGGACCCAAGAATAAATCGTTGTAAACAGTCTAAATACGCCTCAGTGTAAGACAGTAGTCAATAAATAGACTCTACATGCCGTAAATACATACAAAAACATAAACAATGATGGACGCCACACAATGTTCATATATTTACAATGAAAATGAAACATTTTGTTGACATATATGTAAATCACTGAGAGAAACAGGTTCTATTAATTATTCTATACAGTATGTAAACTATAAATAATAAGTATCTAAAGCACCTAAAAAATACACATTTATTTTATTATTGCTGCACTATTTATTATTACTTTTTGTCCATATTTATCTAAGTGATCTGTTCTTGGAATAATCATCCCTTGGTAGTATAAAAATCAGATCCATCAAAATTCTAGCACCATCATATGATACAAGTAGTTACACTAAAGGCATGGGTTTTTAATACCATCCATGCTTTTGGCAAAACGTTCACAGTGAAAATGTCTAAAAATATATTACAAGTCTATGAGGTTATGTTTGAACTTCCTCCGCGGTGGATGGGTTTCCAAAACTAATATTCGATACATCACATGCTTCTTCATCCATACTATCATTACTTAAACCCTCTTCACCTGAATCATTTACACAATTACCATTCTGTAATAACGATTCTTTACTTGGATCATCTCCATTGAGAGAAAAGGGGGAGGATTTCATCACATCTGTACGATTATTGTCTGAGGATGTTGAAGAGAGAAAAGGAGAGAAACTATTTGATTCAGTATGTCCACTTCCTACAACGATAAAATTAAACAATAAATAATCAAGTTCAATATATTAGAAAAACATCTTGTAAAGGTCACAATACACCAGTTAGCCAATAATCATTTTCCTTATTTAGAAAAGGGAGTACTGATAGACCTAGTGATGAAAAAAAACCTAGGTTCGATACTATTTGGGGCATCATAATCAGAATACAAATGAGTTACCCAACAGTCTTTTACTGTTGTTTCTAGTATAATAAAACTAAAAAAAAAAAAACACAATTTATATGGAAAACAATCACTGGTTTATATGCATATAGCACCACGTTTCGACAAGTATTCTTTTATCGTTTTCAACTATAATTGTTTTCCATATAAATTGTGTTGTGTTTTTTAATGTGCTCAATCGCTCAATGCTACTCAAGGATTATAATAAATCCATTGATGTGAGATCAACAGAAAATAAATTAAACTTTACATGGTGTGAAAGTCTGGAATATTTCAGCTTCAATAAAACTATGAGCAATGGTAACATACCTTCAACAAAACTAGATGAACCATCTCCATACCACACCCTACGTATATCTTGTCTACGTGATTTCATCATACATTTATATTCTGATATGCGTAACTTTTTGCCATCAACTATACATGTTCTCTTGGGTCTTGGCCTGAAAAATAATATTCAAAATATTAGTTTCTTAAACAAATCATATTTGTGGCGGCACCCCACTAAATTTACTTTCAAGATGAATTTTACTGTTGTTTGTGGAATGCAAATTGAGGTGTATAACTTCAACCACTAATCAAGATGTTACTGGTGTCTATTAACTGGAGTATATTCAATATGCCTAAATACCGGAATATACTTACTGACCCATATTAACTATTGTATATTGAATAATAATTTGTGTATATTGCAATTACCTACTAACCTATATTTACTGGTGTTTATCAACTGGTGTATATTCATATTGGCCTATATTTACTGGTGATTATTGAAAAATGAATGTGTATTCAATAACTACCGGTTGTATAATTGATTACCTACTAACCTAAATGTTATAGTGTGTATTGACCAGGATATAATATCCTCATAATGCTCAGAATATCTATTGGAAGTTTTAAACTGTATAATAATTACCTGTATCTATAATCAGGGTGTTTCTCCATGTGTAGTTTACTTAATCGAGATTGTTCTTCATAAAATGGTTGTTTTTCTGTATTAGACATACCCTTCCATTTGGCACCTGAAACACAAATAACAAATTTAATACTAAAACACAAGGATTGGAAAGTAGGACTATTTGTCATTTATGTTCCTAATCCAACAGCCTAGAGATTGAAGAGATAATTTGAAAAAGCATCTGATAGAAGGCCAAAATCTATTTAAATTATTAAAATTTTAATGCTTTAATTGTTTTAATAATGTGGACAGAAAAGTTCTCTCTCTCTGCTTGTAGAGTTTCAATGAAATTCCAAGAACGAAAAAAAAAAAAAATGTATTGTAACATACCTAGGATTTTACTGATATTTGAGTTGTGCATATCTGGACATGCTTTAAGAATTTTACGTCTTTCTTCACGAGCCCACACCATAAATGCATTCATTGGTCTTTTGATATGAGGTCTATTCGCTTCATTTTTTTCTCGTTGAGTGCGAATTATTTTAGCTCCATACATCTTACCTATAATAATAAAACATTATTATTAGTTTTTCAGTTAGGATTTATGATTCAAAAATTCTGCTTAACAGTAGTTGAATAGAGTGGTGGTTTATTTATAAAGTTTTGGGTTATACAACCATTTTTAAAATGATTTTTTAAGGATTTATAATTCAAAATCTGTTCCACTCAACAGTAGTACAAAACATATTTGAAGCTGAATAGAGTGGTGATTTAGACCATAAGGTTTAGGGTTATACAACCCTTTTTAAAAATTAAAATGAGTTAGGATTTGTTTGGTTAAACAAGTTGGTTGGGTTTTAATGAAAGTAACAACAGGATAAAGTTGTAATCTTATATAAAATAGGAAAGATAACATGCAATGGCTTCAAAGAACTTACTTTGTAAATGTTGTACATAACTATTGGAACTATCTTCTGGGGATAAGGGCATGGATACACGATCTTTAGGTGTTGGATATTGAGACATAGGTGGCATGGTAGGAGACGCGGTGTTGGCATACATCGGAAAATGAAGACCTGGAAAAACTGGACCACCAACTGATGCGGCCAATTGTCGAGCAAACATTTCATGAACCAAATTCTCCTGAAATAAATAAATGTTATCAATTTGTTAATAATAATATACATTTGATTGGTTTAACAATAAGATATTCCTTCCAAATAGCATAATCTTACACTTAAAAAAAAGGTAAATATGTTTTTCTAATGAATAAATTGAATGACTTACTTGTACTGTTTTAACAGTTTCTTCATGTTTTCCATTAAACTGTGGTGTGTGGTTTGATAAACCAGCCATTCTTGCTGCCATGGGCATGGAACCAGCTAAGCTGAGGAAAGGATTGGCAATATACTGAGCTGGCATTCCAAAAGGGGATCCCATACTCAGTAATGGTGGAACTTCAGATGTAGGTGTATGAGACTGTTGTTGATGATGACGTTTGTGATTACTGTGAGCAGGAGGAGGTGTGACAACTGGTTCCCTTTTAATTGATGCCTCCCCATCATCATTACAATCACCAATATTCTCTTGTTTAATCATGTATCGTGGTTTACTTAAGTTGAGTGGTGCATCTTGTTCTGTGACTCCTCTTGGGCTAGTAAACACAGAGTTAGTGTCCCAGCTGGGAGTATGAGCTCTGAACAGTGAAGAGGTGTTGTGTGTGGGGGAGGGCAGAGATTGTGGTGACTTGCTGTAGGGTGAGGTGGCCAGCTGAGGTGAAGCTGAATGTTTTCCGCCATCTGGTCGTTGAAGATAAGATTTGGGAGAAATTTGTGATTCTCCACTCACTGAGGAAACTGAAAAGATAAAAAAAGAACAAATAAATATCCAGAAACAGATCTGATATAATGTGCAAAGTTGACTATTTTTCCAGCTAGTGCCAACAATTTATAAAATAGAGTTATTTCCCCTCAGTCACCAACCATACTGTGTTGCCAGCTGTGTTTCTGGCATCCATCATCTCACAACTACAAGATATCTGTCTAACAAAAATAATCTCAACTTTGACTTCCAGCAAATCTGTTAGGACATCCATACACATAGAATGTCCCTATCATTAACTTAGATTCCGTATGGAAATCTTCAAAATAAAATTCCCAGGAGAGAAAGACTCACAACTAAGGCGAGACTTTCATGTTGCGTTATGCTGGCTGACAAAATTTGCAGCTGTATTCTGTTTGGAGTTTAATTTGAGAACATTAGTAAGTAGATCATATATCAACAAAAGGTTCCCACATTTATTATAGATCAAGAACAACAGGGGTTTCTACACCATATGTCAAAAATTATAGCTCTTATTCTCCTAATTAACGTTTGTTTATATATACTTAGTTAAAAAGACAGAAGAGTCTGCTTAAGCTCAACTTATTTCCTGGAAATATTAATCAAAACATGGCAAGACAGTTAGCTTGCATGTTTGATACATTTTACAGGCCTTTTATACAGAATGATGGCAATGTATGTAGACTATCATCTAAACAAACTATGCAGGGCTGCTAATTTTAATATCATAATCAGATATATTACTACAGCTGATCAACGAGCTCCTCGAAGTAAATTTGAAAAACAATGTTTTACTGTGAACTGAATCAATGTGGAGTACTAATAGTTTTGAATTTTCTAATCTGTGGTAGTATCTGAATAAATAATGTCCTAGGTAAATTTAAACATTTTTTGATTACGTGATATATACAGTGCAATAAACAAGGTTATGGTCATGCTATTGGTGCCAACACACAAGACATTTTTTTACACATCACTGCTTGACCCAAGATGCTCGCTAGTTTGTTTTGAGAAACATCAAGTCTAGCAAAGAAAAATACAGCTGCTAGCTAATTATAACAACTACCTTCATCGGCTTTGATTCCTAGTTTAGTAAAAGCTTTAAGAAATGACCCTGACAATCACAAGACTGGATTCCTACTGACGAAACACATTATCTGTAAGCGAGTTTGTTTAGATAGAGTCCTATCTCCTAAATACAGCTAACAGACCCAGTTTAGACTAACACAAGAAACCATTCTTACTGCCAGTCATAGATTACCTAATGTTCTTTGTTGTTCCCAATAATAAACCATACTGAAAATCTAACCAATTGTAAAAACTTGTGTGTCTATTAGTTTATGGAATTCATTTTTTATACCCTTTCCTTATTTTGTATTCAGCTAAAAGAAAATATGTTGGCTATATTTCGAGAGATTTTCTGAAGAGATTTGAAAAGATATCTTTTACTTCAAAGGATTACGTGTCACTTATTTTTTCTGATTTTTGAAATATTTCAAGAAATTCTTCCATTCAAGTTTTTTGGGTAATTAGTTTTGTAGAGAGTACATGCTAATTCAAAAGGGGCTTTAATCGGATCCTAAATAGTTTTTATCAGTTTTAAAACTGATAACAGGCATTGGGTAGAATTTCAATTCCAACCATAAATAAAGGTATTATCTCTCACACCAGAGTAGCTTTGTCATGTCTACATTATTTTTCAATAAACAATCCTTGATTGTCTTCTTATCAAATACCCCATACCAACTTGTAGCTTCCAGTTCCACAATTTATTGTTTTTCTCCCAAGAAATTGTGTGTCCTTTGATAAGCCTATCTTGTAGTAGAGTTTAATTCAAGAGCTACTGGTTAAATCAGGCACTCTACAATTCTCCCTTATACAATCAGGATATAACAGTGCCAACATTATTAGTAAAATATTGTTCATGTAAAACCAAGAAAAAGAAAACAAAAAATGTTTTTTTATTATTATTTGAAGATCACTTACAAGGAATATGAAATAAACCAGTTCAGGAATTGTGTTAATTATAACAATATGTATGTAATTATCCAGTGCACGGCTTAACATCCAACCTATCTACTTTAGTCATTTACCCCTTCATAAACTCTTACTACTTTATACTTCCGCTCTATTAAACCTGTCTTTAACCTAGCTTTCTATAAAAACACAATAAAACTAGCCAAGAAAAAGAAAAGACAATTACTTTATCAGAGTTAATCAGAGTGTCAGTTGCGACAAGCAGACACTGTCAATCATTAGATTTAGCCAATCACCAGTCACTATACAGTTATATCACTGGAGATAATGCTGACAAATGACAGTATCAATGAAATTCAACACTTGCAATCAGATATTGAAAACCTGAGACCTGGGGAATGATTTTTAATTCTGTAAATAGATCATGTGGATGAAGACAATTGTAATTTGTGTCCATTAGCTTCCCCACAATATTTTGACATCTACGTTTTGGAAAATACTATTCTAGGCTTACTTAAAAAAAAAAAAAAATTCTGTAATTAAATGATTATTTCTTAAAATCATTGAGTAGGAAAATAAATTTATTCCAAATTGTTTCTAAATTCCATGTTTAAAAAAGGAGAAAATTGAGTTTAAAAGTAGATGAGCACATAAAACATTGTCTACATTATGGGCATGTCCTTAATACCAAGCTCTTGTCAAGATTTGATAAGTGATATAAGAAAGCATAATAGAAGTTCTACATTTAGTTTCCAACATGGCTCAAGATAATTGGATGCTCCCCACTCCATTGTGCTTCTATAGTAATCTACTGTCTTCTAATGAGGTCTACTCTTCAGACTGGTCTGTCCAGATTGAATTTCAATTCAGTTTGTTACCATTATGTGCGGAGTAGATGAGAACAGTTGGCTACTCCTTTTATTAACGAATTCACCACTGCTTTATTTCAAATGGAACTAAAGATTGTTTGAGCTATTGAAACTAAGCTTCCATCTTGAGAGCAGGAAATGTAGCGCCAATATAAGGAACTACATTAGTTGCAGACAATAGGCGCAGGACACTTCCATCAAGAAGCTCTTATCGGACAATCCGTCTGTCACACATGGTCAGATATCACCACTATGATAAACCAATCGAAAGATCTTCTCTATTCTTGAGGAATTTGCACATACCAAACACTTTCGGTGGATTTTTTCTTTCGTTTCTTTGCTTTTTGATTTGGTGTAATGACATCGGTAACTTTTCTTCTGAGAATATTAAATAGGAACAAAATCAGTACCACGTCTCTAATAGCACTATTTACCATATAATCTAGTTAACCCTATTCATAATTAACACAAATTCATCATCATTTCATTTAGTCTTGAAAAACAGTCCCTTATATATATATAAAAAAAAACTATGGAGAAAATGTTTTAATCCGTGACATTATAACTTTAAGGAAGTTCTCATTACATTGTTTGGGTAAAAGTATTCAAATAAAAGTTTTTGCCTTCGGGCCAAATTTCTATTAAGAGTTCTGTACTTGAATAAGTTTTTTGATGAAAGCCTAATCAAATTCTTGTTTTCAACATAATGGATGGCAAATGGAGATATCATGATGACCAACTCTTTCATGATGAATCTGTTCAGTCCCATAAAAAATCTAAATTCTACTCTGAAGAACAAAATTTCTTGTACAAAGTTATCTGATCTTACATATTTTATTGAATGCAGAAGAGATTTAATATAGTACAGCTTTGTAAACTTTGTTTAAATCTACAGGGGACAGGACCAACAATGCACAGGTTGTAGACCCATTGCTGAGAAGAGGTCTTTTTCACAGCATACAAGGTGGACCTATAGACCATTCGGTTTGCAATAGATTAAGCCCTTAGCATGGTGGAATAATTTTCTCAGTTGCTTCAACAGACTCAATATGGGACAAAAAACTTTACAGATGGTTAACTAAAGGAGGAAATATCAGTTTTGGTAACAAAATTCACCACATTATAACAACAGAATGAACTGCAGATGGGCCTCATGCAAAAATGAATAAACCTTGTTTTCTCTCTCTATACTTTCAAGATTGTTTTGAGGCAAACAACATAAGGAAGCCATATGCCATTTATTTAACTCTCTTATTTTCCATGTGTCAAAAAGATGATAAAAACATTTGTTCACACTCCCATTATTTCTTCTATTTTTTCCCCAAAATTTTCTGGAAAAACTTTTCTGAACCAGGAAAACGCATTTAGCAAAGATTAAATGATATCTTATTGATGTCTTACTAAAACTTTGTGTCAAATATGCAATTTTTATATTCTTATCCATAAAGATTTCTTGAAGTCATTCAATAAGACTAGATGGGATTAACTACTTGTATTGTTAAACTAAAGAACAATCATAATCCCACTATTGAATTGGGTGGTGGGTGGTGGCAATGTCCAGTCAAAACAGACTGTTTTTGGACTAACATATGGTATGTCTTTATTTCAATAATAACTTGCGTGCAGAGAACTTTAGCAATGGGAGCATATGAGAAAACCCAGAGGAAACCTGGGGGTTTACGTAGGCGATCCTACTCCTTGCGTTATACTAGCCTGTGACAAAAACTAAGACCATGTGAATGTTTGAAAGACCTTTACAATCCAAGGTACAAAAAGGTAATCAAATATGCATTGTTTCATATATAAAACAATCAGAAAGGATAAGAATTTCATGTAATCACAAAGCAGGATGTCAATAATAAACAATATGTAATACATGAATCACCTTTTACTTATAGCTTTTGTCAATCCCACAAGACCGATACCACAATTTCATGTGAACTATATCCATCCTGGAAGTTTATTGATAATCACTTACCCATCCCTTCAAGAAATGCATAGTTTTACCATCCCCTATTCTATTAAAAAAGCCTTAAACTCAAGGTTAGTAAATAATTTAAGATCCATAGTTTCAACAAAATCTTAATTAAAACTTCCTATAACTGCCTACACAAAATATTAATCACCTATTATTAAGCTAATGAGACAGTGGCACCCATGCAAGTATC